GAAGCAATTGTCTTTAATAAGAGTTGTGAGTTTTGGAGTTGTTTCAGCACTCAGACCTTTGTTCCTTGGGAGCACCTCGCTGGGTGGGCGTTGGGACATGCTGGATCATTCTATGAGATCAGTAGCTCCACAATCACGCAGCGCTCCACGAGGAACGGGTACCGCCACCTAGGCTGACCCCTGTTCGATACTGGGTGAGACTCCAACTTTTGCTCAAATGCTTTTCAATTGCTTGCCTGTAAGGCTTTGGCCTGGGATTCCTTGGATCCAAGATGTTGGGCAGGCTCATATTTTCTGGTTGATGAGGACTCGATATAGGGCATCCAAGTCATTTCAAGTGTCGAGTGCTTCCAAATGTTTGTTCCCATAGTTGATTATCAAATCGTTGATGTCACTCTTGACAACAAGCTCATGGACTTTGGATCGAAAGTATGGACAACACAGACCAAGGAGACCTCTCAGACGATGTGCTGGTGTTCAGCATGGTCAAGGATAAGTTATCGAATCTCTTTGATCTCTGCTTGCATTCGAAACATACATGGAACTTTTCCCAGGGAACTTGTGATGGTCCAAGTGAGTAGCTTGGCTTTAAGGGTTTCAATTTACTGAAAGAAGGTCTGTATATTTTTGCAGAAGAGCCAAGAGAAGTTGAGGCCCATTGTGTTGGCTTAGAAATATGATTCAATTTCTTCCTGGAGGCATCGGTGCAGAATTTGAACAGCCTTTTCGACCAGGAAGGTTTGTTAAATCATACTGGCAAACAGGATGTTGCTTCAGAGTTCAAGAATCGATGAGTCCGACCCCATTGACTGTGAGTTCCTGATGCATTTTTCCTCATAGACTTGAACCTGTCCAGGAGCATGAACATGTTGATTTTATTATATGTTAGTATTAAGGTCTCCAACAACGCTGGAACCCTTCCTCTTCCATGCTCTGTCATCAAACTTTCAAAGGCGATGAGAGAGGCTAAAACATGGACCCAGAGGCATTTGACTCAGTCTGTCGAGGAGACTGGGGGAATCTTTCAGTCCTTTCTTGCATGCCAATTCGATAGCTGGGTGTTGTGTGATGTTTCAGATGGTCGTCACCATGGAAAACCCCTGAGGCATAGGGGTCTTTGAGGTTCTCTTTCCAGTCCATCTGAAGCCAGAATCCTGTCAGGCTCCAGTGGGTTGTATACCTCAACCGGCTTCTGAGCTTGGTCTTCTCTTTGGTTTTCCAATGTGCTGGAGGGCTCCTGGAATGAACTGCGGAATGTGCTGCAGTCATGGTTGGAGGATCAGATGGTGGGTGTTGGATCAGATTCAAAGAAGGCTTGTCTGAGCCTGTGGACTGAACAAGGATTGCGCTGGTAATGTGGTGCTGGCGGTGCTGTTGTTGAAGATGAAGATTTGCTGAGGCAGAGGAGCGTCGTCAAGGTCCATCAAGTGGGAATCAACAAAAGAGGAGCAATGGCTATGGCAATGGCGGTACCGCGGCAACAACAGGAGGAGCGGCAATAACAAGGATGCAGGGCGTGGTGGATTAATCCAGTCAATCGAGTCAATCGAAGGTGGAATTTATGAGCTTTACAACACTTCGAGTTGCTTGAATCCTTCAAACAACGACTGTTTGGAATTGACACGAGCTTGCGAATTCGCCTCGTTGAATGACATGAGAGAATCAATCGCGAGTTTTCGTACGGATCGATCGATTGCTCCGTACAATCCGTACCGTGGATCGAATCCTTCAAACGACAAACTGCAAGCCAGTTCGCTGCAAGACAAACCAAACGACCCAATTGCCGGTCCTGGGTAAGCAGGGACCAACTGCCGATTGATCAGCAACAACAACCGGAGCGATCTATCGCTCTCCCGCGTTGTGTTGTTCTTTACTGATGATACACGTACGTATCGGTGTACGTCGAGTTAATGAAAAAGTGAGGAACTTCACTCGAAGCATGACTCAGGTAATTTGAAACCGATAATAGAGGGTTGAAAAGTGAGGAAGATATAACACAAGCATGACTCGAGCCTAGACACACAAGCCGAGCTTATTATGCAGTCGGAGCTCATTTTTCGATGAATTCTGTTAACTCTGTTGTCGCGATCGATCGTCGTACGGAGATGAGCCTCAACAAGCGGCAGGGCTCTGCCGGTGATAGAGATAACAGTAGTAGCAGTAACAGTAACAGTAACAGTAACAGTAACAGTAACAGTAACAGTAGCGGCTCGTTAGCGCTGGTGATAGTAAAAGGTGACTCCTGCATGAGTCCACGTGATATATAGGATCCTCATTCGGGATTCGATCAACGAAAGGATGGGAAAGCAGAGATTGCTTTCGAGGCGAATCAAATGGTTTCCTTCATGGATTCGATCGTCAACAGGATAAAGAAGAGGGGTATCAAGAGATGAAAAGCTACAGATGAAGAGCGCAAGAGGAAACTCAGGACGTCTGCATTCAAGGAGTAGCGAAATCCATTGATAACCACAAGGGATAGACATATAGAAATAAGAATGAGTAAATCTCATAACCTCGACTGCTACCATGCGACAATACCTAATTGTGCATTGATTTAACTCTAGGATCTAAGAGAGTTAAAGTTTGTATTTCCAAATAAGTGAGCAGTTATTGATTATTTCTAGAATAAGCCTGCTAATTTAAAGCTGTAAAGTGAATTGTAATCTGTATCCCGTCGCATCTGTCAATGGCAAGTGTGCCAAATGTCTTGACTACAAAGGATGGTTACCCCAATGACACATTGAAGTCGTGACTGGGATGTGCTTCAACAATTGAAGAGACTTTTCGAAAGCTCTCAGTGTTCCAACAATGAGCACATCAAGAGCCACCAGGAAAAAGATAGGGCTATTGAGACCTTGCGACAAAGGCCCAACTCAATTGCAAAGCAGACAAGCTTGCCGGTGCCTTTATGGCTATCACACAAGGGAGTGGATCATACATTGGTTCTTCGGTTCCCCGTGAACCTGGCATAGTTCATCTTCCCGGCGGAGACCTGCACATACAAGGTGCCACGCACCCTGAGGGACCTACGCATGATCCCGCAGTGCTGCACAACACTGGTCAGAACAACACCATCGGGATGATCCACTCCAGATCTGATGATTGGACAGCCCATGGCAGGGCAGTCAAAGGCACGAGACAGAACACAACATGGTGAAGCTTTTGTTTAACATTCTTCCAGTGGGCAAAAGGGTCCACAAGTATGATGCCAAGTACGATCACCGGTGCCCACACTGTGGTGCGACAATGAAACAGCAGCACATCTCTACCTGTGCACTCATGAAGATCCAACACTGTGGAGGACAACCAGGCAGCAGGCTGTCAGCAAACAACTGCGCAAATGTATACTGATCCATCCCTGTTAGCCATTGCTTTGCAAGGGCTCGAGCGCTTCTTCGCAGGCAAGCATCTTTACCCATCTGAGTTCCAGAAAGGTATGATCAACTGGTCATCGACCAGAACCACATTGGGTGGAACAACTTCCTCAAGGGCCGATCTCCCAAATTGTGGACCAAGCACACATGGAGACTATCTCCATCATGTTCAAAAGCAATACATCCAAAGAAAAACGGTACCAATATGGACTACCAACTTGGCTCATCTCTTACTCCAACAATGGGTTCTACTGTGGGATGACCGCAATGCAGCAGGCATGGACGTGATAAACAGCAGCAGTGGATCAAGAAGCAGCAACAGCTTCAACGGGAAGTATAGCTTCTGTATGAGCATGCAGACCAGGTGCACTGTCTCTTGTCAACTCCAATTTTCAAAAGGCCACTAGAGGACCAAATGGAAATGGCACCATCCGATATCAACTCGCGCGCGCCACTTTCACACATTGCGGATGCCGTGCGTGAGCTCAAAGCATTAGTAGTGATGCCTCAAAAAGAAGCTAGCTCAGCGGATACTAATGGTACTCGACAGTCTAATCGCCATGAGGCTTCTAGTATCACCATAATGAGAATACAGTGGATACAAGGTTAATCTGCATGATTTATGATCTTTTGACTTATTTATCTCGGAGTGTTGACACTCCATTCAGCAATAGTGCAGCTAGTATCGTCTAGTGCTTGATGACAGCAGCAGCCACTGGTGCGGGTCCGGTTTGTGGTTGACCTTTCCCTTTAATATCTTGCGCTCGGTTTGTTCGAGTTTTTTAAACTTTCCCGGCTGAGGGGGCCAACTCTCTCCGCCCCAATGTTTGTGGGGGTTATCGGTTTAGGGTAGCGGCACGGTGGATAGTCGTACTCAGAGTAGCCTTAAAATAGAATTCTATTTACATCCATAGCTGTCATTGCATGGATCTGCCAATTCCTCCAAGGATTGGGTCCTCCCATATCCCAAAACAAAGCTTGATGTTCCATTGGCAAATATACCTCGGCAGTCTTGCTACCAGAGCCCTCAACCCCTTTAATTGTTTTTCCTGCTACGGTGGTCCCTGCAGGTATAAGGGTAGGGTTAGAATACAAATAAGTCAGCAAAAACTAAATAAGTATCCTAGGATGGTGCTTTTAAACCAGCTAAAGCTATTTACATGCATCCTAGTAGGGGGGTCTGCTTCTACCAGGAAAAACTATAAAGCTAGCAAAAGCTATATAACTAGTATTCTAGCTAGCTTGGGGTATCTGCTTCTAGCTTGCTTTGGGAATCTGCTTCTAGCTAGGGGATCTGCTTCTAGCTAGCTAAGCGCAAGTTAAGCACTAGCTAGCTAAGCACTACAGGTATCTGCTTCTAGCTAGCTAGCTAATAGGGGTATCTGCTTCTACACTGAAACCTTTCTGCCGAGGTTACACAGCTCCGCTGGCTTAAACGGTTTCTGTATGGTATGGAAGAGACTGAATGAGAAAAGTAATAAGCAGCTTACAATCCATAATTAAACTACTTTGGCTTGTCTTTGAAAATTTCTACGGGCTGTTCAGAGTCCACCATCTCATCCAGAGCCCACTTTGGCACTGCTGAATTGCTGATTGATTGATCAAGTGATTGTGAGAGAGTCAGACCTATTCTGGGCAGCCATTGCTACGAGCCCAATGCAGGACATCCAAATGACAATACCCAGCAGCATTGGAACAAGTCTGTTCATCCCAAGGACAACCATTGTTTCTGGCCCATATCAGGATTTCCAAATGACCACCTCGAGCTGCAGAAGCACATGTACTTTCATCCCATGGGCAACCATTGGTTCGGGCCCATTTCAAAACTTCCAAATGCCCATGTTCGGCAGCCCTGGAGCAAGTTTTTTCATCCCACGGGCAGCCATTGCTGTGAGCCCACTGCATAATTTTTAAGTGACCAGACTTAGCAGCATTGAAACAAGTCTGTTCATCCCAAGGACAACCATTGTTTCTGGCCCATACCAGGATTTCAAAATGACCGCGTTGAGCTGCAGAAGCACATGTACTTTCATCCCATGGGCAACCATTGTTTCTGGCCCATTTCAAAACTTCCCAATGGCCATTCTCGGCAGCCAGGCAGCAAGTTTTTTCATCCCACAGGCAGCCATTGCTGTGGGCCCACTGCAAGACTTCCAAATGATGATACTGAGCAGCACTGCAACAAGTCCATTCGTCCCAAGGGCAGCCATTGGTTCGGGCCCATTTCAATATTTCCAAATGACCACCCCGTGCAGCACCAGCACATGTCCATTCATCCCAAGGGCAACCATTGATTTGGGCCCATTTCAATGTTTCCAAATGTCCATTTTCAGCAGCATAATGACATGTCCATTCATCCCAAGGGCAACCACTGTTTCTGGCCCATTTCAAAACTTCCAAATGCCCATCGTAAGCAGCATAAGCACATATCCATTTATCCCAGGGGCAACCGTTGGTTTGGGCCCATTTCAAAGTTTCCAAATGCCCACCTTGAGCTGCAGAAGAGCATGTCTCTATATCCCAAGGGCAACCATTGGTTCTGGCCCACTGCAAGACTTCCAAATGACCCTGTTTAGCAGCACATGCACAAGTATTTTTATCCCATGGGCATCCATTGCTTCGGGCCCACTGCAAGACTTCTAGATGACCGTGTTCAGCAGCATTGGCACATGTCTGTTCATTCCAAGGGCAATGATTGTATCGGGCCCATTTCAGTATTTCGAAATGACCACCTAGAGCTGCAGAAGAGCAGGTGTGTTCATTCCAAGGGCAACCATTGTTTCTGCACCATTGCAGAACATCCAGATTACCACTTGTGGCAGCCGCAGCACATGTCAGTTCACCCAATGCAAATCCTTCGCTGCGAGCCCATTGCAAAACATCAAGATTTCCATAACAAGCAATTTTTGTACACACATTATGATCTTTTGGCATGCATTTGTCACATGGGTCATTTTGTTTGAATGTGTGCCAGTACTCTGCACATTCCACGCTGAAGAATGCTGCACTGAAGAATGTGTCCCTGCTGCTGGTTGGTGAGAGGGAGGAGGGTGCGAAGCCATGAGTCAGCCAGAATCTTGGCGGCTTATCCACAGTGTTGCAGTAGACCTTGTAGATCTTGTTCATGTGCTTGTTGACACATCCAATAAAGGCAAACTGCCCCATACCCAAAAAGGGAAGAATCTTCTTGATCCAGATGTCCTCTTGATTCCACAGATGTTCTGTCAATCGCTGAGCAGGAGGTGCCAGACTAGTGGAGGTAGAAGCGGATGCCATGTTGTTCTGATTCGACAAAGGCAGTTTTGAGGCAATACTATCTTTTGGTGTTCGAAGTGGTGCCGTGGGTGAGATTGTGGACTTTGTGTGTTCGCAGTCACTCAAAGTTGTCGACCGTGGAATCAAGTACCAGCAGCGTGGAACAGCACGCTACCTAGTTATCTTCACGTGGCAATCGTCTGTGAATTTATTGACAAGGAGGTTTAGAGTAGGGAGGTTTTCTACGGAAGCCAGCGAGGGCCAGCCTTAGGCAAGAAGAAGCAACCAGCGTGAGCATGGGAACATCGAATACTACACTCCAAATAAGTGCACGTATTGATCATTGTCACGAAGCGTGGAAAATGGCAGTCCAGCGTACGTCGCGCCGTGAAATGGGAGAAGCCACGCCACCGTCCTCAAACCGATAGCGTGAGAGCGGAGCACCCAACCCACCCATGGCTCAGTCAGACTACCAACCTGGCTGTGGTCTACGAGAAAGCTTCCCCCCAGATACGCTGCCAAAAAATAGGGGCACCTCGATCCAGCCTCCGACGATTTCGAACTTGTTGTTCCTTGGTGAAAGGACTGTCCCTACCGTGTGTCCGCAAAATGCTGACGACTTGAACGAAAACCTGTTCGCTATAAGATAATTAGTAGTGGTACAACTATTTTACTTTTCGTCGTCCCACTCATTCAATGGGTGGCGACGGATCCGGTTCTGCTTGGTCCTTCGGGTAGTCTACACTATCCCATCACCATCATTACCTTTGTTCCCATCTGAATCGGGTATTTCTTCGTTAGCATCTTCGTCGTCCCACGTCTCGCTTGCTGCTTTGTCCGAGTTGGAATCGTTCTCCGGTGGACTTTCTGACTCTGGAGTTGGCGGCGGCGACTCTGTTTTCGGCTCGGGTGTGGCTTCCTTTGTCTTCTTTGGCGGAGCAGACTCTTTCGCTGTCTCCGGCTCGTCGTCGGAGTCAGCTTCACTATCCGACACAGGTTTTTGCACCTTTTTAGCTTTTCTTTCATTCTCCGCAGCCTCCACTCGAGAGCTCGAATCCATTTCGCTGTCGGTCAAATCGGCGCTCTCATCCCCTTCTTCAATGGTAGAAGACCGTTTAATCGCTTCATCCTCAGACTCCGATTCTTCGTCTCCAGGCTTGGCAAAGGCTGCAAACATGGTGGTACTTTCTTCGGCAAACTCGCCCGACGATCCATCTTCGGACGCCCAAAACATGCTGTCGTCGAAGCGAGCCTCGGTGGTGATGGTATTATTGATGGAGCTCGGGGCCATGCTGTCATCGTTAATAGATGGCGGTGCCTCGAGTTCTTGAGGAATGTCGTTCGCATCTGGCATGTGTTTCAAAGTGGCAATGAGAATCAATTCGCGTTCAAAGAAGAGGTCCATCAACTCGTCAACATTATCCAATTCTTCCGGCGTCTTTTCTTCCACCAACTCTTCCACCTGTGCTCGATAGTGTTCATATTCTTGTCGTTCCGTCTTGGCATGCGGATCTTCCATACTCTTTTTCGACGAGGGAGCCTTTTCCTTGGCCAGCGGCCTTGTCGGCTCCTTTTCCCATGGATCGACATCGCTGTCATCGGGCATCGCACCGGTCATGTCGGACGCACAGATGATTGCCACCAAACAAAACACGATAATGGCAACGCCCACGCCAATTCCGATCATGTAGAATTCGTCGTATCCGCCTTCGTCGGCAATTTCTTGGGGTGATGGCGGCGGGGGTCCATTATCGGGCGGTGGAATGGGCAAGGAACCAAGAATCACCAAGGATGAATAAGGATCGATCACCTCCATGGTTTCATTGAGTAGACCTTGATCAATGGCCTCTTGAGTGTAGTTGGTATAATCGTCGATGGTGGTCATGTTGTGTTCACCGTCCAAGAGAAACAAGTCGTAGGAAGCAGTGACGTTGGCGCAGATCGCCGTGGAGGGATAGTTCTTGGGACATTTAGTGTCATTGAGAAAGTGAATAGTGGTAGTATCCAACACAATTTGCAAGCGTCGTCGTTGATGATAATCATAGTAATGATAATCCGGCAGTATCTCGTCTCCCCGTCGAAGGTACCGAGTGGCATTCGCTGCAGAGTCAGCTGTTGTCGTTGCGGTAGCATTCATATCATCTTCAGCCTCTTCCGTCGTCAATTCCCTCACCACGCGCTCCACAAAGATCGCATACGACTTTTGCAAGCCTTCAAAATCGGGACTGAGCATGACGACATCGGCCGTCAATTCGCGTAAATTGTACACTCGAAAATAGGATGGAATCGTGACCACTTGGGCTCCTTCCGGGGTACTGGGACGGTCGCCGCTGGCGGTCAAGTTGTTTTGTGATTGTGGTTGCGGCGGCAATGTTGATATTGTTGTGGATTCGGTACAACACACCTCTCCGTGTCGTTGGAGGGCATCGCAAAAAGTCAAATCGGCCACGGCATTGCTGTAATCGTCCAACATGCCACACGTCAATGCGTTGGCTTCATCGACCACGACGTCCCGATCTGCTTCTGGGACGCGTTTGTCCGCCGGACAAAACACGGGACACGTCCGGGTCGTCTCCATGACATCCTCTTCTTCCGTCATGGGACATCCACATTGCGCCTTGAAATCCAGCGGCAATTGTTGCCTCACGAATTCTCGCAAGGGTCCTGGCAATTTTAGTTGAAACCGACGGGTACTCGCAATGTTGATGCATTCGTCGGCCGATGCTTGCGCATACAAAGTAGCCACTTGGGCACAGTCGAATCCGTCCGTGGGGGGAAAGGGTGCATCATTGTTGGGATTCGCACAGAAATTACACGAGTCGGACGGGGGTGTGCGGGCCACCGACTCGGCCCGGACAATTTGAATGCCAAGTGGATTGTTGTTATTGTCGTCCAGCAATGCCTGCAGTTGGGTATCGACGGCCACGTCCGTCGCCACGGTGTATTCGCTCTCGACGAGATCCACTTGGGATGGATTGTTGGAATCGAGGAGCAACTGGAAGCGTCCAAAGACGACTTGACATGCTTGTGCTTGTCGCATTTCGAGTGTTGGTGGACAATCCGCATCGTGAATATCGTACAGGGCCGTTCCCAGGGATGCATACTCAACTAAAGTCGTAGATTGTTGCAAGAATCGACGAGCCGTGGGGTTTGTGGGTTCCAATAGTACGTCAATGACTTGTTGTTGTATCAAATCACGAAATGCCGACTGCAATCCTTCCAATCCTGCCTCGTCTTGGAGCAGTTGTTCCGCCGTGAGTCCTCCCGTGTTGGTAATGTAAAATGCCGCGGGAATCCACCAGGGAAATCGGTTCGTGATGGTTGTTGTTGCAGAAGCCGTGGGTGCCAGAGTCGTTTGTGACGCTGTGGGTGGTATCGTCGTCGCTGTGGTCGGTGCCAGTGTCGGTGCCTTGGTGGGAGCCGCTGTTGTCGGAGGTGGTGTCGCGGGTGTTGTCGTGGGTTGTGGAGTGGCTGTCGTCGTGTTCTTGGGTGTATTGATACAAGATCCATCACAGGCAATTCGTTGGCATCTTCCTTGTACAAAGGGATCGGATGGATGAGCTGAGCAATCAATGGCCAATTGTGGATTGTTATTAGGTGCTCCTGTTGGATCGATGCAGTAGTGACAGGGACATTGTTTGGCTTCCCTGGAATTGTGATTATAGGAAAGAGCGGCGGTACAACCACACGTCTTGGGGTCTGTGACGGCCAATAACAACTCCATCGTGTCGCCTTGCGCAGGCACGGTGGTGGTACCATTGTTGTTCATAGTATTGTTATTAAAGGGCATAAAAGGACACGTCAAGGCAGCTTCCACTACCACTTCAGAGTCTGTGGAAGCACTGCCCGACCCAGCCGTTGGTCCACCGGAACCTGCAGTGTTGTTGCCGTTTGTAGAAATGGAGTTTCCTGGCTGTGGCTGTTGCTGTTGCTGATTGTTCTCAGAGGCATGCAAGACCATGTTGACGTCACAGACAAACTCATCTCCCACTATTAAGCAAGATGGGCCTCCAGTGTCCAGGGAAGTTTCTGTGCTGCTTGTACCACCACCACCACCACCTCCTCCACCACCAGAAGCAGCAGCACCTCCACCACCACCATTATCACTAGCCGCAGCAGCCGAGGAATTACTGGCATTAGCATTAGCAGTGGTGTCACTACCATTGGCCTTGGGAGTTTGTTGTTGCTGCTTTTGTAACTGCCTAATATGGGTATCATGGGTAGCATGGGTAGCTGTATCCGCACTGGCATGATGCAGCAACAACAGTATTGCCAGTACCTGCAGCATCAGGAATTTCTTAGTGTTGTTCTTGGCAGATATGGGATGGCTCAAGGGCCGTAGGATACCCATGGTCTCGGTGGCATTATCTTGGGGTATTCTCATTCTTCTCTTTCTTCTCTTTGCCACCAGTGATACTGCCATCTTGATAACAGATAATGTTATACTGGAGGATGCTTGACAGGTTTGCTTGGTCTTTGATAGCTAATAATATGGTTGACCCTCTTACTGTTGTTGTTGTTGGTGGTGGCTGTACCGGTGGGGGTAAAAGGACGCCAAGAGCGGACCTGCGAGGTTTGTTCGTCGATGGTGCCCATTGGTGCCCCGAGAGAATTCCAAGAGTGGCATGGAAAGGTTCATCCTTCGTGGATCGCGTTCGTAAATGACTGATTGTCGACGAATTTGGGCAACTAAGTGAATGGGGTGAGGCGGAGCCTCACCACCATGACGTGGCAGAGGGCCTAAACGGCTACCTTTCCAGTCGGGCCTCTTTTCAAATGACTTTCACAGAGCACGCCACACCTCTCAACTCGACTTCACAACATCCATTTTTGATCACTTCAGATATGATATTCTTTTTCGGGTGACCAAACGAGCGATTAAAACATTTAATGAATTTTTTACCATTAACACTACTTTTTTAAGGGGAACTTGGTGCTTCTTAACTAACGCCGCTGGAACTGTGCCTCACAATATCCCACTTTTCCATTGCTTACTCTTCTCCGGTGGCACCACCTGTTTCACTTTTCCTACTGCCCTTTCGTTTGGTGGCTTTGGGCTTAAACGTTTTGGGGACTTGCTTGGATTCTTCGGACATGGTGATAAAGCACTGATTGAGACGCTCCACAAGCTGTTCAACTGGGACATTTAGAAGCTTGGGATTCTCACGGTAGTGGGAGTTGAGGAGTGGTCTAAGGCTTTTCCAGGTGTTGTCCAATCGCCCTTTCGTCCCCCTTGGTAGTGGCTTCTCTGGCACTGGTTCTTTCTTCTCGGGGGGGGTCGGCTTCACCTTAAACGATATCTTCTTGGAATGCTCTCGAAGCCAGTTTTTCATGGAGCCCTTCTTGGCAGCTAAGTCTTCTTCTTCTTGTTGGTCGGCGAGATCTAGTAGGGAGGCTGCAGCCGATTTGGGTAGTGCAGCCGATTTGGGTAGTGAAGCTGTTTTGGTTGCTGCCGCCTTCTTCTGCCTCTGTTCTAGTTTGATCCTATATGATGGCAACTCTTCGTACCAGCATCCATCCTGATGAGACTTGGACTTGTTGAGATGAAGGTTGGAGGTGAGGTACATGAGTGCTTCTCCTGTATCGAACAATGAATCTCCTTCCTTTGCATACTGCCAGACTTGATAGATCTTTTCTTTCTTTGCCAGGTCGCGGTTCAGTCTCTTCACTGGAGATGGAATGGTGTCGGCTCTTTTCTTCGGTGGCTGCTGGATTCGTCCTCTTCCAAGCATTGGAAAGAAAGATGTCGGTCCTCTCTTCCCCGTCGTGGCCGGTGGTTTCGGTGGGAATGGTGAGAACAGGGAGTCAAAATTCGTAGACAGCTTGAATGGCACTGCAAATGTTTGCTGTCGGCCATTGCCAGTTGTCTTGGTGGGAGTGATGTTCGTACGGTCGTTCAGGACTGTGTTCTGTTCCGTAAAACTTGGGGGCGGTGCTGAACCATGCCCATGTTCAAAAAACGTTTGGCCGAATTGGTGGTAGTCCCTGGTGTGATGTACCCTTTCGCTGCATCGGAAACAACCATCCTGGGTGAGCAGATCAACGTCCACCCTGGTGCAGTCACACATTACGCCCGACATCGTTGGTTTTGTGGCAACAACACCGTGCGTGTAAACAGATCGGCTCTTTCTTTGGCCGGCTGGTGTTGCAGATCCGGCAAAGCTGGGGGGACGGCTTGTATTTCAAAATGCTACAACTACTGATTGTGGTGGCGTCATTGTCTTTGGCACCAATGACGGGTGTGTGTTTAGGTGCTGGCTTACTTTGTCTATTACTTTAATTCATGGAGTAGTTTCTATGATACAACCACCTATCTGTATCTGTGGTCGTTGGTCTTTCTTGTTAACCGGCACAATTTGGGACAACTGTCAACGTTGTGTGCCATGACGAAAAGGGGATTCTATTCCAAGAAAAATGTGGCCGAGAGGAAAATTCGGAACAATGGAGTAGACCCAGCAACTGAGCCACCTGAATTACGTGATCTTCCTCCGTTGCAAGGTGGTACACGGCTTCCTAGGAGTGTTAGATCGTCCGAGAGCGTACCTGTTGTGACTTGGTCCAGGGATGGTAAGCCACCAGCCACCAAGGGACGATTCTTCTCGCGGAACAAACAGGTGAGAACCCTCGAGGAATTATGCGACGGTGGAAAACTACCGACTTATGCAGAGATCAGTGAGTTGATCGGCAATGAGCACAAGGCTATCCAGTACATGGCTGACATTGGAATTATACGTGTCCCGGACGTTTGTGGGAGGTGTAGTGTGAGTGTGCCTTGGAAGACAGGCCAGAACACCGTTCGATGCAGAAAGCAGTATTGTGAGTTCAGGTGTCCAGACAACTGCGAGCGATGTGGTGTCCCGATGGAGGCAACCAAGGATGCCGAAAAGGAAATCGTCTACGCCTACTGTACTGACAGCAACTGCAACTGGAAGTGGAAGCCAGGAAAGTCGTGGGAAGTGTCCGTGTACAGGGGCAGCATTCTACAAAACTGTCGCCTACCAAAACATGAGGTTCTGCATTGCTTCTACCTATTTCTATTGCAGGTACCGGTGGTTACGGCGGCAAAGATGCTAGGATGGACGGTTGAAGTTGCTGGAAAATGGTTTAGACACTGCCGTCAACTGGTAGCTGAGATGGTTCTGATGGAAGAACGCGACAAAGTCATGCTAGGAGGTGAAGGGGTAATTGTCGAAATAGATGAGTCGAAGTTTGGAAAGCGGAAGTACAACAAAGGGCGTCGGGTAACAGCTGATTGGGTGCTGGGTATGGTGGAAAGAACAGACAAAAGAAAGCTTGCTATGGTGGTGGTGCCAAACAGAAAGGCCCGAGTACTCATCCCAATTATCACTGCATTTGTCAGGCCAGGAACCACCATCCACACCGATATGTGGAAGGGCTACAGTTGTCTCCAGTATCTCGCTGACTACGACTATGAACACAAGACTCTATGTCACAAAAGAGAGTATGTGAACTCGGTGGATGGAACACACACCCAAACCATCGAGGGTAGCTGGTCGTTCATGAAAAGAAAAATGCCGGTCTGCAAACGGAGTGGCAGGCAACTGCAGGAGTATCTGTGGGAGATAATGTGGCGACGGTTGTATTCGGGTAGCCTTTGGATGGCATTCTTGACGGGTGTAAGCCGATACAGGTACACACCAGCGGACATTGAGAGGCTCTGGGATTTGCGCGATGAGGAGGATCCTGAGGGGTGGAACGTGGAAGATCAGAAAGAAGACGATGACGAGGACAATCTGTACTACGATACGGACGAGGAGGACTACGAGAGTGATGGAGTGGACGGTGCGGCGGCGGCAACTCTGTTGGGTATCCAGCGGGCTGTTATCTAGTCATTAACTTTAAGAAAAAATTGGTTTTGAACTCCGGGCCATTGTCGACAGTTTTCTTTCCTCTCTAGTTGAGGGTACGCATAAGGGCCATCTTGTTCACCACCAACAAAAAGAGACCGGGTGTTGTCAACTGGTTAAGTCGTCACTATGTATAATTTAGTACAGATTAATTAGACCACTCTGGTTTTGGAATTAGATAGAGAAATGTTAAGGATTAGGTACTGGTAATGCGGGAACTACAGTTACTTAGAAGATCTGAATTCGTGATTGGGGCTTGCAGGGGCGGTTCCATTCTTTACTTAAGCCAACTATTCGTTATCAACTGTTGGTCAGTGGTCAACGGCTTTGACGTTTGCTCAAAACTGTCTATCGCTACCAGGAAGACGTAGAATCTACACAATTTCTCATTATTTCGAACTACGAATGTTGTGAAGAGGTGAACCTATGTCAGTGGGGATTTCAGTACGATGCTTGTATCACCAGGGGAAGGTTCAACGATGGTGGAACATTGGTGGACGGCAGTGCGGCAATGCGGCTTTGATAATTGCGAAAGGGAGATTTGCGTCCTAAGTCCGGGAAAGTTATCTTAAATGAAATTGGGTCTTGGTTTCGGGTGGTAAAAAAGGTGAGTGCAATAATGGATCTTGTTTTGTCGGTTTGGCGGAGCCGGCAAGCTTCGTTCTCTTTTTTTGAATGACTGATCTTCTTTGTTCCACGGATCTTTTAGGCCGAATGCTTCCCATGACTGCCACGTCATGGGGGCATGGGTGCTGGGTACCCAAGTGAATGAGTTGAAGTGAGAATGCGTGACGGTAAACTGTGGATATAATAGGTAAATGGCTTCAGGATCCAGGCTCACAATTATTCGTTGGTGTTTGAGGAGCCCAACTAACTCCCATCATACTTACTTTGTAGGCCATAGTAACCACTCTCTTTTTCATACTAGCTTGTAGCACCTATCCCGCTAACGTACGGTATACATGTAGCTGGCTACTTGCAGAATACTCGCAGGTTTCCTTCATGGTCGTTGGCGGTCCATATATTTGTCTCCTCGATCGTCTTCGTCTTGGAGTGGTGGTATTATCTTTGCCAAGGGTTGCTTTCTCACAGAAAGCCCTTGGCTATCAAGCCAGCTAGCTCCTATGATACCGTAGCTGGCTAGATTGAATAAGGTTCTTTCACAATAAATCTAAAGACTCAATAAAATCATTGGACCATCCCAATAGAGGAGTGAGGCTACCATGCCGGCACTAGTAGTACGCCGTTCTAGCAACCACAATGGGACCTCAGACCTTCGGTTCGTTGCTGAATAGTTTTGCTATTATAGCCCACTCTGCTGTGTTCTTATGCCCGGATCAACACCCATGTCTGGAAGCTTGCTTCCGAATCTCTAACCCCACCGTAGCACGAATGCTTGAATGACGTGGTACCCTACAGTACAAAGAAGCAACAGCTCACAAAATGTGCAAATGGAAAAAGTGCCGTTGCGCGGTTGCTCGACCATTGCAGCACCTGACGGCCAGATCGATCAAGCATGCAGTAATAAAGTTATAGATTCAAATCACTCCACTCCAGCACCATGATGGACACCCTACTCTCCAATCTAAGTCTAGATCCACAATGGGTCGGTTCATCTGCCGTTGTCGGCTTGACGACCATTATTGTGACAATCTATTACACGCCAAGCTCGATCCCTCTATTCCTCCGGCTCATCCCCGTCCTCAGTCCTTGCCGGTCCATATATGCCTACTTCACGCCCAGAACCCCTTGATCCCTTCCCCTACTTTTTACAAGCGGACGTTACCTAGTACCGTTCCTTTCACGTAATCCCCTTTATAGTTATTTATTTATTTATTTATTTATTTATCTTGTGGTGGCGTCGATCTAGCGGCACGTGGGATCTACCGGTATTCCCGAATATCCCGGCACCACAATGCAGTTCTTTGGGCATTTGTTTGGTCGCGATGCTCCTCAACACATTTTGGATACTTTTCTGCAGTTGGCAGACGTTGTCTTTTGTGTGCATCTACCGTTTAGTCCCTCCTTTTATGGTGTACTCGACCCGCTTCTCGCTCGCGCTATTTTGGAATCTCCGTCTACCACCAAGTTTGACGATGCCGGTCACTTTTTTGTGGAGACCACCAATTAATGGCATGAACTTTATTGCCGCCAAAGAAGGAGATCGGTGGAAACACGCTCGCAAATCCACTTCGGCCGCCTTTTCCAGCGAAAACATGAAAGCCATGGTGGATGTGGTGCACACCGTCATGAACAAGTGGATTCAAGACCAACTCAGTAGCGACGACAGTAGTGTGGACATTGACATTCTCTCGGAAATGAACAAGATCACTTCCAATGTCATTTGCGAAGCGGCATTTGATTATGACTTGAAAGATGACGAACGAGAAACTATATTGGACTGTCTACAGATCTGTTGGAGAGAATTTGGGCAAAAAGCCATGACGAATCCATGGAGAAAGCACCATGTCACCAAATGGGCATTTCCGGGCATCCGACAAGGCCATCGAGCCGCCCAACAGCTTCATGCCCATTGTACCAAAATGCTACACGAATATCGCACTCGCATCCACACAAATCCGCAACCGCACAAAATCATTCACATGATTCACAACGATACCGCCTATGAGAATGACGACGAACGAGTCTGTGATATGGTCGCTTACTGCATTGCTGGATTCGATACCACCGCCAATACTCTAGCCTTTGGTTTTCGAGAGCTGGCCCTGAATCAAAGTGAGCAAACCAAGCTGAGAGAAACTCTGCAGCAGTGCCATACACCGGAAGAAGCGCGGGTGGCCGTCAAACATGTCGCCAAAGAGATGATGAGACTGTACCCAGCCGCTGCCACGGGATCCGTACGAGTGTTGGGAGAAGACATGAAAGTACCGGGTAGTGCGAGTAGACTTATCCCCAAGGGATCCATTGTCCTGATTCCAATTTATGCGGTCCAACGGAATCCACAAGTCTTTGGCAGCAACGCCAATGACTTTGTTCCGGAGCGATGGGAGAACCCGAGTCCCGAGCAAATGAAGGCTTTCGTCAACTTTGTGGCGGGCAAACGAAACTGCCAGGGACAGTCCCTGGCCATGGCAGAAACAACCGAAGTTTTGGCCCGGCTGTGTCGGGACTACAAATTTGACATTGTAGAGGCGGGGCAGGCGGAAAACATTGTTTTGTTCAAGCCTGTTGGAACGGTATTAAGGGCCACAAAGGTGGTGGTTTGATAGATGGAACGATTATCTAAGCGTCGGGGTATGCAATACTCTAGCCATCGAATTCATCGTACCCTCCGAGGTTTCCCCCTACTGCCATGGCAGCCACTTCTAGTCAGTAGGTCACTTATACGATCGAAACAACCAATAACGTCTACCGTTTCATAGGATTTCAGAGTTGTTGATGATTTAGGGATGCATGGGCAAGAGGTGTGCTGACCATTGCAAGATTTCTATCGAACAAGGCTGCTCCACTATGTATGGAGCACAAGGGTCGCCCTGTCTTGTGTTGGGCGTTCCACACGGCGTCCATCGATGGGGGTCCTTCCTGTAGTCTGACCGACGAATTGCGACTAAAAGGAGAAATCCATGTTCTTTCGAATCATCTTCACAGAGAATCTGGAGTGTTGTCTTTCTTTCATTCGTTTCCCCCTTCTGAAGGTATCCACACTAGCATGGGCATACCGAGTGACAAATCTTCAAAAAAGCCAATTTTCACGTACTCATCCGTAAACCAATGTCCAACTGGTAGAACTGTGCCAATCACGAAGGCGGTGATGAGGGGGCGAGGTAGATTGTTGGACATCCACACAATGAGGGGGTGCTTTGAAACCGCATTCTCCACCAACATGACAAAACCATTCCAGGCAAAAAAGGCAGATTGGATCCCATATCGTATGGCAGGTGCTGAATTTTCATCTCCCAAGATTCTTGCTTTCATGGAGAAAAGATACAAAAGATACTCGTGCAGTAGACCACTGACGACAAAGGTTGCGACCGCTGCAACACCCACGCGGTATCCATTTTTCCGGAGTGGCTTGTATACTCCGCCCTTCAGCACAATATGGACCAATAAATTCCACCTTCTGCCCCAAAAGTCAGACAAGCTGGTAGATTTTGTGAGTGGGCTGTCGCAGAGCTCAATGACAGCCATCCCTGTCAAGCCTTGAATTGTTGTTCCCACGAGCTGTGATGCCGCGGCTAGCCCATGCCCTGTCATAGATGCAACTGCATAGTTGTTTAACAAATGGGACCAGTGAAAGAGGTCAAAGAAATTGTTGTTCAAGTCAGGTCTTCTTGGAAACAATTGAAAGGAGTGTTGGATCAGCAAGGGCAAGAGGACCGACACTATGGCAATGGTTTGACAAGTTCTAAGCAAAACCTGTAGAAAGTCTGCAGTAGAAGATTTCAAAACTTGGCCAGTCTGTGGGTCGAATTTGAACTGTACTGGCGAAATGAAGAATAGCACAAAGCTCTTGAAATCGACGTCGGCGTAGGGTGGCAGGGTGCCATGAATTGCCATCAAACATCGGAAGAACAAGACAGCACAGTTGCCTCCGATTCCTACAAAGATTACAAGATTGTGGGTTTGCAGCCAATCCACAAGGCAGAAGGGTAGAATAGCGACAACCGGTAGAATGGCACCGTATCCTCCCAAGCGGGACTCTATTGAACCTCTTCTTCTAATGACAATGGTGTATGTAGCCACAGCAACAACAGCATTGACTGTCGAGATAATCACCAATGTCAGTGGTAAGAGTGCACACATGACAGTAGGGTGAGGTGGAATAAGACCCACTGCCGCTGATTGGGAGACTGTAAACCGAAACACTGGCTCTCGGACATCATGCTCGATGTCAGGAGTGAAGACACTCCGCAATAGGTCTGTAACCATGGTCTCTTCCTCTCTGACGGTGACTTGCCCGTGAAGGTACGATGTATGCTGAGAGCCAAAAGGCCATGCAAGATCTCGATGAGATTGAGAGAAGAGCTTTCAGGCCCACAAAAAAGAAAAGAGATAGAGTTGACACCAACTTAGTTGAAGTAGTTAAATCATTAAGTACCGTACCGTATAGTAAGATCCAACACAAAAATGACTTAATTAATTAGCAAACCTACCCCCAATCTTTTTTGCTCTCAATAAGCTTAAGGCCATGTTCAAAGTTCTCCCTTCGAAAAGTGATTGATAAATTTTTTGCACTCACATTTTCAAGCGATTTACATGGTCGAGTCATTGAAATTCACTCTGGCACTCTCACAGATCCATCTGCGGCAGTCACCTTCAAAAGTTAGCAACTTGTAGCGTCGCGGAGAGCTCATCAAAGAGGATCCAAGGCTTATAGGCAACACCACTGAAAATGACATCCTTCTTTTAGTCAGCGGGTACATCGCCTTGGTTTTTGGAAGCTTTAAAGTGAAGATTCATTGGCTCCAGTAAGCTAGCTCCACTGTTGCAATTTCCCACAAACCAAGCCACTCCCAGCACAATGGCGATTCAGGAAGACTAAAGAAAGTGTAGCTTTGAAGCAGGTTAGTTCTTTTGCAACTAAGTGAGTTGGGTATGGGGAGAGGAGTACAAGACCATCTATGAGCAACACTCAATTTGGTCGCAGTCCACACGAATATCCAACGGTCCACCCTGCTGTCTAGACATTGCGCAGAGTCCCTCCGGGACACTTCCTGTAATCGACGTGTCGGATAGATCCAACAGCCTCAAATTTGTCAATTCGCTCAACTCCGACGGGATCGATCCAAGAACCCCTCGGTTGCCACCAAGATTGAGTTCTTCTAATCGTGTGGATGACGACAGAGACAAAGGCACTGTCCCGGAAAGCAGATTGTCCGCCAGATTAAAGACCTTCAAATCCGTTCTGTTCCAAAGATCTGGCAAATGCCCCACGAACCGATTCATGGACGCATCAATAAGTTCGAGATTCGGAGCAGAGTGAACGACAGCTGCAGGAAGTGTGCCCGAAAGGAGATTGTTGGCAAAGTTCAACGTTTTCAAGTCGTTGCTAATCCAGCCAATCTCTGCCATGGTGCGACCTGATAGCTGATTGTCATTCAGAAAGACAGCTTGCATGTTGGAATGTTTTAGTGTGAATTGAGGAGGGGGTCCTGCCAGCTTGTTGTAACTCAAGTCGAGGATGCGGAGATGTCGTGTCATTTCTCGAATCATGGTTCCTGTCAATCCATTGTGGGTCAGATTGAGAATGGCGTAGGTGCCATTCTCATTATCACAGGGAGATGTGGGATGGGATGTATACCAGTCGCATTCGTTGGCCGAGTAGTTCATCCATAGATCATTTCGATACCAATCCTCGTCTCCGTTTGTGGCGTAGTAAGTGGCAGCGAGAAAAAAGCGCACCTGGATTCGTTCCGCTGGATAAGAGAGCAAATGAGGATCCAATGTGACCCATCTGTTGGCCTTATGTTCTGGACTGAGAGGGTCGGTGCGGATTGTTTCAATGGTAGTATCATCCAGGTCACTTGTCATGGCCGGTAACACTGGATCGATAAGTGGTGTTCGTTCGTCCGAGGAATTGTTCTTTCGATTGGCCGCAAATCCCACAGACAAGCCCACGGCCAATGCTCCCCCAACCAATCCGGCTAGCACTGCCAATATGGAGCAAGAGAGCCGCTTGTTCGTTTTGACTGCATCGATTAGTGCTACCGGATCGGCTGGTGGATCAGGTTCCATTGGTTGAGCCTCTACCAAGATTTTACTATCCTCAGGTGGTCTTGGTTGCTGTTGTTGCAAGCTCTCTACCAAGTGGGCTTGAATGGGCTCATCTGGTTCAAATGGCATGGATGCGTTGTTCTGTTGTTGTGTGTTGAAACTGTCATAATTTTCATCGCGTTCCATGGCATCAATCCCCGCCACTCGAACCGCCCCAGGAGCTGATTGCTGAGTGCGAAGTGGTACAGGCGAACGCACAGTTTCTTGTTCCGCTCCATGGTTTCCGGTAGGCTCTCCCAGATGATTTGTGCTTCTGTTTTCGTTTAGTTCCATTTGTTTCCGTACGGCGATTCTCTCTTGCACCACCTTTATAGCAATTTGGCTGTCTATTGTGCTTTCTGTCACTGACTGAGGTCGTCCTGGATGATGATGACCAGATGCAAAGGAACGATCGTGGCAAACACCAGTTGCCGCCTTATTCTGAGGAATGTCCGATGATTCCAAATCAATTTGAGTGGATGCATTCCCGATTCCTTGATTTTGCAGCAGTCTCTCTTGAACCACCTTCATGGCAATCCGACTGTCCATTGTACTTTCAGTCGCTGGCTGAGGTCCTGGATGATGATGACCAAATGCAAAGGACTGATCACGGTGACCACCAGTTACAGCCACTGAGGCCGGCATCATTCTACCAGCCAAGGTCTGAGGCGCATTCTGAGGAATGTCCGATGATTCCAAATCAATTTCAGTTGATGCATTTCCTTGATTTTGCAGCAGTCTCTCTTGCACCACCTTTATGGCAATTCGGCTGTCAATGTACTTTCTGTCACTGATTGAGGTTGTCCTGGATGATGACCAAATGCAAAGGACTGATCACGGTGACCACCAGTTACAGCCACTGAGGCCGGCATCATTCTACCAGCCAAAGTCTGAGGCGCATTCTGAGGAATGTCCGATGATTCCAAATCAATTTCAGTTGATGCATTTCCTTGATTTTGCAGCAGTCTCTCTTGCACCACCTTGATGGCAATTCGGCTGTCAATGGTACTTTCAGTCGCTGACTGAGGTCCTGGATGATGATGACCAGATGCAAAGGACTGATCATGGCGACCACCACCAGTTACAGCCGCTGAGGCCGGCATTCTACCAGTTGAGGACTGAGGTGCATTCTGAGGAATGTTGTTCGATTCCAAATCAATTTCAGCGGATGCATTCCCGGTTCCTTGATTTTGCAGTTGTCTCTCTTGAGCCACCTTTATGGCGATTCTGCTGTCAATTGTACTTTCTGTCACTCCTGATTGAGGTCCACCAGGATGACTCTGACTCTGCACAAGTGTACTACATGTAGTAGTAGATTGATTCTGCTCCTCCATAGTTGGTATTTTCTTGTTTCCAGTTGAATTAGCTTCCCCAATTTCTTCCTCTTGATTGCTCGGTGGCACTGCCCCATTAATGTGGGCATGGCCGGCACCATTATCATCGCCGGTCCCGCTGTGTTTCCACCCAACTCTCGAGTTCAATGCTGATTCTCTTATGCCATCATCTGATGAGGAGGACTCTCCTGACGACTTTCGTTGATGGCTATTATTGGCCTCCATCAGTTCGTTGTTGGGTGTTGTGAGCCTCTTCTTCTAATGGCAATGAGGTAGCGGTATCATGCACAGCAACAACAGCAGCTTGACGGTCGAGATTGAACCGCTGCACGTACTGGTACTGCCGTAGCGTAAACCAGTTAAGCTGGATGGAAATCAGCCAGAAAGGAAGATCCGGCATACGGTACCTGGTGGTACCACACCCATGCAGTGACACAGCGTGACCACAAACCACAACACCCGCAGCAACCCGCAACAACACAAGAAGAGAAGCCTCAAGTCGACCATGGCGCAAGAGGAAGAGACAACCACAACAACAGGTCAAGACGACGCAGAGTCCGAGTCCTTGGCCAAGCAGGCCATCAAGAACACGACGCACGCGGTGGAAGAAGCGGCAGAAGTGGTGGTAGATGGAGCCAAGAAAGCCGGGGATCTCGTGGTGGATGGTGCCAAGAAAGCGGGAGAGGCAGCGCAGACGGCCGCCCACAAGGTGGGGGAATACATTCCCGATCCAGTCAAGAAAACGGCCAAGAATGTCAGCGATTTTGTCACGGATGCGGGTGTGGAGAAGACACCTCCCAATTGGGATGCCGAACGAGAATTGGAATTCAAAATGAAACAGCAAAAAGAAGGATATCGGTATTAGCTGCCTATTAGCTAGAGCAAGCCTTGCAACTTGCAAGGCAGATTGGAGCAACATACTGGAGACTGAAATAATGGAGCAGGATATTATTATGATGAATGATGCAATCAAAAAAGATCGATGTTCGAGATGCTGCCTGGCTTTTGGGGCTTTGGGTGGAATCTACAATCTACTACAAGATATGGACGCCAGCTACTCCAAGACGAGAAAAACGGAGAAGACTGCTTTGTTCTCTGAACATTCTGCATCTAGAAGCCCACTGGCCAGGCAAACATAATTTTGTATTTTTGTGGCTGTATATGTTCGTTTGCCCCTGCTCGTTGCAGAGGGCTCAGTTACGTTGGCAGACTTTCCAACGTCATCTGTTCAGCGGTGATCATAGCATACCTTACTTTTAGTTACAGCCCTCTCTGGTCCAGAAGAAAGGCATAATCAAAAGCGAGTTCTCGGTAATATTTGTATCGGTCGCTGGCGCTGAAATGACCAGCCGAAAGCTCCATTTTCAAGCACACCGGGCCGGACTCGGGGCTTTGTGCATGTCGTAGTGTGGCTGCAAACTTGGCAGGTTCCCAGAAGGCTACTCGTGAGTCATGCAAACCTCCCGTGAGCAAACAGGACGGGTAGATGGCTCCTTCTTTGACATTTTGCATGGGAGAGTATTCCATCATGTATTCATGAAACTTTTCTTCGTTTGGATTCTGGGCGAGCATGCGTAATACATTTCAAAAAGTGTCAGGACTAACGCGGTCGCTCAGAACCAACAGGTTGTATCAATAGTGACATCATCGGAAAACTTACCCCCCACTCTTCCCATTCCCCGGTTGTCAAGGGGATGGACGCATCAATCATGGTGCACACTACATCCACAAATGGCACACCCAGAATGGCAACTTTGAACAATTCTGGTGCTTGATTGATTGAAGCACCAATCAGCAGTCCACCGGCACTTCTCCCTTCGCAAGTGAGTTTTTGTGGGCTGGTCAACTTTTTGGTATCAATCAAGTAACGAGCGACATCTACAAAGTCATTGAATGTGTTCTTTTTGCAAAGGTACTTCGCACCGTTGGGTTCCTCATACCATTGGCCTGAAGAGTTTGAGAGACAGAGACAAAAGTTGTACAGATGTGAACAACCATGCACAGTTGGCGTTTGCAATCCAACACAATGAGTGACTTACGACCCATTTCTCCACCTCCCCGAATCTGAGCAATGGCATAGACAATCCCTCGGTTCAACAAGGACAGTCGGGTGGCACTAAACGACGCTTCCATGCAAGCTTCGTAGGAACCATAACCGTACAGGTGACAATGAACGGGCTCGCCGCCCCCACTACTGGCGACATGTTGTTCCATGATATCCTTTCGGTACACCAAATTGACTGGTATTTCCGTGGTGCCATCGCGCGACAGCGCCATGACCCGCTCACAGTTGTATAGATTCTTGTCATATCCCGGAACGAGCTTGTCTTTGAGCACGGTTCGTTCACTTTCATCAGTCGGATTGTCCAGTGGCAGTTCCAAGTACTGCAAGGGTGTAATCATGGAATCATAGGCCACCACAATCTTGTCCACATCAAATTCAAAGTGACTGGTCAAACCAACATCGTGGGCTTCCTCTTCAAATGTCAGGGTATCAAATTTTACCACTTTGTTGATATCATCCATGGTGAGCAACCATACGCGAGGCATGCCTCCTTCCCGTCCTTGTGCCACAACATGCCCGGCAAACGCCGTGACACCATGCAAGGCTCGTGCATAACCACCATCAAACAATGGTGTTCCTTCAGTAGTAGGATCGGTGACCAGTGCCCAGTCGTCTTGACAATTGGGTTGGGCGGGAGCCGTGAACAAACGCATATTGGGTGTCCCTTTGACATTGGACGTGATCCACCATTGTTCATTTCGATGTTCGACGTCATAGAGTACTTTGAACCGGCGTTTGGCAACACACTGCAGAGTGCTGCTATCATTATCGTCTTTCAAATCCAAATAATGAACTTCGGAAGTTTCCGTGGAGGATGTTTCCACAAAGAGATACTTGCCATCGAGTGATTTGCTGATGGATGTCCAGTACATTTCATCCGTTTCTTCAAACAAGAGTTCATCGTCCTCTTTTGTTGCAGTTCCAATAGTCCTTCGATAGACTTGATACGGTCGTAAAGTACTGTCGAGTTTGAGATAAAAAATGGTATGATCGTCATTTCCCCACAGCACCCGGCCGTACATTTGAAGGGATGGATCGTGATCGACAATTTCTCCCGTTTCTAAATGTTTGACGTAGAGCTCGCACTGTTCGTCTCCTTTAAAGTCGACCGTATACGCCAATAGTTCATCGGAAGGAGATGTGGTGACACTTCCCACGGCACAATAGTCTTTGCCCTTGGCTAATTCATTGACGTCCAACTTGACTTGTTCTCCTGGTAAAATGGGCGCTTCAGCAGATCCATCCCAATCCATGTGGAGGAGTGGATTATTATGGTCCTTGTCACTGTCATGCTTTCGTGGTGCCCGACAGTAAGATGCATACGATTGCCCCTGAAACGTGCGTGAATAATGATAGTACTTTCCTTTGGGTCGCGGTAGCGTGTAATCGGTTTCTTGAATACTCGACAGCATTTCGTCGTAGAGTGTTTGGCGCAAGCCTTCTAAATGTTGTGTCAGATTGCCCGTGTAATCATTTTCTTGTTGCAAATGATCCAATACGGGTTGCTGAGTCCGACTGTCATCTCTGAGCCAACCGTAGGGATCGGGAACCGCCACGGGTGGATCGAGTAATTTGTGGGCCGAGTATTCCGATTGTCGTGGCACATCGGAAGGCCACCCTTTAGGAGCCACACCGGCGTAAATGACACGATCTTCGTGTCGTTCCGCGGGTGGTGGAGTCAAGTCGCCTCCTCTCTGGGTGCCAAACAAGACTTTGGTAACGGCGGCACTGGGACCTTGTCGTTGTCGTCTTAGATTGCGAGCCAAGAAAAAGGGCCGAAAGGAAAATACACTCTTGGCAAACAACATCAATATGGAGAGGAACAGAACAAGAGAAAAGAGTTGCATCGTTGCCATGTTACAGCCCAACTATACTGGTACCGATAGAAGAGATCAAGAGGGTGCTCCTGTTGTCAGCAAAAAATGAGAGAGCTGATCGCGAAAAAGATCGTGAGCTTGAGGTCGAAAACGTCAGAATTGAAAGGTAGATGCGGTAAACATAAGGCTAATGTTACAATAATGATTTAAGGGAGAATTATGTTTACCGAACCTACCTGATCTTCAAAAGATACGCCAAAAGATTTTGAAGGATCCAAAACCCATAAATAATCAAAATGTTCAACAAAAGGATAAAAATGGAAAATTGCATCCAACGCAACGCACGGCCACCATTCACTCATTCATTCATCGCCATGGCGTTGGTTGGTTGGCAACACCACACTCTTCCTGTGGGAGAATGAATGCAATGATGATCAAGACAGTGAGTGAGTGAGTGAGTGATTGACTACACAAGTGTATATGTTGTTGCTGTTGTTATTGCTGTCGTAACCAGATATCTTTGAGCGTGCCATCTTGGCAGTAGTGGTTCGGCCGAACAAATCTGGGACATAAGTTGGGTGTTTTACGTAACTGATCCGCAAACCACAGTTCATGTCTGACTGGTTTGGGGGTTTTCAAATGCCCACATTTATTACGTATGCAACTTACTAATGCCAATGAATGCTCATGCGACTTTTCTTTACGTTTCAAAAGGAAAGGAAAGGAAATTGTTGGATTAGCCTAGCTACCCGCATAAGCGACCATGATATTATGGCCACGGACACAATGATTCCAAGGTAAGAAGATACCATTGTACTGTACCGTACTGTATCATGCATTCCACACCAGTTTGATCTCCTTTAGACCCTTCTCGAAAGAAAAGTGGTCGTATTGGGCTGCTTTTCTCCCCGAAGGGGTTGATGCACTCCCGTAGTGGTCCAATACTTGTTTATATCGACTGGAAGAAAGACATCGTCTATCACAGCCCCCTTAATAACCTTTGCCACTTTCAAGGGGGTCCTTGACTGACGCAAACATTTCTTGTCATCATTTCTACTACATTATTCTAACCAACGTTTTGCTCTGTTTGGATGCTCCCAAAATAGGTAATCACCACCTACTCTATCGGTATGGTATGAGAGTACCGATAGCTGAAGCTAACTGCCCGCTGATTCGAAAGAGCTGACACCAATGAAGGACTTTATTGTTTTGGATTGGATGGAACGCTGGTCCTGCCGTAGTCGCTAGCTAGCTTCTCGACCAAGACGTTTTGTGCTGGCACAGATCCCATGGCTGGAACTGTGCTTTTACGGAGGAGTTCAAAAAACAGAATTGCCATTGATGACAAACCGAACTTTTGATGGCTCAGCCAACCTGACGGCTCACGTTACAATTCTAGTAGTACTGTGATATTCATTCTTCAAACGCATTTTGTGTGCGCAAGTGGAAGACGACACAACCAATAACCCAGAGACTTGGGACGCAAATTCGTTTTGGGCCATTTCTTCGCCGCTTAAAGGCACGTTCCATCAGTCCCAACCAGAAGCGATGCATCTTTCATCGCGCCGCCCTTTTGCACATCCTTTGTGGCTGGAGCAAATCAAATCGATCTGCGAACAGATAGAGTGGTCGGTACGGTATGGGAACTACCACAGTTATTTGGCGGTCACCTTAGTCGATTGTTCTAAAAACTAACTGTTGTGAGCAAGCTGCCTCCCTGAAATAGTGCTTGCATCATTCACACGTAGTTGCTGTGGTTGTTGTTGTTGGTGTCTCGGCGAAAGTTAGTGGCTATAAGATTGGTTAAGCTTGCTGCCAAGAACAACGCTTATATACTTAAGGGACAACGATTCTGCCTTTTGGCATTTGTGCAATCAGACGGAAGGATCTCAAGGGGCATTCATTCATTCGCTTCGTACTACAGCTCTTCTTTGACACTGTTTTCCGCAGCGTCTGTTTCTTTGTCGTCAGAGGGCAGCGGATCGTTGCCCGTGCTGCTGTCCGAGGAATCTGCGGTTGGTGCCTCCTCGGTAGTACTGGAAGACGTGCTCGAATCGACAGCCCCCGGCAATACAGTTGCATGGCCTGCCTCTTGAGGTTCATTGTCGCCTGCAGAGATTGCATCATTGGAGTCTTCTTCTTCTAAGCTTGTGTCATCGGGAGCTTTGTCACGGGGCTCGGCAGATTCGTCTCGGTCGTCTCCTTCTGTAGATTGTTGTTGCGCAATATTACTGCCAACCACGTCCTGATCGCTACTACCGGGTTTTGGCTCTTGAGTTTGCTCTTCTACTGATGGTATTGCAGCTGCATCTGTCTTGACGCATTCATACGAATGAATCAGTCGTTTCCTCGTCGCCGAAAAGCCCATGTTGGGCAAGACATCGGCTTGCAGCATGAAAAAGTTGAATTTGATCAGTTGTCGACCCGGCAGTTGATCCACGTGGTTGTCTTGGTCCCACTGGCGGCAAAGATACGACCAGAGTGCTTCTCCATCTTCCCCCTGTAGTTCGGCCAGATAGGGGAAGGACCGCCATCGCCCTGGCCGAGACGTGGATGTACAGGGAGCCCCCGCTCCGGGCAACCGCCAGTCCACCTCATCCTTTTGTCCCCATACATCCACGACGGATCCATCCACCAAGAGTCCAGGCGCAATTTCCCATGTGACATATCTGGAGAGAAAGAAGAAACGACAAGATTGAATTGAGCAAGACCAAAGCCGGGATTTCCAATGGGAGAACAAGCAAGTACAATCATCAGCTTTGCGCCATGTTGGCATTCTGGACAGCACCAATGAATGCTTCACAAACTTACTCTTCGGCTCCCACAAAAACATTCCAACGACAGTGAAAGATGGTGCTGTAGAATATCATTGTGTTTTCATCACAAGAACCGCTGTTGAAGGCAAACCAAACGTTGCCCGCAACCATGGACACTATGAGCAACGTGGAAACGACCGACGACACGGATGGCGTGGACGTTGCTATTGTGGCTTGTTCGGTGCTGATCCGTTCCCAACCAATGGGGAGATAAATACACCACACCGTACATGCCACCAAACTCAATAAAAATGCATTGTTCATGCACAGTGCAATGCCCACATGCAATTGGCAAATCAACAACACGGCCGTATTGGCCATGCCAGAACTGCCCAGATAGGCTCCCAGCAATGCCAGTGGTGCCGCCAACAATTCGACGTAGACCACGGCCGGTGTCATGACCCGCAATCCTTCAGGGCCCAACATGCCGTACATGTATCGTGCAAAGACGGTGTGTCGTGTGTAGGTATCCAAAGCCGGCAATGGTTTCGCATGGTACGTCCATCCCTGAAGGGGGTCCATGTATTTCCCGCCTCCGGCATCCAAGTAGATCCAAACAACGAGCAGTTTCAAGGCAATCTGATATGTATATATATATATGCATAGAAAATTGGAGGAGCAGACAGAAGACGGTGGTTTAGAGAGATATTCTGGCAAAAGAAAAAGAATGTCTTCAAACTGAGCAACTGCATTCATGACAACATACCGTTCCCGCAGACACTACCAGCTCTCGCTTGGGTGGTTGTTGATTGTTGTTGACTTGATCATTCTGTTGCTTTCTGCTAGATAACCACGCCGAGAGACTCCAACAATGATCACACGGCAAAAACATGGCATAAAAGAGCAGAAAGTGGAAATATCGATCGAGAATAAAGTTGAGCCAGGTATTGCGCAGCGTCAAGGAAAGATAGAGATACCACGACAGAATCGTCATGAGTTTGGTCTGATACCCCACGGTAAACAAGACAGCGGCGACCACCTGAATCCCCAACACAACCTGGATTTGCCAGAGTTCGTGTAGATGTGTGTGGAGACAGACGATCTTGTAAATCCCATCAATCTTGGGCAGTAATAACCGCAGTGGCAAAGTTCCTTCGTCCGAATAAAAGGGATGCAGAAATCGAAATCGAGAAACCAATTCCAGTACCAGCAAGAGACCCAGAGAAATTCGATACAGTGCCAACGACTCGTAGGTACAACCCAACATGGCCTTGATGCCGCCAACATGGTGATGGCTGCTCGTCGATGGTCAAACAGATTTTCGGAACTTCAAAAACCTGTCTTTCTAAAGTCAATCAATCCGCCAATTGGTATCTGAAAGCTCTCCACAACAATGGCTTCAACAGCTTGGCTTCTTCCTTATTAGCTAGCTAGCTAGATACACGTTATAACAGGTGTCAACTTGAGAATAATGCTATCATGCTCAGAGTAGATGGGGCTTCTTTCTTGCATCCGAAGCCTGTCAATCAGGCCCAAAGATCCAAAGAAGATACACTTCTTACCATTAACCCTAATCCCCCCTTAATGGAAACGGCCGAATGACGCCTCCATTTGAAATCCAGGTGGTTCAATTTCAAAATTCTGAAATCATCGTTTACCCTAACGCGAACGCATTTTTGAAGTTTATATTATTTTCAAACGTTTTTAAAAGTTTCAATTTTAAAAATTTGATTTTCTGGGTTGCGATCAAATCGAATGGGAACTCGTTTCGCTGCATGTCTCGTCATCGAAAGCATCGTCGTTCTCTCATCACAACTCCTTCTTCTTCTTCTTCTTGGACAAAGAAATGCATGCATGACGATGACAATGATGGTATTGAGAGTCCCACGTTCACGTACCTCGAGATGTGCATCTACGGATGGACCCTCGGCGGACCGCTGTGTGGTTGAACGGATCCAGAGTCATCTTGCGGTGGTTCCTGTTGGGGTGGGCGCATGACGATGACAATGATGGTATTGAGAGTCCCACGTTCACGTGCCTCGAGATGTTCTTCTTTGATGAACCCTCGCGCGGACCGCTGTGTGGTTGAACGGATCCAGAGTCATCTTGCGGTGGTTCCTTTGTGGGGGTGGGTCGTCCTCGTGCAACGGTAAGTCCACTTGTTCCTGTCTTTTGTGCCATTGCTTTTTCACGGTCATCGACCGTTGCCGCCTCATCTCTTTTAGTTCCCAACGTAGGTCTGCTGTGCCGGTTGAGTTGAGCGGATCCAGAGTCATCTTGCGGCGGTTCCTCCTTGGCTGGGTTGCATGGTTATTGCGTTCGTCATCTTGCAAGGTAAGTCCACGTGTTCCTGTCTTTGTGTCATTGCTTTTTTCACGGTCATCGACCGGTGCCGCCTCATCCCCTTTGGTTCCCCAACATAGGTAGGTTTTGCACACGATCCCTGCTCGGACTGGTCGGCTTCAAGACGTTGGTGTTCGAGAAGATATCCCAAGTGCTCGATTCGTTTCAGTTCGGTTCCATTTCTTCCAAGTCAGATTGCTCTGCTCGTCCAAGCTTTAGGAAGATTGATCCGTCAAGTTGTTGCCAGGACACTCTCCTCGTTCCCGCGGTTGCATCAATATCCCTCCTGAATAGACCCAAGCCCAAGACCCAACCGGTGATGATTCTTCATACTTTTTAGTGTTAGATAAGCTTCCCATCTATCTATTTGAAACGTTCTGTCCGGTTTGCGCACGTTGCTCCTTTCCTTCGACAGCATGGCCGACCAACATTGCATCCGCTTTGCTTATCGATCCGATTCGTCAGCTTCCTAACTCTTGTTTTCAATTCTTTTCCTCCAGGCCTCTGTTGCATGGTTTGGGCTGAAGCTGTTCTGGAAGATCTTTCTGTGTTTGGCTGGGCTCGTCTCGCCGTATGCATCCATGCAAAGCGTTCTCTTGCTTTGTGAGCCTTCCTGCCACTGACCGCATGCCATCAATTCTCTGAATGACCACCCCAAGTACGTACACTCTTTCAGACCGTCGATTCGATTGATCATTCGTCAGCTTGCCTAACTCTTGTTTTCATCTTTTCTTCCGGACAGCCCATGCAGTTTGTCGTCACCCTTCTCGATGCTGCATGGTTTGGGCTGAAGAAGTTCTGCAAGATAATTCTGTGTTTCCGCACTCTTTCCGACCGAAAGCCATCCTCCAACAGATTGTGCCCGAACGTTGCCTTGCAATCATCCTCCAGCAGCCAGCAGATTGTACTCGGATGTACGGCACCATCCTTCTTTCCTGTCCATGTGTCTGGCCTCAAAACAGCTTCTTCTATGCTTCCGGTTACTAGGTACAAGCAGAGAAGTTGCTTGTCCACCCCTATCTATACAGCTCCGCCCGATTGTCATGAAAGGAACATTAGAGTACTGTATTACAGATCTCCTTTAGCTGGATGCACATGCTACGGCGACACTGTTGGTGGGTCGGCTGGCTGGTTCCTTCTCTCCGTCAGCGACCCTTGGATCTGCCTGGCTGTTTGTGGCGCCGAGGAGCTCATGTTCACTCTTAGATAGCTTAAGTCTCACTTCTTCTCTCTCTTCACATGCCCAAGCCATGGTTCCAGCGTTCTTCGTCTCTTGGGCTGGTCGGGCTCAAGACTTGTGTCCATGTCAGAGGAATCAACAGGGTCGGTCCGCACTCAGGTCGCATCAGCTCAAGGGGGTCTTTTCGTGTTCAACCCCTTTTCGCTTGTTCCTGGGATGCACTCTCGGCGGACCTCTGTGTGTGGTTGAGCTGATCCTAGTCACCTTGCGGCGGTTCCATTGTGGGTCGGTATCGTTCGTCCTTGTGCTGCAAGGAAGGTCCTGTCTTTGTGTCATAGCTTGTTTCACGGTCCGATCTTCAGTTCCCAAGGTAGGTCTGCGGGATAAGTATAGTCAGCTGCTGGTTTTGCCTTCTGGCCGATCTCCTGAGCTAGCCAGACACCTGATCCTCCCAGAGGATCCTCCCGGATGAGACAATGGGAACGCACGCTGGAGAGCCGCTGGAGTTGGAAGTTGGAAGCTGGAGTTCAAGATACATATTGCCATGCCGAACACTAAGTCTTAAAAACACCTTTTACTGCTCTGCTTTGTTCTGGGCCGTGCAATCCTGGGTCATTCTCAGTTGAAGGTCGAAGAAAAATTACTGAGTAATTCAAGTTAGTACTTAAAAGTTCTGATGACTATTTAACGCTGGGAAGCTAGCTATTTAAAAAAAACTCAGTTCTCTAGTCTACTGTTCTTGCCAGAACCGAATTGGAATGCATACAGAGTACAACATGTATGTACTTAAAGTTCTGAGTGGCTATTTAATGCCGAGAATCTAGCTATTTAAAAAAGCTCACTACTGCTCACTTCCAGAACCGAATTGGAATGCATTACCAGTGTACTCGAGTACAACATACAACATACACGTACGATCGAATAATTGAAGATCCGAAAGAACGAAGAACACAAAATGAACCGGCAACGTCAAAGGAGGCTTCCAAGCGTTGTGCATCCTTCATCCTTGGTTGCTCATCATTCCCAGTTCTCACAAAACCACAAAAGCACCAATTCAAAAGCAAAAACAGCAACAAACATCATGGGAAACCACACCTCTGCACTCCCCTTGGACAGGAAGAACATCCCACCTGAAGTCTTGGCCATGCTGGAAGACGAAAAGAAAGCAGCCCAGTTTTTGGCAGATGTCCAAGCCAGTTTCACAGTGGACAGTGACAGTGACAATCTTGGGTTAGATTACACTATGCACGATATTTTGAAAGCCCAAAAAGTCAAGCACAATAAGAATACGACAAGAGGAATCAAGAGATCCAAATCAGGCTTAAGCTCAGAAGCAAGCAAGGCAACTTCCAGCGAGCAGAGCCAACAGAACAGAAAGCCTCACCCGAATGGGGTTCAATCAGACAGTGTGAACAGTGAGCACAGTTTGAACCCCCAAGAAATTGTAGGTCTGTTGGAGCAGTTTGCCACAAAGGATTGCGACACGGGCATGGCATTCTTCAAGGCGTTGGAAACCAAAAGACCAACCTCCAAGTACCACAATGGCACAAATGCCAACACCAAGGCCTCAAAGGCTGCTTAATTGAAGGGGGGAAACAGCATCCAACAAACCAGACCAACAGCATGAAGCACCCATACCATACAGACACAATAGGCAGTATGTATAAAAATAGAGAAATTGATATAGAGATAGAGAAAAAAACCTATTTTGAAGCATTATTGGCTAGCAGCTACAACAGCAACTTCCACACCTCTATCTACGCCTCGGCCCGAAAGTCATGAAAGGAACAGTGTTAGAGCACTGTATTGTAGTCGATCTCATCATCTCATTGAAGCTTTTGAAACATCAGCGTTGCCTTGCGGCCAACAGGTCCCTTTTGCGCAGGGGATGACATGATTGTATGAAGTGTGCCAAGCTGCCCGATTGTGATTTCTTGCTGCTTGGCCATAATGTGAGAAAGTAGTTTGTACAAGCGTAGCATCACAACTGGATGGGCTGCTTCTAGTTCTTCCATGCGTGAATAGGATAGATGGTGCAGCCGGCACGAGGTGACTGCCAGATGAACCCCAACACTCTCCAGACCGCTCACCGCCTCCACGGCACCGACCACCCAGCCCTCTCCTATTCTCGCGAGTCGAAAGGTTTGCTGGTGAGGGGTACTGTGCTTGGTGGATTTCATTCTGGCATTGTCACGTCCAATCGTATCCGAGCGCATTCGGAGCTCCGAAATAGAACCACCGAACGCCAACGGGCTCGCGAGGCTGCGCGTATTGGCTGTTAAACCAGACTCCCTCTCGATTTTCATGACACCCTTTTCGATGAAGAAAAGTCCTCGTTCCGGCATAGAGGGAGAATCGTACAGCGATTCGCCAGGTGTCAACTCAATCGGCGTTGTGTGCTCCTCCAGGCTAGCCAGATCCTTTGCAAAGTTTGACCCGTGCTGGCCACCAAAACGGAACAACACATTCGTCAGCACACAAAAGGAAAAATCAGCTCCTCCTCACAACAATTCCATCTTTTGCTTACCTGTTCGTCAATACATCTCAGGGCCACCTGAAAGCCGCTTTCCTCTTGAAGGGAGAAGAGGTGGCTAGGGCCAGGGTTATCTTCCATTTGGACATCCAAAAGCATGTCTTCTGCTTTTCCAATTGCCATGTCCAAACTCGAGAAGAACCGTAGCTTCCTTTCCGAGCGTTGTCCACCCAATGGCTTCACGCCTGCATGGGCCAACACACTTCGTAGATTGTTGGAAAGCCCGGAAAGGAACAACTTGCAGTCATGCCTTTGACACAGGTTGAGAATGTCGGAAATAATGTCAACCGTGGATGTGTCCATTCCAGTAACCAACGCCATGTCCAAAACGACAAACTTTGGAATCGGCGGTAAAATGGCATTCTCTTGATCGTCTTCGTCCACGTCTTCAAACATGGAAGCAATGTAGGAGGAAATGGAGGAACAGTTTCCAAAGAAGAGGTAGTTCTGCAATATCACAACTTGAACCAAATCACCATGGTGGTCCAGCCACTGAGCACTGGAAACAGGGCGCTTAATCGTAGATCGGATGGTCAAACCTGACGCGGCAAACTTGACCACTCCACTTTGAAAGAATGCCCCCACAAACAAAAAGGTGCTGATGGCGATACCCAGAAACACCGCTTTGAGCAGACCCATGCCCATGGCAAACACCACAATGAGTGGCACCACCAGCCACTCTTGCTTTGACTTTGTTTTGAAGTACGACCGTATCAGCCAGGTCAAAGTGATATCAATGAACGCAAGACTGAGCAAACACGAGAAAGCCATCTTGGGCACATAGGCAATGAGCCGAAAGTCGGTCAAGTAAAAGACGGCAATGAGAATGATGGACCCCAGTTGCGGAGCAACACGATCTGCTCGAAGCTATAATGATGCCAAAGTCAACGAAACGAACGGGTGAGACTTCCAAATGTAGATTTCGTGCCACGCCACTCGTGTGCGTGTGTAGAATGTACTCACCGCAAACATGGCATGCGATGTGGCCACACTGGGAATCGTCCCAAAGCCACCGACACACGCCGAAATGACCTGGGCTATTCCATACTGTATCAAGACGGTCTGTAGCGTCCAAGTGGTGGGCTTGGCCCGCTCAACTTCGGTGATTTGTCGCGTGGATGTTTGCTCAATTTTCATGACTTCCTCAATGTCCACAATCTCCGAGAATTTTTCCAGCCGGGTTTTCTTGCGAGGCTTTGGCTGGTGCTCTAATAACAATGAAGTACGCGTTACTTCTTCTTCGACCTTTTGCGTTCTTGCTAGTGTGGGTACATTTTTGAGCAGCGATGCAGAATGTAGTGCACATCGAATGAGGTAGAGAAAGCTCATGGCACATGCCGGCTGAATACCGTTCCAGACCGATACCCAATGGACTTTGCCCATGATGATGCCATTAATCACGCCAAATGGTGCCGGAGGAAGCCACTTGGAAAATCCAATCTGTTTGTGTGTGAGGACAAATGAAAAAGTCAGCTCTGTGTTGAACGATCACACAAAACAAAACAGGCAATAGAAAGCGATGATTCATTCGATTCTATCTGCCTATATACGCACCGCCGCCGAGTTGTGTTCGTAAACAATATCCTCGTGATACCAGAACCATCCTTGCCCCCGCGCGTCCTCCAGGGACGTGCCCGTCACAAACATGACCATGTACACGGTGGCAACGGTAGCAAAGAGTACCAACACGACATAGGCGGGATTTTTGGGTCCCAAATACTTCATAATGATCGCCACAATCACTCCTGGAATGTGATGCATCAAGGCATACCCAATCAACGACGTGTCACCATTTAAAAAGACGGTCCGAAAGGATTTGCCACTGGTATCGACCACAAATCCCAAATGCCACGTGAGAATTCCCACGGCGGTAAAGAATCCACAGAGGACGGGATAGGGCAAAAACGCTCCGAGATTGGCCACTCGAAAGACACCCGCCAGCAGGAGCAACGCTCCCGCCAATCCCATTCCTATGAATGCCAACACACCAAACGTAGCAAGAAACATGTCGTCATTTTCCTCATCACTGAGGTTCGTCAGTAGTGCCAAGTCATCGTCAATAATCTTGGCAATGCTGGCAAAAATAGGCGCCAAGAACAAATCGCAGGTAGGATACATACAGGGCAATCCATTTCCAATATTGTAGAGGTAGACGGGTCCGGCAAAGATAATACCGAGGGCACCCATTTTGGTCATTAATCCCAAAATGGAATTGTTGGCATGCGGTCGTTGAATGGCCGAACCGGATGCCAACGTAAAAACGACTGATAAGTAAACGAGAATGCGTACAAGTGAAGCAAAAGAGTCAAGTGAGTTCATGTCAGATATATATATACTAGTACTGTAAAAGCATGTGTAGTGTAGAAGACATACCATGATAGAGAACAAACATGAAAGCACCAATATAAGTGGTGGGGTTGGTGAGATCCTGACAGGTAATCCTGGGTTCTTGTTGTTTTGCTTTCTTTTTCTGGGTGTTTGGTGTGGGTTGTTGTTTCTTCACGGGTTGTTCCCTGACACTACCACCAGTATTGTAAGCTTGTGGTTGTTGAGTACTTGTGCTGGTGGTACTAAGAGGTGGCGTGGGAATCTTTCGACTGGCTCCAGCAGGTCCCATTTTGGGTGTCTTTTGAGACGATGGACTCAAGAATAATTCTGACAAACCGGAAGAATCATAGGAAGCACTGGAGAGTCTAGACTGAGACTGAGGATGTGATGATGTCATGACAAAGGAATCATCTCGCGAATGAAATGGATTGTTGGGAGGAGGTGCCGGAGGGGGTGCTAGCAAAGACGTTTGTTCTGTGGCTTCTTCTTGATAGCTTTTGCTATTACTATTGCACGTTTTCTGGGTAATCTTTCGCTCCAGTGTGGATTCTTGTGTTTCTGTTTCTTCATTGTGTACTGGCAAGGGTGGAGGAGGCGGAGGCCCTGTTTGGCGGAACAAACTCTGCAGATGAGACACAGATCCTGCTCCTTCGTCTGCTTCGGCTATGGAAAGACCAACGGTACTTCCTGTGGCTCCTCGATGGGTCGGACCCGTCTTATTGCTGTTGCTGGGCGCTTCTTCTTCTGTCATGGTATTGCCTACAGGTATAGTCTGGGATGTTTTTACTTTTACGGTAATAACATCTGCAAACAATGATCTTTGAACGATCGAACAGCAAAGCAAACTCCGCCGTTTCATTTCTTCGGCGCACCGTACTCGTATCTTCGTCGGAGTTGGCATCAACCTTTTCCCGGAACGGTCGTCACCAAAAAGATCCTGCAAATCTACGGTAGGGTTAAAGAACAAAACGACTAGCTAGGGTTAGAAATTAAGGCTGAAAATGTAGATCAATCACAGGCTATCTGGCTTATTCTTTTGACCATTTTCCTTCACATTGCAAAGATATAAGGGGGTTTAGAGTAGGGAAATTATCTACGGCAATGGTTGACCAGTGGCCATGAGATCGAGGACCGCCCCCAAGGCAACACCACGGTACCCTTTGCTCTTGTCTTTCTGACCTTATTGAGTAGCGTTATAGAGACTTGTGTTCCTGCCATTCACCATGCCTCCTCTGGAGCCATCTGAAGACAAAGAAGAAGGTCGTGAGCAAGCTCAGGAGGAGCTTAACAGTGTGGGTCCTCGTCGTGGTCATGCCAAGTACAGCATTGATGCTGTAGCCGCATCCAGCACTCATGTTTTGTCCCCCCAACAACTCCAAGACTGGTTGCATCATCGCGTGTCGCGCCAACAATGTCTCTCCAAGAAATACTTTGTCAGTTGGCGGAATTGGTGTACCGCGGCGGTTCATGCCATTCGCAGTTGTCTGGCCCAAGAGTTACCGCATCCCCCGTGCGATGCCCAATTTGGCCGCTTGTTTTACCAATTGGCTCAAGGCGTGGATCGCGGTGAAATGCCATCGTTTGCCCATCCCACCGCCCGATCCGCCTATGCCCTCGAATTCTTTTGTCGAGCCCGACTCGTTGCGGATCTACTCCTGACCAAGTACCATCTTGGTATTGCTGCTACTATGAAACGTACTTGTGCGAGGGAAGGACAAGAAGACAGATCAGATTATGATGCCGAGGAGGAAGAAGAAGATGTCTATGCCCAAAAGTTTTGTCCTTTATCATCCACATCCACAGGCACTACAGGCAGAACCTGCCGTGTCTTGTCCTTGGGAGGAGGACCGGGATATGACTATGTAGGAGTTTTGCTTGCTGATTGGTTTGGAACGTGCGGCCACAGCACCACTACCATTCAGGGAACAGTCTTGGACTACGAAGAGGGATGGCACGATGTCGTAGAAGCCATGAATACGGCCACTCAAACGGCCCTTCAAACATCTTCATGTCTCCAATGGGGCGGTACCTGCGACATTACCCAATCCCTCCTGGATCATCCTTCCAATGCCACGAATTGCCTCCCCTTGGTCGATACTACCGACGTATTCATTTGTCAGTATACCATTGCCGAAAATGCACATGCCTTGCGACACTCCAACTACATTTTCTTTCAACAACTCTTTCAACGAGCTCCAACCGGATCGCTCATTCTCCTCATTGAAGTCACGCCCCGTCTGTGGCCCGACATTGTGGCACTATTACCGCCACTCGACACTGACACTACAAGATTCCGCATTGACTTTTGCAAGGCTCGGAATCGATCCAATGGACCACAACTCATGATTCAAAAACTATCCATAACCACCATTTCTACGTCTAGTACTGCTTTGGACCGGCACAATCAACGGGCGCTCGAGGCATGCGGGGAATTTCGCAAACTGAAACAATTGCACGACCGCAAAATGGACGCTGGGTTTCAACGACAATCGAGAAAGGTACGGGGGACCAAATAACTAGACAAACCAACAAACATGGCAAGCAAACAACCGCATGGCAAAGGAACCTCCATGGACCATGCATGTGCGATCAATACCGGCACATAGATGTAGTCTCCCGATGTACATATATACCCCTAGCTATAGCTTTTGATTCTATCTCTTACCGTTTGGTATGATGCTTGGTTGGTTGATTCTCTCATTTCTTAAAAGGCATGACTGGTAATGGCATAAGCCATCGCTCCGACCAATGCCGTGGCAATCCCGAGCACATTGACGGTCGTAAAACGATCGTGACCAAACATGTAATGGCCGGAAATGATTATGGCCAAGCGTCGGACCGCATCACTGGCACCGTACGCCACGGGAGCGACCATGCGCACAAATGTAAACGACAGAACGTATTCCAAGTGATATGCCGTGACGGCCAACAGCGACAACCAGGATGGAGGAGGAATTTCGTCGTCCACACAATGCTCGGGTTGTTTTTGGAGTAAAAACAAGACGGCCGTAATGGCGAGCCCAACAGCAACCATGGCCCGTTGTCCTTCGGCTCCCGAGAGACCCGTTTTGGCCAATGCCTTTTTGCTACAGACATTGAGGGCGGTTTGTGCCGACGATGAAATCATGGCAAAGGAGAATCCCTTGGCTTCAAAGACGGGGGAATCCCAGGATGCTAAGGCAATGCCACCGGCAATCGGAACCAGTGACAGTAATGTCGGTAATGCCGGCAATGCCGTGGGTCCATCCAGAAGATACGTGAGCAGCACGGTAAAGATGGGAATGGCGCATTTGCTCGTGTATGTGAGGGATATTCCAATGCGCTGTATAAAAGTAGTAATAATAAAAGTAGCAATCCAAGACAAAGAGGGTCAGATGAGTGAACCGATCAATGAATGCAATGCAGGCACACTAAGCTAGCTAGAACATACTCACATTGAGCGCAATGGAATTGGCATAGTTGGCAATAGTGAGAAAGGCTGCTGGTAGCACAAAATCTGGTATAGTCGCCATTGTAGCTCGGATGCGTGATATCAAGTGCACATCTGGATGGAGTAGTAATCCCAGTAGTAAGGATCCTCCAAATCGAAAGAGTGTGAGCAATTGTGGTCTTGGCAGATGCAGTCGGTTTGGTACATGTATTTTGCAGGAATCTGAATCGGCATGTTGGTATTTCAAAAAGCTAGTTGTTGAATAGGTCGTCAATAAGGCCGAGGAGACAAACCAAAGACCACCGACTAGGTTGACATTGCTGGATAAGGAATCCAGTACAGAAGGGGAGGGGATAACCGCCGGTGCTGCTGCTGCCATGGCTGCGGTTCGCTGATGAACAAGTTTGGACACGGATTTCAGCAGCATTCAAAACGTACAGTACCAGGTATAGCTGAGAAGCAGCAGTACAAAAGGATTGCTGACTTTGATGATGCAATCTGGCTACCGGTGGTACTAGCTAACTAAGGGTACAAACTGATGGTGTCCTGAGCACTGATGATGAAGATACGGATGATGGCACTATCCCATTGGAATGATGGATGAGGCTTCCTTGTACTGTATTGTAATCCAGCAGTGGCATCAGTTTGCGGAAATGTGAAGTCACGAATGACGTACCCATGTCGTCAGTCCCTTCTTCTAATGCACCTCCATAACCCTACTGCGCCTTTCTTTTGCAGGATCCATGGTACGGTACGAACCGCGCGTACTAGACTACTACGGCTGTACATGTAGTATCGTCCGGCTGGTCACCGGCCGGCTGCTTTGGAAGAGCTTTTGGTGGCGTCTATTGTGTCCACCAACGATCTACACTACTCTAGCTAGTAGACCTATAGGCTAGCTAAGGTCGTCGAAGAATAGACCAGAACAGGAAAAACCGTAATCTAGCTAGAGCTACCGTATGGTAGCTACTATGGTTCCGCGAATAGGTTGAATCGAATCGAATCTTTTATCCGTGCCGATAGGGGTACCTGCTCGCCAGGCTTCTCGGGAGTCGAGCCTGGAGGCTGCTGTACAGTGGTCAGTTGTTATCACGGTTGCTTTGCAGACTAGGTATCAATTGTAGCTAGGTGGCTGGCCAGAGCCTGGATTGATCATTCCATTCCCCACGTCCATTTTTGGTTAAACAACCAGCCGTTCCATCCCAGACTGGATAACCAGACAAAGAGATTAACACAGGCACGACAGCTTTGGTATGCCATTGTTGCCTGCACTTTGGTACGGAGAAAGCACCTGATGAGAAAGGTTGGCATGCAACGCCTTACCGTAGATGAAATTTAGAAGATCTATCTAGTAGCTTGTGCTAGTGTGGTCTCTACTAGTCTATGAAAGATTTTCAGCTGCTTCGAAACTCCAAACAGCAGACAAGCCGGCTTTCTGGCGTGAATACTTTGTTCACTGCTGTGGAATGCTTGGCGCGTCCTCGCAGCTCCACTCTGATCTAACTGCGATACACTTAAAACTCAGTAATAAGATACCTCTAACTGGGAGTCAGTAGCGAAGCATTCTTACCACTCATCTGATTTATAGACTAACAAACAAGCCCAATAGTTTCAATAGAAGACTTTCTTACTACCTGCTAAGCTTCTAGCTAGCTAGATGAAACATGATAGTGCTCGGATATGCCCAGTGTACCTGGCCCTCCAACTTGCTTGCCCAGTCACTCACATAATTGGTTTGGTTCAATCAAAAATAGTGAGCTTTTTCATGGTGTCAGACTAGCTAGTATTATTTCTTGTGCTTTGAGGTGTCAACACACTGGCAAGTTTTCATACAAGTCTGTGCTAGCTAGCTAGTCTATTCTAATATTTCAGTATCAAAAGGTTCTACGCGTATTGGTTTACGTTTCTAAAATCTGAGTACTAGGTAGGAGCTTCTTAGCTTCTTAAGCTTAGGTTTTGATGTTTAGCTGTAAGAACTGCTCAAGTTATAGTGGTACCTTGTTGGTTGATAAAAGTGTGTTCGTTAATGGATGGCTTGAACCAGTTGGTCTTCGCTTTCCTTCACAAGCGTCTGAAGAAGGCATTGCTGTACTAGTATGATACAATCTGGATGATACTCGCGGACAGCTGCAAAACTGGCATCAGACGTTCAGATGTAACGCACTCCTTGGCAAACAAAGCTCATGATGAGTTGTGTGTAAAGTCAGAGGTAAGAAATCAGTAATTGAGCCTTGTCATAAGCTTGCTGAAGAGTATGCCTTGAGTTCGGGTTACAAATGAGGATTTAACTCCGCTTATCGCCAAGCAGGCTTCACTAGTCATGGTTCATTTATGCATAATCCACCATTCTAAACAGGGTCGGCCAGGTTACTCTTCTTTCTGCGACAAAAGCCCCTAATTATGGCCAGTGGATCGAAGCTGCGTTTGGAGGAACCGCGAGAGTCTAATCACACACAATATTTTTTTCACCTCATCATCAGCACAACCGACCACTCCACAACACACAACACGAACTATACAATACAAACACACGAAACCCAATGAAGCTAGACCACAGTATGAACCACTCCATGAACCTCTCCTTCAACGAAGATGGGTCTGTCCTAACCGCCAGCTCTGGCATGACGGCCAAACACGGCAATGGTAGAGTTGCTGCCAGTATTCACAAGAACACTGCTCGCACCATTGCATGTACGGAGCACTCCATGTTCAGCAATGACTCGGCATCGAGTTTTTGCAGCGACGGGTATTTGTTCGAGGATAGCAATAGCTCTTTGTTGTTGGATATTCCCTCTCAAGACAAGCCAGAAGAAGAAATTGATGCCTGCATTCACTACATGGGCCGCAACTACGAGGCATCGGACTTTCGTAGTTCGGCTCCCGTCTTGGAACAGAGTTTTCGAAACGCCCGCAACAATGACAGTCTTCTTAATCAGGGTGGGTCCATGCACAATCTCTTGAGTCGATGGGGTCGTGGTAACAGCAATAATTCGGTCAGTCACAACTTGGCGGCCAGTACCACCAGCATGGGACTGGGCGCCAGCGAGCACATTGCCGATCGTTGGGCCAAATTGGAAGATGACAGTCAAGAACAGCAACATCAGGCGCCACCCCTCAGCAGCAGTCCTCCTACTAGCACGAGTGGTGAGGAACAACTAACACTGCAACAACAACAACGACGCGCCAATCGCCGCAAAGCCACTCGCACCGCCACCACCCCACCGTCAGCAGCACGCCAAGGGTTGCCCCCCAAGTCCAACTCCAGCAGCAACTTGATGCTGCAACGAAACAGTTACCACACGCCCCTCTCACGGTCCTCCAACCACGGCGGCGGAAGTCACAGTCAGTTACAGTTGATGAGTGCGCATTCCGAACATACGGCTCTCTCGACACGGAGTATCATGAAGAATGAAACATTCATCAGCAAAGTCTTTGGTTCCAGTCTGACTCCGGAAGAAAAGGAACAACAGCAATGGTCCCAACGGGGATTGGAGAAATGGGGATACACCAATGCCGATGTCGCCAGTATCATTGAAGACGATGAAACTTTTGCCAAGTTAAAGCGCAACTTGCGAAATCGCAATGCCGTCACCAACAGTCTGGTGGTACAACGACTGCATGTCTTTGTCAAGAGTCAAAAACAAAAACAACAACGAGAGCAAGAACAGCAATAAACAAGCAAGCAACTAACAAAGAAAAAGAGCTGGTGGGAGAGCTACGGCGACTGCTTCCAGAACCAACAAATACCAGCCTTTTTCACACTTGATTTGCTGCCTCTTCTGCGTGTACTCTCTTATCTAGCTAGATATTCTTCATAACTACCGGTACTAACCCTTAGTATTCATCTATGTATTGTATGTGTGCTCAATCCTACGAGCCGCCAGCTAGGAGACCAGGGTAGGTAGCTAGAAAACCGGCTCTATGGGTAGCTGATTGTACGGAAGCCAGCAAACCAACAGAACCAGACCCACGGATCACACCGCCGAAAATCATTCCTCCGATTGACGAGTCCGTCGTGGGAAGCGGCGATCCGGTCTCGTCTATGGCTTCGACGCCGCAAATTGCTAGCTATCCGAGCTAGGAGTCTTCCCGCTTCCCGGCCACCCTTAGCCAGTTGGGCCACCACAAAAATTAACTCCCGTAATCACTGGTAAGCACACACATGAAGAAGAAAGTGGCGTCGGCCAACTTCGAACGAAGCGGAGTGTTTAATTGTGTCGCGTTTACTGTACAACACACCGCTTATAGGTTGGTGCCACCTTCGAGACTTTCAGATTAAGAGTTACTTCCCCCCGAAGCTCGAAGAATAAGTAAGATATAGTCATAAGAAGTCTCCAAGGTTCCACTGAATGGCCTCTAGATCTGTTGCTAAATACTGCTCTACACTGTTGAGTACGTATACTTAAATACATCACTAGTAAATGCCGCTCCAGGCTCTTCTTCTGCATGTACACTTGCTTAACAAGCCATCTGACGGTTTTAATGATCCCATTCAAGGGCATCCGAAGAGTCTAACCAATAATTATATACGATGCCTTATCGCGATTAACTACGTCAATGTATGTTAATTAAATAAGACTAACTGCCATTGCTAGTCATGGAATAAACCCAGTGTCTGGTACTGTAGAGGGAAGAATTAAAGGTCAAGTCTAGCGCAGCCGAAAAAATGGTTCCGCTCAACGTTTTGACATGATTTTTCTGGTGAGGTGTCATGACTACAACATGTACTGGTACTAGTAGTACGCTGTATCGTTGGATGCTGTCAGCATCCATCCAAGAGGATTCCTAACTTGTGTCACTTACTTTGACGGCCATTGTTTCGAAGAAAGAGAGGATGAAGATCATTCGCAGTATTAGTATGACTAAAACTTTGAACATCATGTCGAGCAGTGAAGAGATGGATACCGTTGTCGTCAAGATGGCTACCACTGCCGATGATAACAATACGCTTATAGAGACTGGCACGGACCGCACAGCAGAATTCTCGGATCATGATATGGACTTGACCGAGTCTTCCTATGGTCATGATGAGAGCTGTGGCAGTGAAAAAGACTTTGGAGGAGATGACGATGATGACGATTTTTTGGATGGAACCATTCCCTCCATGGCTCAGTTTTACAACAACCAAGAGCAAGAAGAGCCAGAAGAAGAAGAAGAAGATAAACCGTGCATTCACTATTTGGGCCGTAACTACGAGGCATCGGAACTGGTCCATTCGGCTCCCGTCTTGGAACAGAGTTTTCGAAATACCCGCAAAAGTCGTCGGGCTACCTATACAGTGGGGAGCAGCATGAGCACCAACATTGCCGCCATCACCAGTATGAGTAGTAGTAGCAGTATGAAATTGGATTCCAGTGAACACTTGTCGGATCGTTGGTCGCAACAACCAGCCACTGTGGTAGAAGAGGAGGAAGAGGAACAAGAAGAAGAAACGCAAGGGCTCACCAGCAAAACCAGTCACCACTCTCGTCGTCGTCAACGTCAACGTCGGGAGCGTCGTTGCAGTCTACCAGCTACCCAGAGCCTACCTACCAAATCCAGCTCTGGACCCGCCCGAATGTCCAACAGCAGCTTTACCAGTCGCTTGCGAGCCAGTATCAGCAATAAATTGCCGACCAGCATGAGTCAATCAGAGGTCTTTTCTTCCACCCGTCGACGCGCTACCGAAGTGGACAGTATGAACGCCTCCATGACGCACTTTACGGCTCCGCGACAGCGTCGTGCTTCTACCATGCGTGTTGTCTTGTTTGGCCCATCCGAACAAGAACTGCTGGAAGAAGCCCAGTTGAATCGATGGGGATACTCCAATCTAGATGTCAAGAACATTATCGATGACAAGGAAACGTTTGCCAAACTCAAGAGCGATTTAAAGGCACGACAGGCCGTCACCAACAATCTCATTGGACAACGGATTCATGTTTTTGTCAAGAACCAAAAACACCGACAGCAGCAACTACTGTGGGAACAACAGCAAGAACAAGAGCAACAACAAGCACAAACTGTGCAATCGTAAAATAAAAGCAAGTGGGGTTTCAAAACAAATGAATGGATGAAGGAATGGCTGGTGGGAGCGACAATTGCTACGGCGGACGCTCCAGAACCATAAAGAATACCAGCCATGAATTTGTAATTGCCAAAATGTGGATGCCACGCCATTTACTACATGTATTGTATACTAGTACTATGATAGTAAGACCTACTAACCACTAGTAGATACCTCAAACCATCGCAATACAAAACAATACTAGCTAACTGGCTATTACGTCTAGCTAGATGATACGAATCATATCATACCAAGATACCAAGGTGGTCCTTCCATCCATCGTTCCCTAGCTAGCTGGTGCCCTGTGAAGCCAATCCCCGCTTTGGCTGGGTGCGGTTACTCAAGGCTTTGGCTGTGACTGACAGAGTTGATCCTTCCATTGGGGCCATATCCATTGTAAAGGCTCCTTCCATCCATCGTTCGCACTATACAGGTACCTCTTTCACCCGCCGACTGGCCAGATACACGCTCACTGCTCGAAACGAATGACTAATCAGCGCGGCCCTGAACCATGCACAGCAGGACAAATACAGGTAGCCAGAAATTAAAATAGTTGCTGGCATCTTCCTTTTCGGGATGGGGCGGAACTAGCAGAAGCAACTGTGTTGGCTGCTGTTTCCTCTTCTTCCATAGAACCAAGGCAGCCATTGTCAAAAGCCCACCGTGCCACTTCCAAGTGGCCATTTCTCTTGGCACTGGCAAAGGTTTCTTCATCCCATGGACATCCATTGGCTCTGGCCCATGGGCATCCATTTGCTCTGGCCCATTTTGGACTTCCAGATGGCCACCTTTGGCTGCACCCAAACAGGTATCATCACGCCAAGGACAATCATTGGCTCTGGTCCATTTCAAAACTTCTAAATGGCCACCTTCAGCAGCCTGTGCACAAGTGTATGAATCACATGGGCATCCATTTGCCTGTAGCCATTGCAAAACATGCAAGTGTCCATGTCTGGCAGCCGAAGAACAATCATGTTTAGACAATGAAAAGCCCTTCTTGTAGACCCACTGCATGACAGCAAGATTCCCAACCTTGGGAATTGCTGTGAAACCTGCAAGATCATGTTTGGATGCATACCAGTACTCAGCACACGCCACATTGTAGAATGCTGCACTGAAGAAGGTATCATTGCTTGTTGCTAAGCGAAAGCTATCATAATAATGGGTTTTTGGGATAACTGGAGGATCCTCAACAGAGATGCAATATTCCCGGTAAAGTTTGTTCATGTGCTTGTTGATGCATCCAACAAAAGCAAACTGCCCCATCCCCAAATAGGGAAGAATCTTGCCAACCCAGATATCTTCTTGACTCCACAAAAGATGGTCCCCTGATGAAGCCATAACAAGAGGCAAGGTGTGATGAGAGGTACAATTGGTTGTCATGGTGTTTTGCTCTTGTTGGTGTTGTTGCTGTTCTTGCTATGGCTTCGTTCGCAGCATCACTTGTGTTGTGGTGATTGACTTACTTCAACCCAGAAACAGTACCACGATTTGGCGTTTCGGAGCGTGGAAGCAGAACCTGTACGAACCGTGGAACAAAATTTTTGCTCGCGGGAATGGTTCGGTATGACCATACCGGTACCCAGGGTTGGGGTTCACTGCGCAGGTTCTGTACCGGTACCCAGGGTTGGGGTTCACAGGATCCTTTTCGAGGATGGATCTTTGCGCACTGTGCTCAAGACAGCAAGGGGCCACGATGCGATGAGTCGAGTCGACGATCCGTATTGAATGATACTCTTTGATCGTCAATCCAGCCACCTACCGGTATGCACAAGATGCTCCGTCTAGTCCCTGTTGTTGTTGCACGACAAGCTCCGACGTTCATTCGGAGGCAGTGTCGCTTTGTTTCTTCCAAAGTGGTGGTGTCGTCTCAGGAGGAAGCCGCATCTTCCCCCTTTTTGGCCAAGACGGTAGTGAATGACAAGCATATTCTTCAAGCGGATGAACCTACCAGTGTTGGCGGACAAGATCTAGGACCTTCGCCGTATGATTTGTTGCTCTCGGCGTTGGGCTCATGCACTGTCATGACGTTGCGCATGTACGCAGACCGCAAGCAGTTGCCCTTAACGGGAATCTCGGTAGTTTTGAGTCACAACAAGGTGCACAAGAAGGACTGCGAAGAATGTGGTGACACAGAAAAGAGCAAGAGTCCACTGTTTGATCGCATCGACCGCATCATCTCACTAGAAGGCGACGAGTTGACCGAGAAGGAACGGACCAGGCTGTTGGAAATTGCCAACAAGTGTCCCGTCCATCGTACCTTGGAACAAGGACAAGTTGTAGTAGTCTCTTCTTTGGCAGAGTAAGAAGCATAGGAATCGAATGAAAGGACGAATGTCGGCTGCATCCCAATCCACTGAAATGTTTGTGGCATACTAGCTCAGCGGCAAGTCTAGCTAGCTAGTACCATACGGGGGACATAGCTGATACGTAACCAAAGTCAGAGGACAAGTGCATACCTGCAGCTGCCAATAGAATTAGATTTAGGTTAGGAAACTGTGAATAGAGTCATGAAACGTTTGTGGCTTACTCGCTCGGCAGCGAGTCTAGTTATTATAGCTAGTCCGGGTGTCCGGGTTACATATGCAGCTGACACGTACCGTAATAGAGGAAGAGCATACCTGCAGCTGCCAACAACAAGGGTGAATTGACTTGGAAAAACTGTGGATTGATTTTGAGGTAATCATCATTTACAGGCTTGGGTAGTGTACATTCTTAGTTGGGACCTCATGTCAAGCAAGTTTTTGGTCTCGTGACCAAGCTGAGCAGCGAGATCACAGTGCGGGGATTAAACCAGGAGAGGCGCTACCAATGTGTGTGTTGCTGCTTCTGTGATTTCTTCTGGGTCCTCTGCTTTTGTACTTTCGGAACCACCACCACTGCGAACCATGTTGATTGGCTTGAACCACCAGACCATCAAGGCGAGCAATAGTTGACCAATGTGACAAGGCAACAAACTAAATCCTTGCCCTGCAAGCATAGCCGATACGACATCCGCAGTAGGGATCCCGAGCATGGCTCCCACCGAAAAGTAGTGTTCCACGTTTCGAACGAGATTCTTGTTCTTGTTGTTGTTGACGCATTCCTCCCTACTTGTTGTTGTTCTTTTGCACTCTGCCTGGTCCATCTCCGATCCTCTGACGAGAACTGAATAGAGGGAAGCCACACCAACCATCACTAGGCCAACGGCGAGTAATTCCATCCAGTAGTTGCCCGTAGTAGCGATGGGGGCTCCCACCAATGCCACAATCAGTTGGGCGATGACAATCCCCACAAGAAATCCCAGGCTAAAACTGATTGGCGCAGCATGTGCAGCAAAACTCGTAGAGTTCTTTCTTGAATCTTTTTGGACCATGGTTGTAGATTGTTTTTTGTTACAGGCAGGAGATTTTGTTTCTGAAGTACAGAGAGACAACGGTGGGAATGGTTTGTCGAGGGGGTGGAAGCAAGCAATGAACGAATGTTCTGAAAAACCAGTAAAACGAAAGTGTTTGTTTCTTCAACGAGATGATGCGGTGTCTACATCCTTTTCATGAGTTTCGCACCACAGATGTAGCGATACATATGATGATGATAGGATGGACGGTCGACAAATATGGTTAACTCAAAAATTCAAAGCATGGCATGGGTCTTTCCGAAAACCCTGAGACAGTAATAAAATGTGGCGATGATCATGCGCGTAGCCCGCCCGGTGTCTCTTCCGGTGTCTCTTTTCATTTTTGGCAAGAAACGCTGTACCAGTACACCAGTACGGGTACCGTAGAAAGATAGACGGTGGAGATTCAAAGTATAAGGGGGGTTTAGAGTAGGGAAATTATCTACGGAAGCCAGCCGGGGCCAGGCTTAAGCAAAGAACAGTCGAAATTCAGGACTAGGTTCTGTGGGATCAGGGGCAAGAAATTGAGGACCATTACGGGGGGCAAAGGGTTTGGCTTTGCGGGATCCACGGAGACATAAATGGGTAGCTTTCACAAGGGCAATTGAGATACGGGTTCTGCAGGAAGAAACATCATTTGAGAGTAGGAAAATTGAGTTTTGGAGGCAGTAGCAGAAGCAAGGCGTTGTAAGAGAGTCTTGGCTTGAGGGGCAAGCATGCCATCCACGAAACAACAAAGGGTGGAAGGAAGCGCGATTGGACTCCACGCATCTTTATATTTGGAAATTTGTCGCGTTCTTGTTGGGTTAAAACTTTGACGGGATCTTTGTTGCGGTAGAGGCACAGTCCAAATCAGTGACACGTACTCAATAATAGCTGTAGTACCTCGTTCAAACAAGCGCGAATGGAAAGATCACCACGTAAGAGCTCGGGGGCTGGAGGGGGATTGAGAGGGGGGGGGAGGAAGGGGAGGTAAGGTAGAAATTGGGTGACCGGAGGGATAGTAGGGGCGGGAACAGATGGAAGGGGTGGTTCGAATTGGACGCTAGAGGAACCAAAGCATTCACATGCAATAGAACCAAGTTCATTGCGGATTTCATTATGGCGACGGATGATTAAGCCACCGCGTTTGGAGATTCTGGTTCAGGAAGGAGGGACAGCACCGCGCAGCCACAGTACGTAGTAGCGACCTCAATTTCATGGTGGATGCCGCTCGTACCCAGAGCAATCCCTTTGTCTCCAAACCTGACCCATCTTGCACCCTTATGCCCATTGGATATCGAAAAAATGCTCAAGGAGGTTTCTCACGCAGCTGCCCACGATTTCCGGGACAAATCCCCGGGATCCCTGTCCTCCACACCCAATAAATGCTCCGACTTTGATCATGACGCTGAGCTTCAATTCTTCCTTCAACAGGAAGGACATGCCCAAGGCTGCCCCATTGCACCTACTACATCCGTCTTTGACCTTTGCCTCCTCCTAAAGCTGGCCACTGAATTGCTTCAAGACAGAGCAGCCCATGCCCGACTTCAAGATGATGGCCATGGTAGTGAAGGTTGGGCTCTCAAATATGTGGATGACTCCTCACTCTTCCTCCACCCTGATGACACCATTCCTGTCCTCCAGGCCTTTCAATCACATGGTAAACCCCTGGGTATCCAACTTAATTTCTCTAAAACTAAACTACTCACAGGCACATCAGGTGTTTCTTCCACAAGTCCTTCAGTCCAGGCAGTCATGAGCTACATCAACACCCAATCGGGCAAAGATGTCCAGCCTGAAATCACCACAGGTGTCCACTTCCTTGGCCAGCCAAATGGTTCTGATGGTTTTGCTACCACCTTCCTCGCCACAGCCGCCACTAGGTATTTCTACAACCACGCTGCAACAGCTGCAAACTCTACTTTTGTATTCAAGCAGGCCAATGGAGCACAGGCAACAGATGCTCAGGTCAACGAGTTGCACCGGAAGTTTGCTAGTCCGTTTCGACCACCATGGCGCTCGCTACTGCAGTGTGGATTGGTATCCCTTTGGGAGCTGGATCTGGTGCGAGAAGAATTCCCAAAAGGACTCCAGGGCATGGCTCTGCTTGGGTTCATGCTGGTTGAATCGGGCCACTTGGCTGACAGCAAAGGTAATGTCAGGCCTGGTGTTGGTGGACAGATACATCAGCATCCCAACAATACTGGAGTAAGACCACGAATCAGTCATCTTCTCTTGGATTGCAAAGCTTCATCCCATCGATCCTGGTTGGGTCATCTTGAATGCTCCATCTGAGAGTTTTTCAAAGTGGATTCCCAGGAAGGACTCCAGGGTATCATCCATGCCGAGCTTGAACCCATACTCTTCCATTGTTCTGAAGAATTTGTCGTTCTCCTTGGGGTCCGGGAAGGTGCACACCAAATCATCAAAAGTAAGCGACCACCATTATGCCTGGTTTTGCGAACAGACGCTTGTCGTTGTTGAACTGGGTGAGCCCATACGGTACTTTTCAAGGGCTTCACAGAGACAGTCACTCCACATTTTTTGGGCAAACGAGGTCCATAGTAGATTATAGATATTGGCTCTTAGACCGAGTCGGTAATCATTTTCTATATCCCATTATCTACCGGTTTCATTCTTTCTATCTTTCTATCTAGCTAGCTTTAGTTAGCAGACGGCCTTTCCTTTTCCGTGCGTCTTTGCGTATGATGATTCACTGCGGAGCTCCTCTTGCACTTTGAGCAAGGTATCTTTTGTAAAAGCCATGCCAATGCCATTCGACCCTGGAAGACTCTCCTGTTCCAAGGGACTAATGACAGTGCAATTGGGGCAGATGAGAAAGGCTGCATCCGAGATGCAATAGAGGGCCGCACAGCATCCCCAGCAGACAGTTGGTGTGTAAAAGTTTGCCGCAATGGCATCCTTTGTCTCATGGCTCAACCGTAGTTTTGCCTTGACTCCAGGGGCGACTTCCAAAAAGACATCACTCGTATCGTCCTGTGGCTTTTGCGCGGGAGCTGGAGGTGGTGCCTTTTTCTTGCCTGTGGCTGCCGCCAGAGGAGCCTGCTTGAGTGATCCCTTCTTGGTGGTTTCTCCTTTGGTCAAGCTGTCAAAGGATGATCCTCGTGATCTCGATTGTTGTTGTCCTCGTGTGCTTTCGACACGAAGTTCCGCGCTGTGATGGGACCCTTGCGGGCTGTTCGAGCCGTACACATCTCGGGGAGGCGTGTTCTTTTCCTCCGCGTAGCAGCGGTCGTACAGGTCTCTACCACTGTACTGCTCCTGCAAGAGCGCATCAGGCTCCGAGTGGAATCTGCGGACTTCTCTTCGACCGGGTCGTCGTTGTGGATCCTCGTCATACGACAAGGACCTGGAATGTAGTGAAGTCCTTTCCGAATAACGTCGTGGATGCGATCGCCCGTGGTGGTGATGATAAGAATCAGCACCAGGAAGGGAGGACTCCTCTCTCCTCATCATCGGCATGGAATTGTCAGAATGACGATACGGATGATTGCGAGGACGACGATCCTGGTACATGTCCATGGGTGCATATACCGGTAATAGCGCCTGTTCTTCTCTGTACTGTCGAAAAGCATTGCCTCGTGGTTGATGATGTCTGTCAAGACCACCACAATCGGCTTCGTAGTCATAGTGAATGTACGGCTCTGACTTGGAAAACGCATGTCCTCGTCGTTGCGAGCGTGGTTGGTATCCTCGTTCATAATAAGGAGGAGCTTCTTCCTGGAAGCTGCGATGGCGCCTATCTTCCCCCTGGGAACGCAGGGGCTCTCGACGTCGGCTCTCGCCTCCATCTTGGTGGCGTCTTCTCGGCCCGCCATCATGGCTCATGATGGTCGAATTGGAACGATGATGACTCTCTGGTGGATACGAGTGGGGTCGGTGCTGCTCGTCACGAGGACGACGGGAATGATCCTGCCCATAGGACATATTGTGATATGCCTCTTGTCTTCTGCGTCTACTGGTCGCAGAAGCATCCCCGTTCCAATAGGTGGAAGAATGCCCGGAAACATTGGTCAATGCCTCGGCAGCTTCTTCGGCAAACAAATGCCGTACGGAGACGGAAACATCATCCTCCATTTCTCCTCCACCTCCTCGAGTACTAGAGCTGTGGTCCAACTGTAATAATAAAGAAGGAATGAAGGGCAACTGGTTGTGAGCACGGATAGAATGTAGGTAGGTAGATGGTTTGCGCCTAGATTGCTAGCTAGCTAGGTAGCTACAATGGAACTTACCATTTCTGGACACGGCTTGAGGTGGCTACCCCTAGTACCAGTAGTACTCGATTTGCCCCCGACACTCCTGTCATAGGAAGATGCACAACTCTCCGATAAGGTCGATTTGGTCTCGTCATCGGGTTTGGCCGTTGCTGTCATGGACGGGTACAAACCATACGGTGTCGGTGGCGCCTTTTTGAGCACTGGAAGACCCCGCCGAGTATCTGACATGTAGGCACGTGGCTTTGGTGAATGTTGAGGTGTGGTGGGTGGTGATTTCTCATGGGGGTAACTAGTGCTCATGTCATATGTAAAGTCGTCATGTTGTTGGGCAGCTGCTAGAGTAGCATTGGCAGGAATGGAGCAAAGCATGATGATGGTTAGAGAATGAAGGAATGAAGATAAGGAGAGGCGAGCACAAACGATTTTACGAAACAGGCACCAATGGTCCAACGGCAATGCAGTGAGCCTCAGTTGCCGATTGCCATTGCTACCTCCATTGCCACCAGGCAACCACCAACCACCCGTTAGATACCGGGGCTACCCTAACTAAGGTACCATTCACAGTCAACAGCGCTGGGATCCAACAACACAAGTCTTGGACTCTAGCTATTACTACTCTACTTACCACCTCGCTTCATGGTGGATGTCTTCTTCATGGCAGGCAGCTAACACCGGTCAACAGTCGGATCAAGCTTTGGAAGCTGCACACACAAAATATTGTGAACGAAGAGAGGCATTTATTTGTTTGTTTCGAGCTCTTCCACAGCAAAGGTGAATTCGACAAGGTGAGAAAGACTTGGGTCTTGACCTCGTGACCTTGTGGAACGCTCGACTTATATAACTTTGAGAAGGAACGCTTCTATTTCCTTCCACTCGCGTAAGCGGTATACACTCGATTGCCGAATGAGGCCGGTAATTTCAAGGCGTCAACCTGTATGGTTGGGGGCATAAAGCGTTGGAAGGGGAATGTCACAGTAAATGAACTGTGAGATTCCAATAACTGACCCTTAACTCTCGAATGACCGTCCCAATTCCCTTTAGTAGTCGCGAGAAACAGCTCGTCCATCAAGCTCCACAGAGCTTACAGTAGCCACCGTAGGATGTTTCATTGGACGACAGGTTGGTTCTTGATTGGTTCATGGGACGCTACAGGGGGTGCGGGATGGTTAGGAAACACCTTTGTCGTAGTTTTACCCACGAGACACACTAAGCACCTTTTTCTCGTTTGGTTTTTCGCAACCGACAGGGACATTGAAACAGGGATGGCCAATGATGACCCTAATTCCTGTTTGTGACGATAGTCTAGATCTGCATGAAGCTGGGAGCCATTCTTCCACCACTATCTAGCTAGAACTTGCCACACCGTGCTCTCTATCTGCATAGCGCGGGATGTGTTGACCACCGGCAGCTGGTTGCCAAAACTAGACTGACTAGTAGACTAAATTGTTTTCAACATGGGAGATTGGAGGTACTAGTACTAGTAATAGGAGATGAACAACGGTTTGATCAGAAGGTGTTCGCTTCCGTTAGTTTGCAAAGCTAGAATGGCGGTACTGGAGGGATCTGCACTGATATGGCATTCAGTTGCCGTCCTCTGACTGGAGAGTAGCTAGGTGGTATCATCTACAACAAAGCTATAGATGTTGAAGGTGCGTTCTCACGTTCTCACCTCTGGGTAAGCTGATGGCTCCGAATGAATGAACTTCAATCGAATCGAAATCTCTTACTCGAGTACCATAGTACCAGTACGCAGTTGGGAATGAAGCTATTCTACTGCATTGCTTGGGCTAAAAAAAGAGCTCCTCCAGTTGGAAGTCCCAGATGGACGCCCACAAAACCTGTACATAAGCCCCACGATGGTTGTGCGAGGTGCCCTAGCTAGCCCTCAAGCCTTCTTCTTCTCACCTCCAGATTCTAGTTACTGGTACATGTACCGGTGACCAGTAGTTTTTCATTGCTCAAGGATTGGACCATCGAGTTGCTATCCTTCAAGGCTGCTTCTTTGTGTTCAGCCAGGCTCCGAGCCAGCTACAGTACATGTAGTAGCTACCGGTGGGTGTTCAGCAACCTGCCAACCACCAAATGGACCTGCGTTCATTCTTCATGCTGTTGATTGATTGGAAATTGGAAATGCAGTCCAGATTACGGTTCTCCGCCTCTTGTAGGTCTAATGCCCCAATAAATCTGAAGCAAACAAGATAAGTACAAGATCCAGCCAAGGCAAGGCATCCGATTGCCGAACAAAAACTTTGCTCACATCGCGCGTGGGGAGAACTGTCCATTCGAGCTCTGGATTCTCGAGATGTCGAAGGAGCTGAATAGAAGTGCACAATGAATCTACTGACTTTCAATCATGCGAAGCTTTATTAAAGCCCCTCAGTGCCCACTCTCACAGCTGTACCGGTACTGGTACGGAGAAAAAATCTAGATGTTCGTTTCGATGATTGGATCATTCGATTCGATTCATTCCACCAACCCCAGGCCAGCCAGCTAGCTAGTACATGTATGTAGACTAGTGCCACTGTAAGCTCCAGTGTCCAGTTGAGCTTGGGGCGACAAGGCCTACCGGCTAGATTCTTGAACCATGAAGAAGAGGCAGAAGGTGAGAAACCAACTTGGTTGAGGTTAGCATTGGGCGGGCTGGGTATCCTAAAAAGGTCTTCGGGTGATTTGAGTCCATGCATCATACCGCCAACGGTACCGGATGGTAGATACACGGCGGCGCTGAAACTTCTCCGGCGGACAGACAAAGAAGAAGAGGCACGTGTGAAACCAACTCGGTTGAGGTTGGGCGGGGTCCTGGAAAGGGCTTCGGAGCGATGAGTCAGTCGAGCCCATCATGACGGTACCTGTGGGTAGGATAGCTACATGGCGGCACTGAGGCTTCTTTGGCTGATGGACACCAAGAGGCCCCAAAAGAAGGATTTCAAGCAACGACGGTGCTACAGTACTAGACTACTAGTATGTACCTGGTCACCGCCCTCTGCAAACACCGACGAAAGCTCCGCAATGCCGCCTTCTAGAGGTAGGGATGGAGTTTAGTCCCTCTGCATTCTCTTCTGTTTTCCAGTTGGTATGTGCATGTACTTTCCACGCCGTCTTCTTCCCCCCCAAAAGGTTTCAGCACTGCACTGTACCTGGTACCGTACCGGTACCGTACCGGTAGTTTGTCAACGTTTGCAGCAATTACTCCGTGTCGCCGTACTAGTATGCGTCGACTTGCAATGCTCGATAGCCCACGTCTCCGGCCCTATCGTCCCGACTTGCTGTTCTCAAAGTCAGCTGTGGCAATGTGCAAACTACCTTTTATCATGCGTTTGTATATATATATTTAGTTGCAGATTCTTTAATAATACGTTCTACTGGCATCAACCTGCTCGCATGTATCCCACCTGTTTGTGTAGTCTCCGTGCAAATTCCATTTTAATAGCAACTATCTAACTAGACAAACCAACTGGGCGACGCTCCCAACACCACCGTGACCACCTCTAGATCTCTCCCATTCACCGGTCCCTTGGCCAACAAGTGTTTGATATGATCCGTGTCGGGAAACTGGTAGAGAATTCCTTCTCGTCGGGTATGAATCAGCTTTTGAATCATGTACGTGAAAATGGTCCCTTGATACTCCTCCGGAATGTCCTTCCAATTGGCCCATTTGCGTGGAATCGTTCCCTTCTTGTCTTTGGAAAGCTCCATGAGGGCATGACAGGACACGTGATAGGGTGGATTGCTGTCATTATTATTGTCCTTTCGGTCCTGCCATTCTTTCGTGGAGGGACGTTGATACATGGTGGCTCCGAGCAAGTACGACTTGGGGAGTCGTTTGAGATGAAGAACTAGAATGGAGCGGCTGACATAGGTTTGCCATCCGTTCGTGGGCGCCACATTGTGTTCCATAATCCACTGTCCAGTGAGAACACTCTGTTTGAACCAGCACAGAAATGTGTGAAACTCTTGCGAGAGGGAAGACGTCTTGGCATTGGGCGCTGCCACAGTGCTGACTCCGTAGGCTTCCAGAGCCGCCACTTCGATGCGACGAAGACGACGCAGTTCTTGGTCGTGTCGGCGGTCTCGTTGTTGCTGAATAGTAATGGATGCTTGATTATTGCTTTTGGACTCGGGGGAATCATCGAGAATCTCCACGACCGCCACCGAATTGGGTGACTCTTCTTCTTTCGGTGGCTTGACTACAACTGCCTTGGGAAGCTTTCGCAATGTCTTTGGCTTGGTTGTGGCCTTGCTGTTTTGATTGTGCTCTTGAAGGACGCGTGGTTTGGTAGGTGGCTGTGTTTGTTGTTGTCGTTTCAGATGCTGGTGCCTACTGCGGTAATGTTCCGCCCAAGCCCCTTCGAGTTCTTTTCGCGTGAGATACTTTTTGGGATCGACATGAGGCGGATTGACTGTTTCTGTTTCAGTGACATTGGCATGGTTGAGTGGCCAGAGTGGTGGTGCTGGGATGACTGAGACGGTATTGGTCGGTTGAGCCACAGTGGCTGGTGGTGCTTGGACAGGTTTACAAGTTGTTGGTTGGGCCACAGGCGCTGGTGGTGCTTGTACTTTTGGTGCCAGTACCACAAATGATTTCTTTACCTTCTTGGGTAGCAAAGAGATTTTTGGTTCCTCCACCTTTTTGCCATTTGGTTGTTGCGATTTTTGTTTGGGTGGTGGAGTCTTTTCTTTAGATTTCTCGATGACATTGGTGGTTTGTTGCAATGCGCGTTGACGATTGCGTTCCATTTCGTCATTGCAGCCCGGCTTTTTGTAGTAGTTGTAAGCTTGTGCTGGTTTTTGGTGGGCGGTGGGAATGTTGGTGAGTGCCATTTCCTGCAGTTCCAAGAGACGCTGTTTCTTGTTGTTGGTCAGCATGTGAATCTCCGTCAAATCATGCGGCACTGGTGGAAAGCGACGGCGTTTCTTGTTGCTGCTCGTAGCGTCAATCTGTAAGAAATCCGAGACAATGGCGGCTTTGCCATGCGGTGTCACCCAAGTGGTGGTAGTAGTACATGCATTGGTAATAGCATTGTCAAGCGGTTCTTGTGTTTCGTTGGTCTGGACGACTCGGACGGCTCGAAAGGTGGAGACACGACGCGGTTGCTTCTTGCGACTCTTGAGTAAATTCTCGGCCGCTTGACGCACGGCTGCTGTCTTGAACGACGTCAATTCACTTGCAAACGAAGTACACGTTGGAGCCGACGAAATACTGGGCTGCTTCATGGCGAGACGACTGATCTTGGAAAGGGAAGACTGAAGAAGAGCTGCTTGAGAAGACGGAATGGGGTGGCAAAGAAACAAGCTCTTGAGTGTTGCACACAAGTGAGCTATCAAGCCTTTGGAGAACTATGAGGTGAGGACTGCAGCAGCGAAGGGAAGCAGCAGAATAAAAACAATGCTAGCTAGCTAGAAGAGAACCCGCTTTGGCAACAATGCTTCAGCTTTTTGGCTGTTGCAAAAAGATCTTCCGCATTTTTCGTGCCGATCCTTGAATGGGCAACGTCGCACCAGCCGAGCTTGTCATTGTTTCCGCACCACCTAAGTGCGCTCACATTTTTCATCAAAAGTATCCACGCCATGCACACTCTTCGTCGACCGTTCCTTGTCATTGGACGTTGCCAGGTTTTGAAAAGGGGTTGCTTCCTCACGACTGTTGCGTTGGAGTGGAGCTCGTCGCAGCATTGCTGGAGGCAATAATAAGACTTAGTACGGTATACCAAAGCAGAGGTACGGCAGGTATGGTATGGCGCGGACAATGAATGCTGCATTGCTGATCACTTGACTCAACGGAACGATAGGAAAACAAAACCGCAGCAAGGACATTGCAGGTCTCAAGCAAGCAATAAGAGCCCAGGAAAATAGGATCATCGCTCATGCCTTAGACTAAGCATGTTTGTAGATGTATGTGGCGTCCGTATGACAGAACCGAGTGGGTGCTTTAGTCCGTACAAGGTACCGGTATACAACTCGGGAGGTCGGGAAAGAGCTACCGGTAAGGAGGGTAGGATACGTATCGTATCTAATTGGAAGGAGATTCAAGCGGAAATAAGCTGCTCTGGCTAAAGTAGTGTAAGATCTTGCATCTATCCAAGTCATCACGTTCTCTCGATAGAGAAATGAAATTAAACGCAAGCGTTTGCTGGCAATCATGCACTGCCAGCAAAAGCTACCAGTATCAAATAGTTACCGTTCTGACCAAATAGTCTAGAGGAATCGAATCCTGGCCGATGCCGAATGAGAATAGAAGCAAAACCACTCGAATGCTTCAATCATCTACCTAGATGACGCCGATGGTACTATCCGCCGCTGGAAGCTCGTTGCCGGTGCTAAGACTCGCGCACACCCTCTCGATCATTCGTTCCTCTCCAATATCGTTCCAAGTCTCTGCTCCATAGTCTTGCGTCAGAAAACGAATGCCTCGTTGGCGAAGCTCTTGCACAAAACGCTGCGCGAATACAACAACATTCTTCTTGTCCTGGAGAAGTTCTTGATGCTCCTTTTGTAACTTCGCAATCGTTTGCCGGTAAATGTCATTGCCTGATTTATCAACACAAAACAGCACAGCACAGCACAACACAGAATAGCCGTGAGAACAATCAGCAGTCGTCCGAAGACGAAACGATGATTTCGTTTGACGACGCAAGAAAACTTACCTCTGCCTAGATTCGTCCTTGGTGATTCACTCAACAGAATATCTCGACCCGTCAGATCCTTGTCAGGAATGTTTGTCATTTGCAAAGAGGACTGTGGACGTCCCTGTGGCGTGGCATGCGAAGCTGATGGTTGCTCCTTCATCGTCTCCGCAGTCGTTGGTTGCGATGCGCGTGGACTTGGAGGGGCCTGCGAGGGTGCTGGCAGCTCAGGCGCAGCAGGCTCCTCTGTGGTTTCCGAGATATCAATAATAATTGTAGGCGACTTGCTTGCAGTCGAAACTTCCCCCCCGCTTGTGTCCCTCGGTGAAGACTCTTGCTGTCGGGACGTCAAGTCTGGGGTCGTCTGCGCAGACTCGGGAACTGACGCTGTCGGTTGGGACAACGACCCGGTCCCAGCTTGCTTCATTGCGCCAAAATCAAAGTCTTCGCAATCATAAAACTTCTTTGGTTGTTGGCCACGTTTCGAGCGTCGGGTAGCACTGCTGATGTTGCTTGGGTCCTCTAACGAATCTTGTCGCTTTCGTTTCTTCTCATTGAAACCCATTGTAGTACATTCCCGCGCTGCTGGTGCCGTCGTGGCTTGCTGCGACTGAGGTGACAATGAGGGAGCAGTTGGAGCAACATTCTCCATTGACGGATCCAAATCCCTGAAAACTCCCAATCGACAAAGATCTGCCAATCGCTCCTTGCGAAGTGTGCCACTTTGATACAACCGCTTTTGACGTGCAAGCCACAGCCCAAGGCTGTAATCTGGCTCACCTTGTTTCGTTGGAACATCAAGGTGCCCATTTGAACTCAGAAATTCCCCCAGCTGAGCTAAGCGTTCCTCCCAGGTGTAGCATGTTCCCCATTGATTCGTGGTGCGAGGACCCGTTCTATCTCTGGAAGAATTCCCAGTATCAGAGTGTCCTTGTGTCTGAGACGAAGCAGAGTTGAAAAGCTGTTGCGGTTGCAATGGATGCTCCGATGCAGGAGCAGTCGTAGTCCTGCAAGTACTTGTCATCGACTGATCTTCACGGGTAGCTGGAGTCCTTGCTCTGCTGCTTGTCCCAGGTGATTCCGTTGCATTCGAGGGTTGATAAGCTTTCGCTGTCGCATCCACTTCAGGAATCCCGAAACCAGGCACTCCCAATCGATGGAGATCTGCCAATCGTTCCTTGCGAATGATACCTCTTAAGTACAATGATCTCTGTGCTAACAGCCACGCACCCAAGTCATAGTTCTGTTGTTTTCGAGGGATGTTCAAATGTCCATGTTCCTTCTTCCAATCCTCCAGCTGGACCAGGCGATCCTCCCAGGTGTAGAGTTTGTGTGGTAAATTGGTTGCTCTTGGAACGGATCTGGAGCCCTTCTTCTTGTGGTGATTGGTGGCACCCCCCCTTGCAGGGCCCTCTACTTGTGGTGATGAAAAGTGAAGCTGCTGCGGTTGTATTGGAGGTTGAGATTCTGTGGCATCTGTTGCTGTGCCCGAACAAGGCAGTGTTGCCTGATCGACATGGTTGGTTGGAGAGAGTGATGTGCGCTTTGTTCCCACAGTTACAGGGTCATCCTCGCCGTTTTCTCTTGTCATGGTTGAGGCAGCATCAGCACCAGAATCAGCCCCAAAACCAGATGCACCCAGTCGACGTAGGTCATCCAAGTGTTCCTCACAAATGCTTCCATTTTGGTATAACCGCCTTTGATAAGCAATCCATTGACCAAGTCTGTAATCCTGCTTGCCATGGCTGGTTGGAACTTGTAAGTGCCCATGTTCTTTCTTCCATTCTTCCAGCTGACGAAAGCGTTGTTCCCAGCTGTATAGTTTTGGCCGTGCATAGGTAGGCGTGGGGTTGGGGTTGGATTTGGATACCTGGTCATTATTGGCACTCCCCATTGAATGACTCTCTGCGTGTGGTGAAAATTGCGGAAATTGCGATGATGTAGCAATGCCACTACTGGTCTGTATTTGTTGACTCGCATTGCTGGCTGGGGTGAGTGATGTGGAGTTTGCCTTGGGTGTGCCCACAGTTGCAGGCCCACCATCATTTGGACCAAAACCATGTGCACCAAGTCGACGAAGACCTGCCAACAGTTCTTTACGAATCGTGCCATTGCGGTAAAACTGCCTTTGATTTGCAATCCATTTCCCAAGCTTGTAATCTGGCTTACCAGGCATCTCTGAAACTCTCGAGTGTCCATTTTCTTTCTTAAAGGCCTCAAGCTGGCCCAAGCGTTCTTCCCAGGTAAAGTTTCTTCTCGTCCTGACATCGTTTGAACCAAAACCATTTGCACCAAGCCGACGAAGACCTGCCAACAGTTCTTTACGAATTGTAGCCTTGCGGTATGACTGCCTTTGATTGTCAATCCATTTTCCAAGGTTGGAATCTGGCATACCAGGAGTCTTTGGAAACTTCAAGTGCCCATTTTCTTTCTTAAAGGCCTCCAGCTGATCCAATCGTTCTTCCCAGGTATATCTTCTTCTGTGGAAACAGGTACCAGAAAGAGCAAGGGGTTCCTGAGGATCCAGCGGAGGTCTGACACTAGCAGCAGTGATACCTGTGCCAGTACCAGTCTGCTTTGTCTGCACAGCATTGCTAGTCGGAGTGTCTTCCGTGTCATTTGCCTCATGGTTGTCAGTCATACCCACTTCTATGCAGTCGCTTGTAGATGCAGTGTCTGCTGTGCTTCTTGCTCCACTTGTGTCCACTGATGAGATGTAGTCGTCATTGTTTGTGCTTGTCGCCCCAGCATCTGAACCAAAGCCATGTGCACCAAGCCGACGAAGACCAGCCAACAGTTCTTCATGAATTGTACCCTTGCGGTATGACTGCCTTTGATTGTCAATCCATTTTCCAAGTTTGTAGTCTGGATTGCTAGCAGTCACTGGAACCTTCAAGTGTCCATTTTCTTTTTGAAAGGCTTCCAGCTGACGCAATCGTTCTTCCCAGGTGTGGTTTCTTCTTTGGAAACAGGTATCAGTAAGAGCAAGGGGTTCCTCAGGATAAACTGCAGGTCCGAAGCTAGCAGCAATGGTTCCTGTGCCAGCTCCAGTGCCAGTGCCAGTATGAGTCTGCATTGTCTGTTCAACATTCCTGGTTGGAGTGTGTTCCGGGTCATTTGCCTCGGGGTTGTCAATCGTACCAACTGTTGTGCTATCGCTTGTAGGCACATCAACTTCAGCCGCATCCCCGAAGTTGTATGCACCCAATCGACGAAGATCTGCCAACAGTTCTTCGCGAATTGTTCCATTGCGGTATGCCTGCCTTTGATAATTTATCCATTGCCCGAGTTTGTAGTTTGGCTTACCATAGGTCCCTGGAATTCTCAAGTGTCCATATTCTTTCTTGAATGCTTCGAGCTGAGATATGCGTTCTTCCCTAGTATAGTGTCTTAGTTGGGGAGAGCCAGCATCTGAACCAAAACCATGTGCACCAAGCCGACGAAGCTCTGCTAAGCGTTCTGTACGAATTGTACAATTTCGGTACAACTGCCTTTGATAAGCAATCCATTGCCCGAGCTTGTAGTTTGGCTTACCAGGAGTCGTTGGAACCTTTGAGTGTCCATGTTCTTTCTTGAAGGCTTCCAGCTGAGACATGCGGTCTTCCCAAGTATAGAGTCTCAGTTGGGGAGAGGTAGGATCACGCTGCTCCTGAGGCGGGATTTTCACATCAGTGGAGTTGCGTTCTTTATTTGCAGCTTCAACAAAAGCATCACCAAAACCAAACGTTCCCAGTTGACGAAGATCTTCCAGCCTATCTTTTCGAATGGTGCCATTTCGGTACAGCGATCTCTGCGCAGACAACCATTGCCCCAGGTGGCAATCGGGCCGGACTGGCACATTCAAATGCCCATGTTCTTTCTTCCATTCCTCCAGTTGGGCCAAGCGACCTTCCCATGTATAGAACTTCTCTTTTGGATAGGAACCTTTTGGGTTGGATTTCGATCCCGGCCTTATCTGGTTGGTGGCAGGCTTGATAGCAGAGCATCCCTCTGTGAGTGGTGATGGAAGCGCAACCAGAAGAGTTTGTATTGGAGGTTGGGACAATGCAGCACCAGTTACTGTACTGACAGTATCAGTCTGTATTGACTGGTCGTCATTGCCGGTTGGAGTGTGTGATGTGCTCCTTGACCCAGGTGTATCAGCAGGTCCGATGTTCATGTCGTCGTTTGAAGCCGTCGTGGTAGAATCCGCATCAAAACCATGCGCACCCAAGCGACAAAGATCAGCCAACCGCTCCTTGCACAGAAGTCCTCTCTTGTAAAGAAACCTTTGTTGTACCAACCAATTCCCAAGTTTGTAATACTTCTGGCCTAGGGCTGCTGGAACGTTCAGGTGCCCATTTTCATTCTTATATGCCTCCAGCTGAGACAGACGTTCTTCCCAGGTTGACACTTCTAGTAGTGTCGGTTGGGTGGCATTTGTCTCGGGATTCTTCTTCTCGAGCGACTGCCTCGTCTTTGTGACTCCCATGGAAACAAACATTGCCTTGATTGCTTGCAGGGCATCGTGCTTGGCCAACGCCAAGTTTTCAGCGGCTTTCACGAAGCGACCACCGGCTGTTACCACGGCTGTGTAGACTTGCAAGACCAACTGATCTTTCGTGTCTTCCGATACTCTCGGCGCCAGGAATTTCGGTAGAGCCTGGTAGATTAGGCGAAAACACTTGAGATTGCCTGGGAGTCGATATTGATGGTCAGTTCCTACTAGGGCAACGACAACATCATTGTCACTCGGAGAAAATGTGAGAGCCATGCCCGGCTCTTGGTTAGGTGATGTGGTGGTCTCCAGTGGGAAGGACGGCTGTTTCTGTTGCTGTTCTTGCTGAGACGGTTGCTGTTCTTGATCCATCTGTTCCTCTTGCTGCGTTGGATCCTGATTTCGTTCAGGTGCCAGAAGAGGACCTTCACGGAGAGGCTGCTGTTCCTTATCTTTCTGTTCCTGTTGCATTGTAGGATCCTGATTTCGTCCTTCTGTTGCTCGGCAAGCACCTTCAGTGTCGTAGGAACGATCGGAAGGCTTCTTCTCGGTTGGATCCATCACTGGCTGTTGCTCTTTGCTCGGTGATTGATGCGCCTGTTCCGCTCTTTCGCAGTGTCTGGAAAGAGACTGCGTTTCCTGATTCTCCCTCACTAGTGATAACTGTTCTTTGCTCGATTGCTGTTTCGCCTCTTCTGTTCCTTCTCGTTCATTGGAAGTGGTAGAAATGATTTCTCGGTCTTTCCTCATTTGCTGTTGCTCTTGGCTGGCCTGTTGCTGTTGTTGCACTTGTTCTTCGACTTGGTGGTGTTTTGAATTGGTAGTGTGCAGTTCACGATCCTCTGTCAGTGGTTGTTGCACCTGTTCTACATTTCCATCATGGAGATTGGAATTGGTAGATGGCATTTCCTTATCCTCTGTCATATCTTGTTGTTGCACTTGGGCCGTCTGTTCATGTCGCTGTAGCTCGTCGTTGTGTCGAGGAGAACACTGCATTGGCTTTGCCTCTGCTTCAGATGGATTTTCTGTCGTCTCTGCAGTTTGTTGGGTGGAACATTTCTGTCCCATTTCCGGTTGTGCTAACGCATCTTTGTTTTCCAGTGATGGTGCAGTTGTTGACAGCTCGTGCGACGCAGGCTTGGCAGCTGTCACTGTAGTTCTCCCTATTGTCTCGGCGCCTTCCTTTGGTTCCTCGAGTGGTCCACCGCTACTGTCATCGTTCGAGCAGTGTTCCGCGTTTGGTAGTGATTGCTGCGTTTCTGTTTCAGTCCGAGTCGTCGATGCTGCTGCACTGTTCATTTTGGCCACGTCCATTGTGGCTGGTATTTTGACTTGTCGGTACGTTTCCAAAAGTTCCTGTACCGGTGGTTCGTGCGTCTTGGGGGCGCTGGGAGGAGGCGTCTGGTAGGGGTTCACCGAAACGTTGGTCTGGTTGACTCCCAGTGCCTCTTGCGTTTGTCCTAGTACCGTTAGCGTTGTTGGATCAGATCCGCGAGTGGGAGGAGTCTGAGCTAGTATACCTTTGTTTTTGCTATGCATTCGCTGTCGTAGTTCGTCGCACAATTGTGGATAAGTACGGGGAGCATAGGATCGAATCGCCGGAAACTCTCTTGTCCGGACAAAACGGACGACCGACTCCCAATCCGATTCGCGGGTCAAAGCGATCCGGAGTCGTTCCCGTTCTTCATCTGTGATGCATGGATGATGAGTACGTAAGCAGCACAAAGATGTCAACATTTAGAAATGAAAAGGAGATCGAATAATAGTCTGACAATGAATGAATGCATGAATGAATCCAAATAAATGAACCTACCAGTCCATCTTCCCGAATTGGTTTTGTTGTGTGTTTGGTGCTGCCGCACTAGTATTTTTGGGTCGGACGTGGAGTTTCTTGTTCGTGTCGCAAGAGGAGTGCTGTCGTCGTTTCTTGTGGGTGGCTCCTTCCTTGGTTGGTGCCGCTCTGAGTAATTGTGAGTGCCGGCATTCTCGTTGGTCGCCAAGAACGTCGTGCTGCTTGCCTGAGTAATAGTGGAGGAGGTGGAAACTCTTCGTGGCGAGGGCGGTAAGGACGGTTGTTGTATTGTTGTAGAAACGGGTGTTGGCTGAGTCGGTGGAGTCTTCTGATTAGTGTTGTATGGTTTGGAAGGAGGGGGTGGTTTTTGATGATCCGCATAAGGTTTGCCACTAGGAGCAGAGGCATTGTTGTTTGGGTTGAAAAGAGAAGATGATGGCTTTTTGACCTCGTAGTTTGCCTTTTCTTTGGATTGCTGTTGTGGCAATTGACTTGGCAATTGATGGTTGCTTTTTTGTGGATTGTGAGTGGCTGGATTACCATTGTTTCTATGATTGTTGTTGTTGGGGATGACGGATCGTTTCTTGGTCCTATTCTTGAGTTGAATGACACCAGGAGCAGTGGAAGTTCCCAAAAAGACAATTTCATCATCGTCGTCGTCGTCATCATCAGAATCATCAATGCAAATGATCTTGGGTTTCTTGCTATTTTGGTTGGCAGCAGCCACAAAGGGCTTGGGACGTTGAGCCGTAGAAGTGGTAGAGGAAAAGCGGGGTCTCTTTTGAGCCCTTGGCGGTGGTGGTAGAGCAGCAGCGGGCTGACGAGGTTTGTGGATGGCTTGGTTGTTAAGTGGCTTTGGTTTGACTGGTACGAGTGGATTCTCTCGTTGATTTGTGGCAGTCGTCTCTTCTTGTCGTGGTTGTCTCTGGACCTGCAACGGTCCATCCGTCGGCATGGTTCTACGTTGATGATTGGCGGGAAGACTACATGTACTGGCAGTGCTCTTTCGTGCCGTGATTCTCATGACGGTTTCTTCTTCTTCCACTACTGGATCTACTGACATGTCAATCTCTTCATTTTCTGAACAAGACGACTCATCTCCCACACAATCAGGACATGTCTCGGCATTGTGCGGTTCGTGGTAGTAATCGTCGTTGTAGCCTCGCATCTCTTCCAGTTCGCTCCACTCATCGTCACTCTCCAAACGCAAAAACGCATCCCACGACACTCGACGCCTTTGATGCGAGTCTTCGTGGTCCGTGTCACTGTCCGTCATGGTCGAAAGAAAGAGAGTTCTTCTGTCAATAGAAAACTGTCTACAGTAGCAAACCTGGCGATGGATGGATGTGCTGTCGTGCTGTCGTTGGCGCGAGGTTCTACTCATTTTTTCAATTTTTGAGTTACATTTCTCCATTTGCAGGTTTTGATGTGAAAATCACAGATTCAAAACTACCTACCTCTGTGTTAGCGGCGTACTAGCTAGCGCTATAGTACATCGTACCACTTGGAGGCAACTGAGGAAATGTGTGTCTGTTCAGCCTGGCCTGAGCTATTTATAGCTAGCATAGCTAGTGGCTATCTCTATCTAACTAACCAAGTGTAGGGACCAGAGTCTACAAGGTACGATGGACAATAATGGGGCCACTGGAAGCAACTGGCTGGACACAAGAAAGAGACCACCGAAATGTGAGGAGGATGGCTATTTCAGGCCAACTCATTTCCGACAACCGCTGTTGTGGCGTACCGGTATCGGTGAAGGGCGGCTGATGCACTTTCCCCAAAGCCCTGTCGGTAGCTAGCTAGAGTAGCTAAGAGCAGCCACCGTATCGGTAGCATGCATGTGGCGTCGCGTCGAGTCACAATTATCAATGCTAGCTACGGTGCAGGAGAGCTGGCTGTGCAACCACACTACTAACAAAGACTTCAAGCAGGTTAGGAGGCAGTTTGCGCCTTTTGGGCGAAGACTCCTTTTACATTCCTTCTCTCTATGCAGTGTGCAGATGGCTGGCAAGTTTGGGACTACTGATGCCAATCCCTTGCTACGACTAGCTAGTAGCCACAAGAATAGAAGCATAAGGTATCTACCGTACTAGCTAGTAGTACTCCCCTCAATAGCGGATGACGGCCTACAGTAATAAGGACCTGTATTTCCAAAATGTTATCGATTACGTGCAAAAGTGGTCGTATGCCGGTGGGGGACTCGAACCCTCAACCTTCTGTTCGAGACAATGCTCTGCCATTGAGCCAACCGGACCTTGAAACCTGGGGACAAAAGAGAGATCCTTTGCCGCTGTGAACAACTTGCAAAAATTGATGAAATTTAGGATTTGTGGTAATTTCAATAAAAACTTATCCGGTGGGGGACTCGAACCCTCAACCTTCTGTTCGAAGACAGATGCTCTGCCATTGAGCCAACCGGACCTTGCAACCTGGGGACAAAAGATGAGATCCTTTGCCACTGTGAACAACTTGCAAAATTGTTGAAACGGAAGGAAAACTGTGGAATTTCAAGAAAACAGTATCCGGTGGGGGACTCGAACCCTCAACCTTCTGTTCCGAAGACAGATGCTCTACCATTGAGCCAACCGGACTTTCGTTGACACTGTTTGGTGCTGCCAAGTAGACAGAAATTCTAGACTACTATCAATCAACCAAGGAATTTTAAGCAGAAGAAGCAAGGCGGATTTGCACATCGCAAGACAGGTTGACTGCCAAGAAGCCAGGGTAGAAAAACGGGATCTATTTTTCGTGGTTGTATTGCACCTTAGCTACCGTATGTATAGCCAGCTATGTACCGTAGTACCAAAATGCTGGAGACTGAACAGTCAACCTCGATGTTTTCCATATCCTCAAAAATTGTCAGCCGGCGACTGCATTGGCCCTCGAACGTTTGCTTCTCGGGTCATCCTGGAACCATTCATTCGTCCATGATGATGATCGAATGAATCGAATTGAAGATGCCTTCCTCGTTGCCGACAAGCTATCGCGATCTACCGAGTGCACACTAAATTCAAATCATTCCAGATGCCTGGTTAGTATTATTCCGTGGGTATCGTCGTGGCATTGGCTTGCGGTTGTTGCGGTTGTTGTTCCACAACTTGTTGTTCTTTTGGTTGTTGTGTCTTGGTCTTGGCGTTGTTATATCTACTCCCCTTGAATCGATTGTATCGTCCTCGTGGTTTGACGGACGCGAGTCGTCGTTCCAATGCCGGCAATCCACCACCTTGTTCTTCCCACAATCGAATCACCGTGGTAACCGCCGGTACTTCTCCCGTAGATTGAGTATCCCATACCAGTTGAAAATCGACTTGTGGCGATACCATGTAGAGTTGTCGTTCCCTCGGTTTCCCCAAAGGATTGTGAATGTACCGAATTCCCTCGTAGACAAAGTCTTTGGGGCGATGCGAGTGTCCAAAAATGTGAATGTTGCGTTTTTTATTACTGGCCAAGTCATCATCAGTGGGAGACGGCAAGAGACGTCGTATTTGATCATCCAGCAGGGCACTTCCGGCCACTTTGGCAAATTTGGCACTCATACCTCCGGCGCCATGATCGAACCACGCATCGTCAAACTCGGCGCGGTCCAAGTCTTTCCAATCGGGCAATGACTGTACGTTGGGTAAAAAGTGGGATACCGTCAGGATTCCCGTCGATTGCGGTTCTTTGTGGTTGTTTGCAGTGTTTGCGACCGCGATATTATTGGGAAAGGGATTGTTCAGGAACAAGGGTTCGTTCTTGGCCAGAAAGTGTTCCACCAATCCCATTGGCAATTGTCCTGGATTCTCCAATTCTGTATCTGTATCCTCCTCCACGGGTGGATATCCCTCCCAGACACATCGTTTAAAGTCAGCCCAAGGCCAATATTGAAAGTCATGACAGAGGGATTCTCGAAAGGACAGTGTCCCATCGTACCAGGATTCCAACGGTACAATCCAGAGCGGATGAGGACTGTTGGCTCCCACAAGGAGGGATTGTGTGTAGACCCCCATTTGTTCGCACACGTCATAGACTTGTCGTAGTTTGTCAAAAGATGTCGATTTTGGAGCGTGTTTTCGATCGATCCAGGCTTCGTGGTTGCCCGGGACAAACAACACTTGAGCATGCTCTGTCAGTATCGACATGGATTTCACAAAAGTGTCCGTCATGTCGTGACTGATATCTCCCGCCACAATAATCAAATCGGTGTCGCGATTGAAATTGCCATGGTCCATGTGCTCGTGCAGCCATTTCTGATTGTCGGGATGATCCGTGTGCAAATCGCTCAAACAAAACACTCGTTGGATGGAATCGGCTAGTTGCAACAGTTCCGCACTGTTGAATCTGTCTGAGTCTTCCATGATGGATTCATTGTCATTGTCATTTTTATTAGCATACAGTATCAGTGGACATGGATGACGAGCATGGTTTGGTTGTGCTGTACCGGTACTAGTAGATGGCCCTGGGGATGAAACTTGTAGGGGTATCCAAGCAGCAGAAGGCACAAGGCATTGACAGAACGCAAGCAGCCTTAACAGCTTGGATATTGATGGACAGTGGGCTTGATGTGTCATTGGTCTCCTCATTGTAGCTGTAGCTCTGAGCAAAACACACTTGGGTAGAAGTGATCGGTAGGATCAATGGATCTTGTCCTTTCCAAGCTTCACTGAATCCAAACTTCTTCTCTCTCAATCTCGTAGCGTCTCTCCATGTGTGGACTTTTTGACAGTTGAATTTGCTGATATGAAAGAGGTGAGAGAAGAAACACAGAGGATGATACTCTCTTCTTTGGTTGAAACGGGAAGTGGCTCGTTGCTCGGGTGATGCATCCATCGGATGAGCACTCTGATTCCCGATAACACGTCACTGCTTCGAAGACGTCGAAGGCTTGGATCGATGGATCGATGCTTAAGGTGGTCGCCCAGAAATATTAAGCCAGTTGAGGCTGTAAAGGTACATGGGCCCAAAATGGACGTAATTCGAACATATCTTTCGCATATGTTACGGAACTTGGAATCTTGGTTGATCGAATTATCACCGGATAGCTGTTCGCGAGTAGATTCCAACTGCAGACTGGATACGAGCCATAAATTCTAGCTTTCGCGCACCTTTCCTAGCTTCGCCTCTAAGTCTTTCATTCATGTGAGAGCCAGTCGACCTTTCGACCCTCGTACTAGCGCCAAATTTTTGGACCCACGTATATGTCATTGACCAGAACATTTTCAACAAAGAGCACCTTTGATGTGCCGACGTACATAAATCGCTTGTATAATGTTGACGCCACCACGTCGTCCCGTTGTAACGCCTGGTGCTAACAGCACAGGATCTCGTGCCAGTAGTGCAGGAGGAGGATATTGGAGAGCCAATGCTTCCATTGAATCCTCTAAGCTAGCATCCAAGGATCGAGATTGGAAGAATCTTCCCGGATTTGGAGGAACCGAGGTCACAACGAGGACTAGACACAACGGCACAGGAAGACCAAATTACACGAGATTGGACTATGGCGAAGCTTTGTCATCTGACGAAGAAGACGAGCCAACAGCACCAGAGTTTGTGGAACAGCCTGCCGTTGAAGAGGCCACCACCGAAGAGGAAAATGACGAACAAAACGGGCCCAAATTCAACACAAAGCCCCACCAAAGAGTCATTCTGGAAGTCGACCAATTGAACGAATATTTCAGTCAATCGCCTTGCCGCAGAGAAGGTTGTAATGGATTGCTCCAATTTAGCGTCCACAATTGCTGCATTGCCTCGTCATTCAAACTGGAGTGTATCAATGAGGATTGCGAGTATGTTTATATGAGCACCAAGCCAACCCAAACAACAATGCATGGCGTCGGCAATGACAAATACGAAAGAAGTACCGACTCTGCGGTCAATGTATTGTACGTTTTGGGAAATTTGGCAAATGGCAACGGTGGCACCGAAGCTGCCAAAATCCTAGGTTTATTGGGTTTACCGAATGACACAACTATGCAAACTCGTTCGTTTGGAATGATTGAGGAACGACTTGCCCCATCCATTCGGGAATTGACCGCGGAAGTCATTCGTGAAAATCTGATTGAGGAAGTTCGCCAATCCACGCCCAGTGAGCAAGACTTTTTAGACTGGATGACTGCTTCGAGTGATCCCAACGGCACATTACTGAAGGAGAAAATGCCGTTTGTTGATGGGGGATATGATATGGCGTGGCAACAGAAAGGATCCGGTCATTTGAGGAACTCCGTTTCAGGTCACGGTGCTATTGTGGGTGCTAAGACGAGAAAGATCATTTCGTTTGGCATCAAGAGCAAGGTTTGCAGCAAATGCGACGCTTGGGCAAAGCGTCATGCCAATACTGAGGCCGCCGACCGTCCAGCGGTACCGGACCACGAGTGTACGCGGAACCATGATCCACAAGACTCATCAGGATCTATGGAAGCGGCTCTTGCCTTGGAACTGGCCGTTGGACTGTTCCGAGAGTCCAAAGTCATCTTGCGACGATTGTGCTGCGACGACGACTCCTCCATTCGTGCTGACTTGCAGTGGAGCAACGCCAACTACAAAATCAACTATCAAACCGACGTTCTTCCCAAGGTGAAGATTACGAAAGGCAAGAACAAGGGAGAGTTGCAAGACCGCCCCGACAAAGGCAAGTTACCGGGCGATATTCCGGAACCAAAGTTTGTGGCTGACCCGAATCACCGCCGCAAACAGTTGACGGGAGAGCTCATCCGTTTGGATCTATCGACAGTCGACAAGAAAAAGGGGATGTGCCGCATGGATTCTATTCGTCTTGGCAAGAACTTTGCCTATTTCATTCGTACGCTTCTACAGATCGAGGAGAGCGAATTTGAAACCCGTGGCAAGGCAGTCTTGGATCACCACTTTGACGATCATTCGAAATGCGGCCCTTGGTGTGCTCGGTCAAAGGAGACGGAAGAAGAACGAAAGGCAAGCAAGAAATTCTACCGCGACAAGGACGAGGATTTGGAACTGTACCAGTTACTCAGCACCATCGTGGCGAAATACATCACATTGGAACGGTTGAAGGAATTGGCCCATGGCCAAGATACGAATGCCAACGAATCGTTCAATAGCCTCGCCACCTGGTTTGCTCCCAAGAACAAGGTTTTTGCGAGCTCGTGCTCCCTTGGCAATCGCCTCGGTATGGCGGTCTGTATCCATTCCATTGGCTACGAACAATTCTACCGTCGACTTCTGTTCAAGCTTGGGATCGCAATGACGGACGGGATCACCCATTACTTGGAAATTATCCAGAGAAACCGGGAAAAGCGACAAACAAAGAAGCAAACGACAACTTACAAGAAAGCTAGGGACAAGAGGAAACGTGAGAAACTGGCCAAGGAAACGATCAATGCCTTTACCAAAAAGGCCAAGTCGAAGGGTGTCTACCGTCCTGGAATGAATATGGAGGATATCACAATGGAGGAACTCAACAATATGACTCCAGTGCCAAAGAAAGCAAAGAAAGCTAAGAAATATTGTCCATTCTGTGGCAAGGCTGGCCACACAACCAAGAGGGCCAAGGCCTGTCTTCATGTCGGCAAGAGTAACATTGAAGCTCTCCCAATCTACTGCAAGGAGACTGGCAGGAAGCTAGCTGATATTGTGGCAGTGGTTTCGCCACAAGGACCAACCAGTGCTGTTGCAGCTTTGCCTATTGAGGAGGACATTGCTTTGCCAGTTGAAGAGGAGGATACAGTTGCACACGATGCACTAGCTCTAGCAGAGAATGCAGCCAATGATTTGTCCTGTTTGGAGGAGTTGCCATTCGATACTGTTGTGCCTGGTACAGAGCATCTTGCAATGCTAGACCAGGATGACACAAGTGATGAGGAAGACCTCGACAGTGATGAGGAAGATACCCCCACCACCAACATTATCTAGATTGATTGCTGCTAGCTTCCTTGCTAGCTATAGCTTGATAAGAGATAGAACGTTTGCTTGTTTCAATCGAATGGCTACTGTAGTACGTCGAACTGGCACGGAGCACAGAGGCTGCAGCCACGTACATTGTCATGACATACATGCATGTAGCCGTCAACCTTCCAATTATTTGAACACCTTCTCTCCAAAGCAACGGTTCTGGGTTTCAATATTTGGCCTCACATTTTTGTCAGCCGTTCCGGCTCGCCGAATTCATTTCTATACTAAAATAGTACAAAGAACACGGATTCCTCACACTCACCGGATTTGAACGCGAATTTCAAAATCTTCTTTCTTTCGAAGAACGAAACTAAGATTCCATCGAACAAAGGAAAAGTCTATCAGCACGAAAACGACACTGCCACTGTTCTGGAGCCCATTATCTCAATGCCCGTCGAATGCATTGCCCTGCAACCATATACTTATCTTCTTGCTAATAGTGTAAGCGAGAGAGTAGTGCATGGTTGCAGGGCAATACGACTATTGGGTATCGAGATTTATCGGCTGAGAGCAGCGATGGAACATGCGATCGACACCTTCTGATGCCCGTCGGAAAGATAACAGGCGAGTCGAAAACGGTGGAAGGCCCATCGAATACACCTCTGTACTACTATTAGACAGAGCTTATGCATTGATAGAAGTCTCGTATGGGTTACATTGGTTGATTCTAGCCCACCTTTAGCAGCAGCTGGTCGTTCGATCCATTGTTTGTTATTTCACTCGATCTCTCGCGACAAAACCCTGACTCATGAGGTGCGTATATTGACAGCTTAAAGCTGGCTTAATATTTCTGGGCGACCACCTTAATAACGCTTTTACTCTTCTATGCGGTACTCAAAGCAGCACCTGCGGTCGTGCGAAGCTGAACCAGTTTCGTCGAACTGGGACGGTCCCACGAGGAACGAGGCATCGGCAGGCCAGCAAAAGACTGACTAGCTAACCTGGCCTAACTAGCTAGCTAGACATGATAGTAAGACAGTTCCGAGTGTCGGATCTCATAAAATTCAAGCCAGGCACACAGAATTGAATTGAATCCAATCATGAAGCTTTCTTCTTGGATGCAAACCACAAAACTCGTTTGCGCAGTTGCGTCGGTAGTATTCCCCGCAGCCCGGGCTCACTTACTGCGAGGACTCGAAAAGGGGGACAGCAATGCTGCTGTCAACCTTCCTCCATTAGTTCCTGGTATCCCACTCACCCTCTCTGTTTCGGAGAATCAATACTTGGATTGGTTTCTGGATATCCAAGATGTCCCTTCTACATTTGAATGCACCGTGCATGCTAGTGATGGCTCCTTGTTTCTTGATTTGACTCTGGCTCCTGGAAGCAACCATGGAGAAGAAACTCATTTCTGTCTCGAGTACCCATCCGGTGTGAATGGAACGGAAGTAATGACTTGTCGCACTGACATTTTTCCTTCCCCATTTCCATTGCTGGTTCGTCTGAGATCCTACGTGGCCATGGACGAAGTCGTCTTGGACTGTCATCACATGGTCCCATCCGCTCTGGAACCCGGTCTTCCATCCGACAGTTTTGATCTGGATACGGGCAAGTTTCAAAGCTTTGTCGTGGATACGACGTCCATACTAACAATGGAAGATGGGGCTGGTGATGACTATGTCAATTGCAGCTTGTCATCGGATGAGGGAGACCCTGTCATGTTCATCTATGAAGTCAAACCTGCCAACAGCAACCAAACCAGCCACAATAGTGTGTGCATCGCAGGGTTGTTGCATTCCACATGTGATGTACTGGTGCCATCCTCCGATGATGTATCACAGCTGTTCATTGCAGTAGATAGTTGGGGTGCGGCAGAGAATGTGACTGTGGCGTGTGAAGCGGGATCCATGAAGAACAGAACGACACAATGAAGACAACCCTTGAGGCAGACGACCCCCCCTTGGCCCCTGATGCTGTTGCCACGAGGAATGAGGCTTGTAATACACTCACAATAAAGACTAGTAGCTAGTGCAGCCATGTGCCAATATATGGGTATGAGCGAGGCAACAAAGGGCACTTCCAGTAGATGTGTAGCAAAGGAGTGGCTGGGCCAATTTGGGATGCAGATATCGGAAATACAATAGTGGACACGCCACACCTTCGATTCAAGGGAAGCCAACCAACTTCCTAACGAGCTATCAAGCTAGCCAGAACTATTAGTTTCTACTAAGATCTCGGTACGAGAGAGCTAGCTACTTAGGTTTGCCCCTGTCGTCATTGGATGTCATCTTGCAGCGGGTCCAATATTCCTCGTCCGTCACCTTTATTGTGCTTGGGCTTATTTGGTTCCAGCATCGATCGGTATCACAGGTCAGTTCTCTGCTTTCGTGGCAGCAACTAGTAGTCTGCTAGCTACAAGCAAACTGTGTCACTCGTCTTCCACCCATCCACCATGGGCCTGAACTATTGTCTTTGCAACATTGGAGCCACAACCAGTTCCAAAGGACTCATGTTTCAAGATTCCTACCGTATTTCCGCCTGTAGCATCGTGTCTCCCTAGCTAGCTTATGTGATACGAAAGTCAACTTGGTTATCCTAGAAATGCATCCTTGCAGAAGAGTGTACTGAATTATCTACTTCAGTAATAACAAAATGCTCTTCCAGTATGGAAGAGAACTGCAGATTGCGAATTCGTTGATGATTTCAGTAACATAAATGTACGGCTAGGTATTCCATTGCCCAGTTGCCTTGTATCATTCATCGTCCTTGATATCTTTTAAATTCAGAGATTCTTTCTGTGCTTTATTACCAAGCTCCGGCACCCTCGATTTCAACCTCGCCATTTTCATCCCCAATATCGTAGGTACAAATGCCCACACCGGGTTGTCCCTTGACGGAGCGACACTTGGCATCGCCGCACATGCCATCTCCTAGCTGCCCTTTAGTAGGCTGACAGAGGAGGAGGCAGTACTTGGTACCATCCGGCGTCTTGAGTCCACACATGGGATGTGCCGTGACACCATCGGGGACATCCGTGGGACACGAGTCTCCGGCGCCACAGGGAGGAGTGCACAAATCTCCGTCAATGCCCATGACACGAAACATCTTTTCGTCCGCAGCGCAGCCGTTCTTGGGATTGCCATAGTGAGATCCAAGCATATTAGGTCCAGCCAACCAGTCTTCGGCGACACCCATCAAGGGCTCTTCTGTGAGAGAAGCAGAGGCAGCAACAGCAGACACCAACAACAGGAACAGACGCATCATGGTAGTAGTAGTAGTCTTTCGTTGAGTTAGATAGTTAGAAGGGAAGGACTTGTCAAGCAAAGTACTCGTGATTTTATGATGACTGAGCGCTGATGATGCCTTTCATGTTTGGGGTATCTTTTGGATCTATGGATCTTTTAAGACCCGCGGGAATCGCATAAAGCGCAGGTACCGTTTTTTGCAAGACTTTCGTTTCGTTCCTCTACAAAAGGTCGTGGTCTGGATCCAAGGTGGGGTTTTGCGAACAGATGATGATGAGTAGCTCTTATCTCTTCCTTTGGTTCGTTCGTCCTCGTGCAAGGTAATGTTGGTTCTTCTGTCTTTCATTCAGTGTTTGTTTCAAGCAAACCGTGGCGCCTCAAACCCTTGTCTCATCCTTGCAAAAGGTCTCTCCATGTTGGGTCGCTGCCGGTGACAATGGTGCTGTCGGTCGTTCCTTAGTGTTCGAGTCTCATCTTCAACAACAACAACAAAGGTCAGTTCACATTCTTCTCACAGACGTCTCACAATGCTCCTTCGGGAGCTGCCCCTTCGGGGGCTCGCGGTTCCCTTGGAGGCAGCCCAGTGGTTTGCGACTTGCCGGTACGCCCCTCGTCAATTCGCTGGAAAATGGCACCGAAACAGTCTTGCAGTTCTTCTATCATCGTTAGTTATTGCAACATACATGTCTTCCTTACCTTCCTGCATTTCCTTCTTTTGTCACGAATGATGGAGCGATCTATCCACCGAAGCGACGCCTACTCTTGCACAGAGCCTCTTCCTTTATTCCTCGACAAAGATGATCGTTTCCTCTTCCACTCCTAGCTAGTCTAGCTAGAGCCAGTTTCTCTGTTTACCAACCAAGCGACGGTTTCAACAAGAGAAAACGGGGGTTTCAAGAACAAGCCTGCATCTCATGCGGTAGGAAGAAGCGCGAAAGATAGTGAACACGGGGTTTCGCACCCTTGTATGCACCATCAAAGATAAATGGTATTGCCTCACTTGTACATGTACGCACTTGTATCCCGCTATCTATGATTTGGTTGCAGTTGAAAATGAGGTTGCGGTACGTTGCTACAACGTAATACCAGGGCCAAACGAAACACGGGACAAAGATGTGGCACCTTCACACGTGATGTGAAGATGGCCTCGAATGTGCAAACACGCTCCTACTCTAGTCAAACGCTGCATGAACAAAAAGACTGCTGGAAACCCCAACTGCAACGATTTGAAGGCTTTTTTATCCCCATGTGTACAAAGTAAGCATTGAATTCAGCTGGTGACATTACCGAGTTGGAAGTCCTAGAAACTCGACATGACGACTGCATTCAAACTATCAAAAAAGGATTGCGGCAGCAACGACAAAGTATCGTATTGATTACGGCTTTTTCTAGACTGCCACCGTACCGTTCGAACCTGCACCACACCGCCCCTTGTCTCTCCAATAGAAAGCTGTTGTACCGCTCCCTACCGTAGACCTCGTTACATTGCGTTGTCTTGCAGTTGGAGAGGGCGGCGCCATCTTCGACGAATCCTTTGCGATTTCTTTCGCAAAGAAGGTGTTCTGTGCCTATTCTGTTCGGGGTTGTTTCGAAGCAACTCCCAGGACAGTAATGGCACGGTACCGGTACGCCTTTTCAAAACAGAAATAGACACCAATCAATCATGCAATAAATGTATGTAGTCTTTACACAAATCCTAATTCTACCGCTCAGCATGTGGCTGTGAAACGTTATTTCTTCTTTTCCATTGAATGTAAATTGCTGTCAATATGACGTTGTGTCACAAATTATTGCCTTCGACGGACCATGTGAACGAACGCCCAGAGGTTGAGCAAACCCATGAGGACGATAACGCCTTTCAAAAATGCCTTGTTTCGAAAAGCTTTTGAGCCCCTGAAGCATCCAAGCAATCAAACAAGTGTAAGCGGGAAAACTGCAATTATGGTTCCAAGCTAATAGAATCGAATCGAGTTCTTCTGTTTTCTTTTACGTACATGCTTCGCAACACAACACTCGCTTGCTCGACGGCACTTCTCGTCGCATCAATGTGCCCAGATGTTGTCTCCAATTGCTCTCGCTGACGACCCATCTGCAACAAGGTACTGGTTCCAACCTCTTCTGAATCGGAACAGAGTCTGTGTGTGGTTGCGACGAGAGAATGGTTGAGAGAAATGTCAACAAAACAAAAAATTTCCAACTTTTCCTTTTGAATAACTCACTGGAGAGAATTTCGCAGCATGTCTTCAGAATTGGAGAGGAGGCAATCCATATCATCATAATTTTCGTCAAAGCTTCCATTGGGAGCCTGATAGGTCCCCATGGTGTCTCCAAACAAGTCTTGGCGACCCAGGTCGTTCAATTGCCGCTTGACCTCGCGAGAAAGAGGAGCAATGTCTCGTTCAATGCGTTGCTTGGACTCCATCACACGATTCGGGTTACCCTCTACTTCAGCAAGACCTTGCATGGCCGAGGCACACTTTCGTGCTTCCTCCAAGAGACGCTCACATTCCGAAAGTGTTTGACGAGAACGGTTGCCTGCAAGGTAGCTTCGGATCTTTTGGAGGTGGGCATTGTATTCCTTCACAGCAAATTCCAACGAGCATGTCAGTGAGTGCCATGTAATCGACAGGTTTCTAGTCCAAGCGCCGATAACTTACCCTGTCGTAATCGTCGTAGGAAGCCGCCATGGTGGACTAGATCACTTGTCCTTTCGTGGGTGTTGTCGTGGGAGATTTTTGTTTCTGTTTTGCTGCTGCTCTTGGGTGGAGCCCTAATTCTTGGGCAACAGAACCCCTTAGTACAGTAGTCCCCCTAGGCTGCCCCATGCACAGTGTTGCTAGCTAGCTACTACCGGTACCTGGTATAAGGTAATAGTTTCAGTCAGGGGTCATGTCTCATTGCCCCCTTTATTAGGTTATCCAAACTATAACTAGCTACATTGAGTAGCCCATTCTATCAGAAATAGTATTATTAATACTTTTGTTGTCCGGGGTTCTCGGCGCGCAAGAAATCCATCGTGTCATTGCGAAGTGCCAGCGTCCAAAGGTTGCCGATTAAGGTTTTGATAAACTGATGAGTACCGTAGCTCTCTTCCTTCGGATCGTCTTCGTGCTGGGTAATTATACTAGTACACTAGCTAGTTACTAACACATTTCGTTCCTCATGAAGGTCGGATTCGATTCTCCTGGGATCGGCACGTTAGAGCAGGGCTCTGTCGACCATGGACGATGGTGCTCCTTTCGTTCCTCAAGAAAGTTGGATTGTCCTGGATCGGCACGGATGCGCGGGGCATTATCGGGGGTAAAGAGGAGTAAGCTTCTCAGCCAGTGCTCGCCATTGGACCTTTGGTTGGATGGTTCGTCCTCATGCAAGCTAAGAGTGGGGCATTGCATCAAGCAAACTCGGCAAGCCCACGAAACCCCAACACAAGCGGAGTCAAGACGAAGCAAACAAACCAATCTGTTGCTCTTTCTTTCACCATGGGCCCCTTCTTTGTCGAATGCGCGTTCCCGACACTACGATAATCTCCTCATCTTTTGCCCGTGCTCAGTTGTTCTTCCGCATGTGTGTGTTGCTATTGATGGATGTAGCAGAGCTTTGAGGAGAATCGTAGAATCATTCGTTGCGCAAGTCAAGATTTGTGCTCTAAAATCATCGCTGCACTTGCATCGAGCTCCGTGCATCGCATCGCACCCACAAAATCCGCTGTGCTTACAAAATGAAGGTTTCGGGCTCCGACAAAAGCAAGACATTCTCCAAAGACTGGACGTGCGTTAGTCAAGCAGGAGGATTTTGAACGCCGCCAGATCCTAGTGTTGGCGCTACCAGGGATGCCGACTTCCAGGAATGTCAAAATTCTTTGCGTGCAGAGGTGCCGTAGTGAGTGGGAAGGCCCTAGTTAAGCTTGGGGTCGCTCCCAGGTATATTGTCTCACTAGTAGTAGTCACAACTTTGGCCATCTTTGATGAGGCTCCTTTGCTTGCTTTGCGCGAGACTGTGCTCAAGATCCATACTCTTCAGAGGATCGAATTTTGTGCTCGTTGGGATTCCCACTATTCCTGGGTGTGGTTTCTTTTCTGTTTGGTTCCTTTCTCACGCGATGGAGGCTGTAGCGACTCCCAACATTCTGTCTGCCGAATGGACTGGATCGTCAGGTCGACGCCCCTTAACACTCCCACATGCTTGAACTGCATGCATGGGCCCCAAACAACTGCCCGTAGTCTTGTGTTCCTTAATTGTTGCATCCGCTCTCTGCTTTTCGCTGTCCTCGTACTAGCTAGGCCTAGCTAGAGTCTGTTGGCCCACACTCCAGAGTGCGATTGTTAGCCCAATCCGTTTCATTCCTTCATGTAGTCAGATCCATCTTCTTTGCCAAGAATTCCCAAAGACAAGACGACCGACGACCTGGTCATCCATCCGAAAGCATCGGTAGAATCGCAATCTCACAAAAAATCGTATAGCTCTAAAGATAAAATACACTATTCGGGTAAGTACAATTCAACAGTGCCATTGTCACGGCCGGAAAGCATGCCGGTCGCGGCAGATATGGTAGATACAGTGGGTATTCTGGATGGACGCTCGGATAAGGAGGAAGGTTGGAGATTGGAAAGCAGAGTTTGAATCTGCCGTTGCATGATACGTTGTTCCTCAAGGAGTTGTCGTTGGTAGTCTTCCATGAGCATTTGCGATCTTCTCATGGCGGTGACTTCCTGGGAGAGGGCATCATATGCGCCTTTGTCAACAACACGTCCACTCGTACTCGTATTTGCACTCCCACTACTCGTACGGGTACTAGAAGTCGCGGCGGTGGCAACGTCGGCACGGTTGGTAAAGGCACAAACACTCGTGTCTTCTCGACCTTCTTCGGTGGATTCACGCTCGGAACAGTCTTTGGTTTCTTGATCGGACGACAATCTGCCCGGCGACAGTCTTCTGCCAGTGTTAAGATTACGCATCGTGGCGGCTCTCACCAGACGTTTGGCCGGCTTTTTGACGTGCTTATTGTAGTACATGTTCCAAAAGGCAATGGCCAAGGAAAACACCATTGTGACCCAGTGAAACATGAAGCTTCCAATCATTTGGTTCATGGTAAGTTGTTGTGATTCTTCCGTGGCATCGCCATGGGATGCAACGGCACCTCCCACTGCTCCCTTGCCGGCTGCCTTGAGATACCGTTGTAATTGTAATTGTCTTTCGTGTGTTGCACTTTCCCGTCGCAGCCGTCGTCGTGTCAGGGGCGATTCCTCGTCCGGGGGTGCTTCGGATTCGGACAAGACTGTCGTGGAGAGAACGGCAGCCGCAGCTTCCAACTCGGGGTCGTATACGTCACAGTTGATGGATTGTTTCCTCCGGCGGTCTTCCTCCCAAGCATCGTCAATGAATCCGTCGTTCTTCATGGCTTCCATGTGTAGATTGAGTACGTCGCGGACCAAGTTGGTACATAGATTGCCCGAGTCTGCCTTGCTGGCAAAGCCTGCCTTGACTTCTTTGATGCGGTAGAGAGGTTCTCCCACCCATTCCAATTCACAGGTTGGATTGAAGGATCGTATGCGTCTGGATAGTTCCCAGTTCGTGACTGTTTCTAACGCGTACTGGCATTCCCCACGATTCAAGCCGTCGTAGACTTCTTCAATGGTCTTTTTGGGTATTCGATAGGCCGAGGGATAGTTTTCCTTGACGTACAAATCCGTGTTGGTATTCTCCCACGTGCAAATCTTGAAGCCAAACACCGCCGCTTGTTCCACCGTGTCCACTTGCACAACCTGTGGTTTCCGGTCTACATAGAGACTGGCCAAATTGGCTGTGTAAGTGGCTGTCATGACCAGCGCCCAGAGAGCCATGCTGATCCCAAATATTCTTCCCGCCAAGTTCTTGGGATGATACTCGTACGCTTGTGTAAAGTTGATGAAACTCAAGTAACAGTTTTCTTGCCACCATTCCCATAGTGACCGATTGCCTCTGTCATCGGCCAGCCATTCAATGATTTGGTAGACAATACCAGAGAGGACAATGGTAAAGACCGTGAGGGCCCAAACACTGGGTTCATAGGGCAACATCCAGTTGGTCCATACAATCTCGTCACTAATGACTTCTGGCACTGTTTTGGTAATGAGAATGATGCTTCCATCGTACCAATCTTCGTGAAAGACGGCCCCCTGATTCATGCGATCCAAGTTTTGGGCCCACCAGTCGGCATTCAAGTCGTAGGCTTCAATGCCCCACAGCAAGAGATCGGTCCAACTTTCGTTGGCGCCAGTGGGAGCATGACTGGCGGCAAAACTGTGCCGCCATGTAAATCCCGCTCGTTCGGCCAACTCGTCCAGAATCACGGCCGCCAACCCGGGATAGTTGGCAATTCCCGTTTCCTCGTCGTAATGAAAGTAGTCGGGGGCCACCAAGACGTTCAATTCCTTGCCAGACAATGCATCCTGGAGCTCAATGGTCCCGTTGCGTTGGAGGTGAAACTGTTCGCACATGTCTTGACGATGATAGACCCCGGGACTCATTTGGGGTTCGGTAAACTTGGCCATCTCTCCTGCCGCAGCAACCAAGTCTACTTGCAAGAGCAGTAATAGAAGCTCCAGAAGAGCCATCAGCCGCAGCACCCTCATCGATTGGATTCGGAACAGCATGCCTTTGTCTCTCGTCTCGTCTTTGTCTCTGTCTGTGGTCCTATCTAACTATAGTAATGTTACCCTCCAACTGTATCCTGGATGCTGGCAATGCTGGTAAGTTGTCTAAGTCCCAGTCCTTCACTGGATTTGGGGCTCAACGTTGCTGTACACTACTGATGATGATGGCCACAAGCAAGGTCCAAAGTAGTGTTGCGATAGCGATTGCTGCTGCGGTGCACACTGAAGTGGTCGTCAAACAACAGCTCGTCAACCGCTGGCCGAAGTTCACGCTGGCCAGCGGGATTGGTCACCTCGATTCCTCCAAACTATCATGGCTAGCTAGGAAGAGGTGCACTCGATCGGACAAACCATTGTCGAATGGTCGTTTCAACACTATTATTGGCAATAGTTTACTATGCAATTGATAATCTGGAATATAGTTTAGCGTCCTTCGAAACCATTGATTTCCGCTTTCTCAAAGAACAACTCCCTTCTTCTACTCCAATAATAAATAATAAAACTCTGGTGCACTCTGTCGCGTCGCCACCTATTAATAGACTATACGATTGGCTGTACCTGTGCTTTCTGCTGTAAACTATCATACTAGTACCTGGTACATGTCATCAGGCGAGTCAATTCACCGCAATCTTTTCCGAGGGTCCGACACGACATACTAGTACCAGCCCGCACAGCCAGTCAAGCGGTCAAGCTCCCCTTTTAAAACGACAGCATGCTGCATGGCTGCATGGCTGACTCCTTGGTCGCTGGACTCTTGTGGAAATTTAGAGCTCAGCTGATGTGTTATTTATTTATTACATACACGTGCACTCGTGCACTCAATAGAGGGGACTAATAATAATACTTTAGTACTGTAGTCTAAGTACATTTTTCTGATACATCTAAGACAATTCGTTGAAACATTATTAAAAGAGAGGGTCCTCTTTTATTTAATGTAGTGAACTTGTTGTAATTAGAAGAGGACAGAGCGGATTTAACAAAGAGCAAGTGCGGATTTGAAAGAGCAAATGCGGGACTCAAATTTCATCTTTTCCCCAGCGGTCCTACCGGTAGCCACCGTTGGCACCTCCGGTGGACATGCCCACCGTTACGGTAGCAGTACTGTGCCGTAGAAGGAGGGAGTCGAGTCGAGTCGAGTCCTTCCTCATTCCTCGGTGCAGCTGTTTCGTTAGCAAAGGTCTTTGCACTACATGCAATGTATGTAGTCGTTTAGCTTCAGCCAATGAATGCACTACTTTTCATGGAAACAATGCATTGGCTGACTGTGAGACCACTCGCTAGCTAGCTCCAGCTGGTGTCTTCAAAGCCTCTGGCGGCGGCACGGTGTTCTTGTGATCCATGATGCGTTGTCGTGGTTTCTACGGTACAGTAGTAAAGGAAACACGTAGTAGCTACAGAACCTATACTACTGCATCCGTCATTTTCTATAGCTTTTTGCCTATTACTATTCGTGTGCAGCGTACATTCTACTGTGGTTACCTCCACCATCAAGAAGAAAAGAGGAGCGAGAATGGCTACCAGATACGTCTGCTTAGCCAGTCCTGGACCTAGAGATGATATCCAGCCAGCAGCCAATGTTGCTGCCCCTCGTTACAGGACACTTCTCGCGGGTGTTGGTTTTGAAGGCTACATCCAGTAAGCTTCGCGGAATGGTGTGCCCAAGGAGAGAAGACACAAAGCATTGGTGGCTCCTCGTGTTGGTGCGGCTGTGCGGCTGTGCGGTTGTGCGGTTCCATACAGCAAATAGCAAAGGCTTCTTCAGTTGAGAAAAAGGCTACAAGGAGGTACAGGTGGAAGCTTCTTCCCATGCCTGCCTTTCTTCAGAAAGGACAGGTAGCAGAAGGAAGAGCGTCATTGCTAGCTTACGGAAGGGTCACAAATAAAGGACGATGAGATCTGCAGTAAAGTACTCCAGAGAAGCCTTTAGAAATATCAGAAATGTCTTTTGTAGAAGCTCAATTAAATCTTGAGTCATTCTTGTTGAAAGGCTGCCTCGAGTGGTCACCAGCTGATGAAGCCATGAACAATGACTCAGCTAGGCACAAGTAACCGAGATGCGCAGCATTCATTTAACATCAGATGCACCTTGGCCTAATTCGGTCACAGAGGTTTGCCACCCACAAGTAACGATCGATGCAAAACCTGGTCGCGATTTTGCAACCACCCTTTCATCCCTTATCTTCCTCGTCTCACAACAGCAGCAAGTGGCTAGCCACCAACCCAAGAACCGTCGGCTTGGTGACTCTACTTGTGGTCCCTGGCTAGCTGAATCCGTTGTCGAGGTAGCTAGTTAGATTCGAATCGGCAGCTCCAGTCTTCCCTTGTGAGTGATTGAGAATTGAGAGCAGTCTTTCTCTGCTCTCTGAACCCCAATATTTCCAAATGATTCTTCGAAGAAGAACGACCATGCCGTGGCTACTCCTTCTACTCCTACACATGATACCCAACCTGGTTGCGGGTGGAGAACTGGCCAAATACACCACACCGCAAATGACTCCCGGTGTGAATCATCGACAAAATGTGTGCGAACGGAACCGTGCCTACCTTAATGGGACTGTTCCACTGGAAGATGCCCTGCGTGGCATGGAGTTGAACATTCTGTTGGCCGCCCGTGATTATTTCTTTTACGACGAAGAAACGGGCATTGACGATGAACATCCCGGCCTGATGGCGTTGATTCTGGACGAATTGGCCGAACGAGCGGGATTTACATGGCGTGACAGTTTTGGGGTCTCGTACCTTCCCACCAACGAGACTTGGACGGAGCTCCTGTTGTGGGGCATTGATTCCTATGACATTGTGGCCGACTGGTGGGCCATCAACTTGGAACGACTGCGACTCGGAGTCTACTTTTTGGAGCCGTGGTACGACTCGAGTCTCTTGTTGATGACCAAGGAAGTGCCGGAAGAGATTGCGGACGAAATCAACTTTGCCAACTGGTTGAGACCCTACGAGCCACAAGTATGGGCACTCACCATCTTTACAGTCATTCTCAGTGGCCTAGTCTATCAATGGATTGAATGGCTACAAGATGAACGAGATGGACGGTCTTTATGGGTATGGTGGCAAGAAAACTGGTACCTCAGTTGTCTCAATTTCACACAAGCCTATGAATATCAACCCACCAGTTTGGCTGGCAGATTGTTTGGAGTCAGCATGGCCATTTGGGCCCTGGTCATGACAGCAACCTACACCGCAAACTTGGCATCTCTGCTGGTGGATCGCGTACCAGTGGGGTTTGTGGTGGAAACTGTTGATCAAGTGGCCGTATATGGCTTTAAAATTTGTGTTTGGGAAGGAACCTATGCCGATGTCCTCATCAAAACCAATTACCCGTCTGCCACTCGAATCCAAAAACAGACAGAAGAAGGGTTGTACGAAGGATTGCATCGAGGAGAGTGCGAGTATGCCGCCAATGCCAAAGCCTCCTTTGACAAACACCGGCACACGAGAGAGCGCAATCCGTTTTGCGATCTGCAGTGGGTGGGCGAGCCGCTGTACCTCATCTCACACGAGAGGGCCGGATTTGTCACCAAAGTCGACTCTGGGCCAGACTATTGCAGTGGGCTCATTTCCAGCGTCATTGATTTGCACATGAAAACCATGATTTTGGAAGGCGTCTTGGACGATCTGTGGGCTGTTGAAAACGAACGGAGCAGGACGATTGATTGTAACATCTACGACCCAAGTTTGGGTTTGGGACTCGTCGGAAATCCAGAAGAAGAAGACGAGGCAGGAACAAACACAACAACAAGCGCTGCGACTGATCCCGATACCGAAACTCGGCTAAGACGGAGAAGGCGATTGAACAAGAAGAACTGCCAAAAAACTCAGCGAACGCAGCCATCTCGTCGTCCTACTCATCGCAGCCGCAATCTCAAAGCTGGAGGAAAGGGAGCGGTTGGCGGAGCCGTCGCTGCCAAGGGCGACGGTGCATCTCAAAGCGAGCAGTTGACCATGGAGCAAATGATTGGAACGTTTCTCTTCCATTGGTGTATCATGGTGGTGTCGGTGGCAATTGCGTACTGGAATATCTACTACAACAAAAATCTCAAGAAACCGGTGAGCAAGGCTTTGGCAGAGACTGGAAAATCGATTCGAGACAGTTCCGTGGGAGAGGCTAGCATACGCTGGTACAACGAGCAGATCCGCAGGGGTAGTGATAAGGACGACCACGATCCACACGATGACAGTACGTCACAACGAACTGCGAACCATCGACGGAGTTTCAACACGGACATGACGGCAAAATGGATGGATGAACCACAAGTGGAACGCAGCAAGGAGCCAGACAATTGCGAAACTGATGAAGATGCCAAAGGAGACCACGAAGCTGCCCCGGACAAGAGTATTGCACAAGAGCTAGCCGAAATGCGAGCATTCCAAATACAGATTCTCGAGGAACAGCGAGCCATGCAACGGCAGATGCAATCTCTTTCGCAAGCCGCAGTCACCGGAAGACTCGGCGATTCCATAAACATTGGAATGTTCAACGACTCTGTCGGTGACGTGTCAATATGACGTTTTCGACCTCCCATTACATGCCATTCAATTCACTCCCCGCAAAAGCTCAAACAGCATTAGGTTAGACAGAGGACATAGTTTGAATTGATTAACTTGAATAGGTTTGCATACCGAATGAGATTTTATTAATCATTCAAAAAGTGCGAGCCTTGCAGAGATTACGACAACGGAGAACAGTATCACTGCTGGCCGAGGAGGTCCTACCGTTAGCTACACCTCCATTGCAGGCACAGCATTGATGATACTATATTGGCAATTACGGAGAAAGAGGATTAACATTGTACCAGTGCTACTAGCAATATTACTCAGTATTCGTTTGTTGGCAAGATCCAAAAAGCACAAGGCCGAGGCATGGAAGCGACGAGGAGGATGGTTCAAGCGAGCTACAGTATCTCATGCATTTTCCTCTCACACAACCAGAAGTTGACCATGACTATCAAACCAAGTTTCTGCTCCATTGGAGCTTTATTGGGTCATCTCGTTGTCATTCTCATTCCTCGTACCACCAGCGGATACATAGTTGACAGCAGTGCCAACACCCGGGCCATCCACTTGGGCAAAGATATACATGTACAAATAACACCAGACCCCCCTTTGTCATCAGCATCAAGATCTCTTGCTCTGAATCCTTCACAATATGATGCTTCGCGAATCAGGCGAGGCCAACAGTTCTTTGAAGACAATATGCTTGCAATTGTCAACTCATGGGCCCTGGTCTTAGTTGTAGGATTTGCTCATCCTGAAATGTCAAGTGCACTCCTTGCTACAAAAGCATCAGACACTGCCCCCCTCGCTCCTTAACGTATCTATTTAGTATTTGTTTCAGACACTGCAGCGAAGGCTAAACAACGCTATACAAAGACTTTCCAAGACTTGTTGTACTGGCACACTCAAGACCTGTTTGACCCAAGCTCTCCAGTTCCAGCTAGTGCTGGCTCTTCCTTCTTGCCAGCTTGGTTGAGGACCCAGGTCAGATTGATGCCGTTTCATACAGTTCTGGCACTATTGAATTTGACATTTTGGACCTGCTGGCCACAAGCTACTTTGATATCGAAGTGGACCTTGAGCATCCTTTGTGTTCAGGCAGTCACACAGCGTAACCCACGACAAGTTCTGTGGATGGTTGACCATGTTTGTCAGAAGAAAGCGCGGAAAATGTTTCCCTTGCACCCTGGGAACAAGCCCGAGCTTTAGTCAATTCGTAGATTCGGGCGCTCACCAGCCTCAGCTAGACGATTGCTCAACAGGTTTGCTGTTTCTACCTTTCTGAAGTATGACACTCCTGGAAAAATACAGTTGTAAACACCAAATAGGAAATTTGTACTGTGATTATGTATTGTGAAACGAGATCGGGTTACTGTGCGCATGGTTAGAGTGGACTACCGGTATGTGCGGGAATGGACTCCGTGCTGACCCATTGGCAATGTACTTTTGCGCACGTTGTTACACTCCCAGGGTCTCCTTGCCATTATATCGTGCGTTTCGCCTCACGCAATGATTGTACTAGCTAGACATGACTTGGTAGAGCGTTGTTTGCCTTGGTTCCAGCGCTGATCCTGGCATACTTCTGTGTGTTTACTATTACTTTGCCGCCAGAGTGAGAATGAGCAAGACAATCAACATGATCCCACCAAGTCCCGTAATCATCATGACACTGAATGGCTCCCCAAAGACATCATCTCCTAGAACGTTCCTGCCTGGTTTGCGAAACTCGACCCAATCGTCGTGGGTAAAGGTAGTGCGGTAGTTGACCCGATTTCGTTCCGAAAACGAATCTTTGTACTTGTCTCGCATTGTAAAGGGACTATTCTCAGGCTCTTCCAGATTGAAGAGTCGAGTGGTACTCGGTGTCATTGTTGTTGCCCTGCACTTTGTCGTTGCCAATGACGAGAATGAAGAGACAGAGCCTACCCATAACGAGAGCACGGCAATGAACGTAGTCAAAGATCTTGTCATTGTTGCGATAAACCTACTAGAAACTGTTCTTTGGCACGAGAGGTTCTATTAGGTTGCTGCTTCAGTTCTGGCACTCAGTCGATCCAACCTTGCTACCCGTAGCTACTAGCTAGCCAGCTACTTGTCCTTATTCTCAATGCCCGAACTTCCTTCAACTATGCTTACAAGCACTGATGTCTGACGGTTGTTGTCCGACCGCTGTTGTCGTTCATGGCTTCGGTTTTCTGAGTGACGTCAGTATACTCGCTCCCGCTGCAGGGGAAACCAAGTGATTGAGGAGAAAGGTCAAAACAAAGTTGATGGACGGCTATCTTAGTCGAGGAGTGGCCGATCCTGTGGAACCTTGATTGTACGGAAGAAGTTACTATGGGTTAGAGGGGACTCACTTGGCTGATTGAATGATTCGATTCATTCTCAGAGTGTGGCAAAGATGCGATCTTTGCGGCGTGCCAGAAGAGTGAGTCGACTCAACTCAACTCGACTTCAGTGCGTACCATGCAACGGGATCTATCGGGAATGGTTACGATGTGTTAGAGGGAACTACATATATGGGTGAAGCGCGTTGACAGTTGTGAGCAAATGTCTAGCGCGTAGGGAATGAAAACCAATGAGCAGCCAGGCCAACACACGGAGACGGCAGGCAGGGGAGGAACGGGATGCATTCGATTTGCTGTACGACGCCAGTGGTTGGGGTTGCAGAGTCGAATCTCCAACAAGTGTGTGCTGTAACCAGGCAGGAACGATGTTGGCATTACCGACAAGCACGAGCGTTACTAGCTAGATCCCTCAGCCTACCGGTACCCACGAATATCGCCAAAGCTACATCGCAAGTTCACAGTTAGGTGGTCAAGCAGAACCGTAGGTCCAGGGAATAGATTCATGCTTTGTTCCTGCTGTAATAGTTCTGCCATTGGGTGTTTGCTGGGGGGTGGTCCGTGTCCAGGATTTGACCCAGGTGATGGTACGATGTTGTAGAGACTCGGATCGACCTCGAGTTGAGCGTTTCAACAAGAGTAGGGCTGGAGCGCCAAGAGGATCCGGCCAGCGTTGGGGACAGTTGTAGGATCTGGAGCTGTCGCTGGTTTACGGTGGGTGGGTAATGATCCAGGGCTTTATATCCAGGCTTGGCGTCATGCTGGTGTTGCGTTGAGTGTTGATCAGAGAGTTATTGAACATGATGGGTCCAGGAGTACGCTAGTAATTCCTCCAGAAGTACATTCCCTGTTGTAGGGTAGGGGACTTGGTTCAGAGCTGGCTCGATCTCTAGGTATTTATTTGCTATCAAGGCAAGCTACCGACTTGTCGGGACAAGTAGAGCACGGGTATCATTCCAGTACCAGGTACTAAAATCGTAGACCATCGATACGGGTACCGATTGCTTGGGATCATTGATCGAGCTCCGTCGACGTCGTTGGCCAACCCGAGCCCCTCTCTCCGCCCCAATGTTTGTGGGGGTTATCGGTTTAGGGTAGCGGCACGTGGACAGTGTACTCAGAGACTAGCTACTTTTAAAATAGAATTCTATTACAGTTGGCCAACCCGGGCCCGCTAACGCACCCGGTGGTAGCCACCAACCAACCAGCCCGAACCATGCACACACACTTCTTGGATACCATACCATAATAAAGATCGCAACAGCTGCACGCTTTCTCGAGGGTAGCGTGTCCTTATAAATTAGCAACAAGGTTAGGCATAAAAACAACAAGATAACTGATCTTTTTTGGCCACGTTTTGGCAGTTGGTTACGTTGCAATTTGTGAGACGGAGACAAGGTGAAGGGGCATTCCTATGTGAAAATCATGTTTCAAAATGAACGTAGTAGATTGCCGATGGTGTTTAGAACGAGAGTGTATGTGACAGATCTGAGTAGGCCAGTTTATTTAACATTGTCACGAGGGCTGTAATCATATGCCGACAAAATGATACTCCAGCCATTTTGAAAATGCCCGGCAGGCTCCGTCTGTGATCCTCTCGTTTCTTCTCGTTTTGCTCCGCGGCGCACCCAACAAATGCAATCGATCGTACGAAAAGCTCCAATCCGAAACCTAACTTTGGCTTGCCTTTGGCTTCACATTTCGTCTAGCTAGTTCTCTCGCTTTTCTTCTTTTCTTTTCATCCTCCTCCAGTGAGCAAGATGACGAACGAGACCAACGTCGAGTCGCCTTCGAATACCGAAGGCAACGTCGATACCCTCGTGGAGCCAATTCAGAAGAATGACGATGATACCCCCGCTACCGACGGCGAAGTTGAGGATACCCCTGTGGATACCCCTGAGGATACCTCTGAGGCTACCCCTGAGGCTACCGCTAGCGCTTCGGATAACGGAGTTGCTGGCACAGATAATGGATCCATCGTTGAGCCAACGGAGACTACTAGTACTGATAGCGACAAGAAGGATACCCCTAGCATTCCCGAGCCTGTCTCTTCCACTCAGGCCATCCCCACGGATACTGGATTTATTGACGATAGCACTGATAATGGAACCGTCGAAACCAACAAGGGTCAAGTCCAAGCAGATACCACGGGCGACGATCAGGGAAGCAGCGCTCACAGCCCGCCGGTGACTGAAGAAAACAAGATCAACAGCCCCGAGGATGAAGCAGCCAGTACGAACAATAGCAGCAGTGCGGATGGATCCGAAGATACAGGAATGACTCCCACAACAAAGGAAGTGGCCACCAGTACGCCCCAAGTTAAGCCCAACGAGCCTGCTAGCAGCACTGTAGCCGACACTCGCGACAGTAACAAACTTAACACGGAAACGGATGCATCCAACACCCCTCCTAACTCGGACGACAACACCACGCCAATAGTCAAGCCAACTCGTACTGCAAAGCGACAACCGTCCACCGCTAGTACTGTTATGGGAGGATCCGTTGCATCGGGTTCACGTGATGACACCGAAGAGACAGAACTCATTGATGGGACCAACCGTGGACTTGTCCAGGCCGTCGATAACACTGGCAACAACCACAACAACCACAAAAGGACTGTCCTGTTCCCTCTTTGGACCCAAGTCACCCAGGTTCTTCATACTGCGAATCAAAAGTTTGTTTCGACTCTGGCTATGGCGGCTGCCCGCAACCCAGTGGTATGCATTGGAACCATCATTGTGCTCTCCGTGGCCCTCATGGCAGCCGGCCTGACCACCAACTTTCAAGTCAACGTCAATGAGAAGGAGCTCTATGCACCCTTTAACAGTGTGTCTCGTCAGCACTACAACTGGTACCTTCAAGAATCCGGTCTCAAGGAAGATACAAGACCTGCTATCCTGATGATTCACAACCACGGTGCCAATGTGCTCAATGCGTTTACATTGGCAAAAGCATTTGAGGCCTTGGACACGGTTCGGAACACAACGGGATACAGCGACATCTGCAACGATGGAGCCTACTGGGACAGCTACAAAGAGGAATTCACTTGTCGGATTGTATCTGCTACTCGGTTTTGGTATCATGACAAAGCATTGTTTGAGAGCCAAGTGCAGAGTGATGATGATTTGATTCAGCAGTTATCAGCTTCAGAATACCCAGGTGGAGCACCCATTGGACAGGAATACTCCATGGGCAATCCACAGCGGGATGAAAATGGGACCATAACCTTTGTCCCGAGCTTTTTTGTTTACATTATGCTATCTGACAAGGAATTGGAGACACTGGAATTTGAAGCAGCTGTCCTCGAAAAGCTAGCCACCCTACAAGCTCAGTGGGATGAGGATGATTCCACTGATCTTCGCCTGGACTTCTATGCCGAGAGATCAGCACCAGATGAGTTTCGTCGAGCAATAGATGAGGACCTCTACCTCCTTGGTGTTGGCTTTTTCATCATGAGTGGATTTGCCTGCTTTGTCTTTTACAAGCGCCAGGCAGTCCAATCCAGATGCCTCTTGGGAGTGGGAAGCGTTGTGACCATTGTCCTTTCACTATGCAGTGGCTTTGGCATTATCTTCTGCTGTGGGATCCCATTCACCAGTTTGACACAGCTACTGCCCTTTGTAGTCTTTGGTATTGGGTAAGAACTTGCTTGTCTTCTTCTGACTGTCTGTCTTCTTCTGGCTAGTTCTAATATGTTCCAATGTTGCTGTGTATGTGACACTGTACAGGCTGGATGACACCTTTATCATAACTGGAGCCTTTCTCAGGTCAGATGCCTCTCTGAGTCCTGAAGAACGAATCCAAGAAGCCATCACCGAAATTGGGTCTAGCATCAGTGCTACAACCATAACTACAGCTTCTGCCTTCCTTCTGGGGTTGACCTCTAGTATTCCAGCAATCTATTGGCTCTGTCTCTATGGTGGGTTCATACAACGTTTTCTCTGAGAAGGCTATATTGATGACTCACCTTGTGTCCTCTTCTTCATTCACAGCCTTTCCCACCATTATCATCGACTTTCTTTACCAAATCACGTTCTTTGTAGCCATCCTGACTTTGGATGAGAGGCGTGTACAAGCCAGCAGAATGGATGTCATCAGTTGCTGCAAGGGCTCCAGTTACAATGATGATGAGCTTATGGAGAATGATCCGGAGAAAGTTGGATTGCAGGGTGATGAAGATAAAGATCATCAAGCGATACACTTTGCTGACACGGTTATGGCTTGGTATGCTCACTACCTTCTCCATCCTGGGCTGAAGGTTCTTGTCTTGGGTCTATTTTCTACCTTCTTTGGCTACTGCCTTGGCAGAGCTGCCATGATGGAGCAAAATTTTGATGTCAAGACCATGTTCCCCAATGACTCCTACGTGGTTCATGCCTTAGACGCTGTCAATAATTTCCAAGAACGTTCATATGCCTTTCATATCTTTTTCAGAAATGAGGATCAAAGCGACCCATCAGTGCAGCAGCAAATGATATCCTTTGTGGAAGATATTCAGGCATTACCAGCCTTAGGGTCGCCGCCTCCCTTGTGCTGGGTTCGTGACCTCCAAGCACTACATGAGACAGAGTACTTTGATGTGATCAAGGATTTACCTTTGGAAGAGCAGATTCAAGTCGCCATGGAAATTCCTGCTTTCAAAGAGGCCTATGGCAATGATATTGTGATCGATGGAGCCACTGGAAAGATATCTGCATCCAAGTGCACCATTCTAGCCAGGAATTCCTTCTTGTTGGACGATGTGGACAACCGAGTTGGCTATCTCAATGAACAGCATGCTATCACAATGGCACAACCTATCAACCATGGCAAAACTGGCGGGGAAGAGTCTTTCTTTACCTTTCAGGACATCTACTTGAACTGGGAATTCTATAATGTTGCTATCAGTGAACTGGTCATGAACAGTTTGCTGGGCATGGCTGCTGTTAGTGTTGTCACTCTGATATTCATGCCCCATTGGACAGCTGCATTCTTTATCATTCCCATAGTTGCAGTTGTGTACATTGACTTGCTTGGTAAGAGAAAGATTGATTTCAAAGCAGTTCTTTGCTTGTGCTTGGTTGAACTCACCTCTTGTGGTTTTTCTCTTTCTACCCGCAGGTGTGATGCAGATGGCTGGTCTTGATATCAATGCTGTGACTTTTGTCTGTCTTATTATCTCGATCGGTTTAATTGTTGACTTCCTTTTTCACATCATGTTGAGATATGTCGAGTCAACCTGTACCACTCGTGATGGCAAAGTGAAAGAAACCTTGAGAACTATGGGGAGTTCCATTCTCCTTGGTGGGTTATCAACATTTTTGGGTATTTTGCCACTGGCTTTCAGTACCAGCATGATCATGAGAACAATCTTCACTTCCCTTTGCTCAATGATCATCCTTGCAGTCACACATGGTCTGGTTGTGCTTCCTGTAGTGTTGTCTTTGATGGGGCCTATCAGCAATGAACCGGTTCAGAGTCTAGATGCTCATGGCAATCTTGTTGTTGAAGTGACAAGAGAAGGCTGTCTCAGCCCAATGTCTGATGATTCTTTTGCCTCTCATGTGATGATCCAAAACTCGAAGCTGCGGGGTAAGGGAAAGAGGCAACGGATGTCTTCACGCACACTTCTATTCTCTGACATGGAGTCGGGGAGCATGCAGCTGGATGCATATGAAGGTCATGACTTGACAAAGCAATTTATGAGATCAAAGGTTGATCCTTCTTCAGAGTTGTTTGTGGGCATTCCAACGATTTCTGAATGCTAACACGGGTTGTCGCGGTTGTTGCCTGTGTGGTTGGCAGCGACCGAGAATCATGTACTTGTTTACCTTTAGCTAGTAGTACCACTTCTTATTCATCAACTAACTGTTCGTAGCATTTATCTTCTGAATTCAGTTGACTCGACTCTACTAGCTGGCCATTACAATGATCCCATTGAAGTTCCGTCGCTTCTATGGCTGGACGATTCTCGGACCGGATTCGTTACTAGCTAGTAATACCTGCAACCCAAGAAACCCGCCAGACACACTCGCACGGAGAGCTCTTCCAAGCTGCTTCTGTTAAGGGCATCCACCCCCGAAGGCTAAACGTAGGAACGCAAATCGTACGGCTTTCATAGCTACCGGTACGGACTGCTGATTGCATTGCAAAATACAATCCGTCGAGTTTGTCGCAACGCTGGCCGCCACGACGAAAAAAGCGTTCGATCAAGGAAACAGAGGAACCGATTGGGCTTGGTTACGATGAATGCGGTTAGTACTCGTATCGCCTAATGGGCGAGGCATCAGAAAGCTATGATTCAGTTCACGGCAAGCTCCTTTGACTTAAATTATTGAAGTGTTAGCCTCTCTGGATGTGACTCACGGTTTCGGTTCTGTCCCAGAACGAACGCAGTGAGGACGAGAGCCGGGGACCGAGCAAGCGCAAGAAGGGATCGAGCAAACGGCATCGTTGCTTCGCTTGTGATGATGGCTCATAATAATCGATAATGCGCAAAGCTCTGTTTCTCCTGTGGCTAGCTGAAGTCGACGTCATTCAGCTCCTTGCTGAAAGTGGGTAAGCTAAAGCGCTGCCCCACTGGAGCGTGACAAGTCCTTGTCCTCCCGATGTCAACAAGCATGGCACCACAGTTCAGTGTGAAATGGCCAAGGGCGCCGCAGCATCAATCTAATCTTGGCTGGCTAAAATTATGTCCATTGAACCCCAAAGTCCATCACCAACAGCGTGCCACTAGCTAGGCTTCCGTAGATAACTTCCTTACTATACCGGTATCTACTGGTAGCGCCCTTTCATCAAACGATGAGCTATTAGCCTACACCCCCTTTCCAAACGAGGTACTTTCACGTCCTCTGCGGGAGTCGAAATTGCCTTTTTTAATTGGGGTCGAGTCACAGTTTATCGAGGAAGCGGGAGTCAACACTGAACCAACTGCGCATCGATATCACGAGGAGTCTTCTTTGCGAAAGAACACGGGACACAACAACGAACTCGAGGTCCACACCCCTATTAAGTGTTACAAGACACTCAGCAAGACCCTTGCACTTTCACCCGAGCATTAGATTCGATTCCTATCAAACCCACCACAAAACGAGAGCAGGACAAAAGGGGGGCTAGGGGGGGAAGGGGAAAGCATCGAGCAAAAGGAGGAAGTAGAGGGGAAGTGGAGAGGGAGTAAGAGGGGGCAAGATTAGTGGAAGAGTGCAAGTGCACCATCGGCATCCCAGAGAGAATGGCGGTAGCTCATTGTGCCAGCAGGGACACGAGAGCCATGCATGCAGAGGTGGCGGGCCCGAAGAATAGCAAGGCTGAGCCGAGCATTAACGAAGCCACGCACCACTGAGTAAGGGTGTTCCCACTTTGCAGCGAGCACTTTGCAGTGAGCAAAGCGGAAATACGTTTGGCGAGTGCCTCAGCTTCGGCCCCAAGGAGACCATCAGCAGAGACGACAAACGGAGTAAAGTGGCGGCGTTGGGAGAGACAGGCGTCGAGGTACTTGCTTTTCTTGTCACCATTGCGAAGGACCTTGTTAGAATCCTTGCGACAGTGAGAAGCAGCATCAAGATTGCAGCAATGGAGTCAGACTTTCAAAATTACGACGCAAAGTACCGGTGCCTTTGTCATATTTGACACACCTTCTTCGTACAGTGTGGAGCTGCCGGTCTAAGCGAGCCAGCTAGCCTCAGAAAATGATCACCTCCGCGCACCTTTTGGTTGCTTTTCCCTTCGTCAGTGGGCCGCATGACCTCGCAAAATGAAAATTCGGGGTCTCGCTAGAGTATGGAAGCTGTCTACGAAAGTCGGCCACAAATGAACTTGACCATGCCGTGGCTTTTGTTGTTATCCATCCTCTGTGGCATTGACAGTTCCAACCCAAGTGAAGGTATCTTGAACGGATTGACCGTTCTGACCACAGCTCCTCCCGCGTATGCGCCTCGATTGCATTGTCACCTGATAAACGCTGGAGCCAAGGTGGTTCCATGTCCAACCATAGAGACATTGGCTTTGTGCAGCGACCAAGACATTTCCGAGCTGAAGCAGGCCGTGAATGATATCCAGAGCTACAATTATGTCGCGTTTACTTCTCGTCGAGGGATTCAGGCATTATTCCAGCACGACCAACGTGGCGTCCTAAAAGAAGCTTTCTCCAAGCAAACTCCATGTGTCATTGCGTTGGGAGCTGACGCAGAAGCATTGGTTGCCAACCATGGAGTGGAACCAGGTAGTGTGCTGGTCCCGGAAACGCCGACGCCCCAAGGGATTGTAGATTTGCTCAAACAAAAGCACTATCAGGCACAAGAAACCACGAAAATACGAGTACTATGCCCTGTCCCCAAGGTTGTGGGGTTAACGGAGCCATCGGTGGTGCCCTCATTTCTCCGAGCATTGCAAGATGCCAAATTCGAAGCCGTACGGCTCAGTGCCTACGAAACCCGATGGATCCACCCAGGTTTGTTGACGGATATTGCCATAGACAAGCTAAAGAAAGGACAAGTGGACGTGATTGCCATTTCCTCCACGGCCGAGGTGGAAGGTTTGCAACGACTTCTCGCAGCCACCAATGTAGGCGTCAAGGTGGTGGCACATGGAACGGTAACGGCCAAGGGAGCAAAAAGCTTGGGATTGCGAGTGGACGGCATCTCTACCGACTCGTCCTCGTTTGCAGGGATGGTTCACGCCATTGCCAAATGCCTCGGACGACAGTAATAATGAAACTAAATCGCATCCAAACAACCGACCCATCTGCAACTGGGATGATGACGACAATCCACAAGGACTGCGATACAAGACGAGTGACGAGTCATTGTTCGTGCACCGTCCTTGTGGAAACAGACGTGCCGGTACAGCTTCATCTGTTCAAACAGAACTGTTGAATTTGACTGGACTACAATGAAGGCATTTTGTTAGGGAGTTTTGCATGCAGGGATCAAAGCCAAGAACAGTTCACGTGACAGCCGAACCGACATGTTTCTTCGATCGGTTGGCTGCTATCGCTTCACGTAGTACCTAATGGTCGTTGTGTATTTGTGGTGGATGCTCCATTCTCTGCTCCAATCTGGGCTGGGGCTGGGTCTACTTTTTGATGTTGATTCCGAAACGTCCAGGTACCCATGGCAAACAGCGGATGCTTCACGAGGCCGCGAAAAGCGTGCAAAGGTTTCAAAAGCATGGATCCTTGTGTGCGTGCTTTAAACATCAACGTCCGCACTGTCCCCGTCAGAGCCTCGGCAGCAATCCCCTGTGGTCCTGGTCGTTATGGATGCTCTTGCGTAGAGCAAGGTCACTCATACTCTTGGTCGAACTCAGACTCATTTGCATTCCCAAAGTCTTGTTCCCAGTATGACTGTATGACTGCAGACGAATCCTCCAACATGCGTTGTAAAGTGGCGAGAAAGAGCCTTGCGGTTCTAAGCCGATGCCTTCATGCAGCCATCGAGTCGGCTCGACTACAGTGCCGTGGAGACTGAAACTGCTACGGAAGGCAGAATACTAGCAGGATAAGTGTAATGGTTCCCATGAGGTGTGGCGGGCTGCCCAACGAGGCCGAGAGATTTGCGTTGGTGAAGGATTCGATTCTTCCGAGTGAAGACCAGGTGAGATGCATTTGCTTTTGCCTCCGCCCGTTCTCAGTCAACCATGACAACAAGACAAAATCGACTCCAAACTAATGGTTCCTCTTCCAGCTACTGCTGCTCCGTCGTAGGAAACCTGAGCCGAGCAAAAACCGCCCGCAAACAGTTCTGCGTCGAGTCCCCAAGCTGATCAAAGGATGCATCTGGGGCACGCCACAATCTGTTGCAAAATCGCGAGGACCACAATCAGAGCTTCAGTTCACACTAGAGTCGAGTCGCCCTAGTTCCCTCGAGTGCAATCCCTAAGTTGAAGGTGACAAAAACCATCTTGCGTGGGTTTGAGGCAGGCCGCCTCTGCTGGACTAACTTTTTACAGTGACTAGCTAGCTACTAGACAAAACAGACACTCAAATTGAGTTTTTATTAGTCAGAATCAACATCCACCCAAATAGTGGAGAACCAACCAAGTGAGTTACGCTAGCTAACCAGATTGCCCCAAGCAATCCCTAAGTTTCCGTAACGTCTATTATGGCGAGTGCCGTGGACTGCTTGGATGCTGCAAAGTCAGTCAGGATCACCATCTTCTGTTGATTGTAGTCGTCACAGAATGCACCGTTTGACTCAACAGGTAAGATAGGTCCCACCAGTGAGAGCAGCACAGGCAACACAACCAAACCATGAACGATCGCAAGTATAATCATTGAGCAAAGTGACATAAAGACTGTTCGCCCAATCATACTGGTACTAAAAGCTAGTGCCAAAATACCAAGCAGTGTCGAAGTGCCCCCTAAGAGAATGGAACTGCCCATGGTCTCCAGAGTCTCCTTCACCTTGTCATCACGAGAGACGCCAGAAGACTCGACATACCGCAACATGATATGCAGCAGAAAGTCAACAATCAGGCCAATAGAGATCACCAGGCAGACATAGGTCACTGCATTGATATCAAGGCCAGCCATCTCCATCACACCTACAACAGAAATTCCAGTACATGAGGAATCGAATCAACAAGCCAAGGGAGGAGAAGTCGTGAAACCGGTAGAGACACCGTCTCGTGCACTTACCCAATAAGTCAATGTAAACAACTGAGACCATTGGAACTATGAAGAACACAGCAGTCCAATGCGGGATGAAGACTAGGGACAGAAAGCTCACCACACCAACACTGAGCACAGTTGTCATGATAAGTTCGCTGATAGCAACATTGTAGAACTCCCAAACAAGATAGATGCTTTGAAAAGTGAAGAACGACTCTGCCCCTCCAGCTTTGTTTTGATTGATGCCTTGAGCCTCAGTCACTGCTCTTTGCCCATTCAGATAGTCAATTGTGTTTTGAACTTCCGCTATCAAATGGGAATTCCTTGCTAGGATAATACATCTTGATGCAGTAATATTCCCAGTGCTGCTGTCAATCGCAATATCATTGCCATATGCCTCCTTGAAGGCAGGGATATTCATGGCAAACTGGATCTGTTCCTCAAAAGGCAAGTCCCTGACCACATCAAAAAACTCTGTTTCTCGCAACGCCTGGAGGTCACGGACCCAGCACAGAGGGGGTGGGGCCCCCAAGGCTGAGAGGGCCTGTATCTCTTCAACAAATGATATCATTTGCTGCTGTATCATGGGGTCACCTTGATCTTCATTTCTGAAAAAGATATGGAAGGCATATGACCTCTCCTGGAAGTTTTCAACTGTGGTCATAGCAGGAATCATGTAGGAATCACTGGGAAACAGACTTTTGATGTCAATGTCTTGCTTCAGCATTGTAGTCCGGTGGATGCAATAGCCAAAGAAAGTGAAGAATGAAACCACCACAAGAGTCCTCACAGTTGGATGAAGTAGGCAACAGGCATACCTAGCCATGATCCTGTCAGCCAAGGGGGCGGGAGACTTGAGCGCAGCAGCTTGTTGCGTTTCACTGATCTCGTCATCGTTGCTTTCATCATCTCTGGCTTGCCTCTTGCAGCAAATGATGACATCCATTCTTTTGGATTGTATCCGCCTCTCATCCAAAGCCAAAATAGCCACAAAGAAAGTGATTTGGTAGAGAAAAAGAACAATAATGGTTGGGAAGGCTAAGGTAGGAGAAGTAAGAAACAGAGGAAATCATCTGTGAGTCACAAGTTGTGCACTCGAGCTCTTTTGTGAAACCTGTCTGCAAAACTCACCATAGAGACATAACCAATAAATGGATGGTACACTAGAGAACAGGCCAAGTAGAAAAGCAGAAGCTGTTGTAATTGTTGTGGCAGTGATACTTGGTCCAGCCTCAAGCATGGCCAACCTAATTCGTTCTTGCCCATCTAGAGATTTGTTTGTCCTTAGATAGGCCCCAGTGATTATGAAGGTATCATCGAGACTATGTAAAGGAACAAGGCAACAAGATCAGCAAAGAACCAAGGAAAGAACATCACCCAGCATCATTTTGTGTGCTTACCCAACACCGAAGACCACAAATGGAAGCAACTGTGTCATGCTGGTAAATGGGACCCCAAAAATGAATAGAAGGCCAAACCCAGCGAACAGTGACAAGAGAATGGAGACAACACTTCCTACTCCCAAGAGACATCTGGATTGAACCAGATCCCTTCGGAAAAAGACCAAGCATGTAAATGCACCCATGACAAAGAAGACACATGGTAGCAGGAACAAATCCGCATCAATTGCTCTGCGGAACTCATCAGCTCCTGATCTTTCCGCATAATAGTCTAGGCGGAGGCTGTTCGATAAATCCCCATCCCATTCCGTCTGCAGGTTGGCAAGCCTATCCAGAACAGCAGTTTCAAACTCCATGGTTGCCTCTCCTTTGTCTGTGAGGAGGATGTAGACAAAAAAGGCTGGGACATGGCTAATTGTGCCATTTTGGCCGCGTTGCAGATTTCCCATGACGTACTCTGAAATCATTGGTACTCCTCCGGGATATTCTGGGGCTGACAGTTGCTGGACAAGCTCAGTTTCATTCTTCACTTGGCTATTATACAATGCTTTGTCGTGGTACCAAAAGCGAGTGGAAGAGACAACCTGGCAAGTGAATTCTTCATTGTAATCGTCCCAATGAGCACCATCGGCACAGATCTCGTTGTACCCCGTAGTGTTCCTAACAGTGTCTAGAGCCTCAAAGACTCGGCTCATGGTGTCCATGCCCAGTACATTGTTGCCATGGTTGTGAATCATCAAGACAGTGCTTCGGGCAGCTTCTGCCAAACCAGATTCTTGCAGGTACCATTGATTGTGGTGGCGTGAGATGGCATTGAAAGGAGTGTAGATCTTGGATTCATCCACTTCAATGTGAAAGTTTGTCATGATGCCAGTGCCAATGAGGGCAAAAGAGAGGATCAGGATGGTCACTATGCATCGAATAGGATTCCTTGCTGCCGCCATTGACAAAGTCAAGACTGACTTTTGGATATAATGATGGAGGATATTGGTAACCTTTGACCACCATGGCCACACAACATCAATGTGTCTTTCACCAGTGTCATTCCCATCATCATCCAATTCAGATCCCTCGCTTCCCTCGTAATCGTCTCCTTCATCGGAAGTTGAATCCAGCGACAGTCCCTTTGCGGCCGAGATGTCAAGTTTTCCGGACGCGTCGAGCGTACACTCGAAGGAGAGTTCGTTTGCTTCATTCTTTGTCGGCGTGGCACAAGACCAAGGATCTAGAAGTAACACCGGGTCAAGGGGTCTGTGGTCCACCATCTTGGGAGTGGCAACATCCACAGCAGGCTCCGACAAGGTCATGTTGGTGGTTGGGTATCCTTGGTGGGTGTGTTGCTTTGTTTGGCGACCCTCTTCGCTGATGAGCACTTTCGGTTTTGAATTGCTTTTGAAATGTGACGGCCTGGCTCTTGTGGGTAGGGGCCATAATCTTTGAGTGTGATGTTCGCTGAATTATTTTGAATTGTTACGTATGTCGTTAAGTCTCTGTCTAATGGAGCTTACGCAGAGGAGTATTTACGGCAACCTTCAGTTTTATTCGTGGGTTTTGTTTTAAAGCGACAGCGAAGCTGTTGGATAAAGCCACGGCGGCCCGCATTGCTTTGTCTCAGGGCTTAAGAAATCACGTTGAAATCTTTTTCGCACCTCTGTGACCTGTCAACACCGGTTGGAAGCTATTTAGTATTTGTTGGAAGCAACATGTTGCGCATACGCCTACGGGTCCGGTTACAAATCATTGAGTACTTAGCTACCGTACGATGTAGCTACTAGTACGGTACCAGGTAGCCAGGCCGCGATTGAGTCTTTTGCCGCTTACGTGGGTCTCCCGTGCATCGTTTCCAGGCTCTGTGCCATGGGAAGAACCGTCATTTTCACCAGCACCCAAAGTTGGGCGAACGTACGCTTGACCTGGTCCTCCGGGAAGCACTTATCGTTCAAATCTAGTGACTCTTTGCTGCAACGGAACTGACTTACCCGTGTGAATAGATCGGATGAATGTCACTATCCTCGCCATGAACGCTTGTGCCGAAGCTGAAGGAGCATCAACATTTTCCGGTACGATTTACAAGCCAACGGGCGGCCATCCTCTGACCTGATCCGCCATGAAGCAATGACGATTCACGTCCACATTGCTCTTTGCTCCAACGGAACCGTGGTTGCCGTGGGCGGAGCCAACCATGATCGCCAGCTTGGCTGCAGACTCGATCTTCTGGCACGGTCCGTCGTCGTTGCAGTCGTCGTCGTTGCAGTCGTCGTCGAGCCACTAGGATCAAGGTTAAGTCTCGGAATAGCTACATGCAGTCAGTTTCTTAGGTAGGTCGCTCCCGAAGACGTTGGAGCGATCGTGTACATACATGTGATGAGGCAAGGCATTGGCGACGGGTGCGTTGCAACAGACCATCCGCGAATTCCATCATACCAGGAGCCAACGTGTAAACGAGCCGAACAAATCGCTCGGATCCTCATCTTCGAGGGGGTGCACTTTGGTTTCCACAAGCTCCGTTGACAGAAATCGCAGCCCAGTGCCCTGTTTGGGATGAGCACCTCCTCCTCAACACATAAGAGCAGACACGATGCTCAGACAATTTAGTTTTTGAGGCGGACTGAGCCATACATCTCGTTAGAATAGGTCGAGAAGAACACAAGCAACTCCAAAGGGGGCCAACGACGATGGACCCATAAGACAGGCACGGCTGTGGTTTACAAAGCTCCTGCAGGATCGTTATTCTTCTACAGTTACATGCTCTGCTTCTCCTTCAGTTCTGCAACCAAACTTAACAAGCTAGTGCTCGATCCTTGTAGCTAGTTGGACATGTGCTCGATCTTTGTGGTTCCAAGTTCCAAGCAGGTGGCGGATTCATGGATGCGGGAGATCCGCCTCTTTCCGGTCTGGCTACTAGAACGAACGTTGCTCTACCTTTATCCATTCGTCGACGTTCAGCTTGCCCGTTGTCTTCAATAGACAAGCAGCGCCTTGCGGAGATGTGGCCAGATATCTCAGTGTCAGTAAGAGGAAAGACCTGGGATCGTTGGGGTGTGCTGGCCTGGCGTGGGACGGGGGGTAAAGCCATCCAACATGAATCGGACAAAGCACTTGCGCCAGCGAGCAAAATCACAAATGGCATGAAGTCATGGCCATTAGACTTCAACAGCTGTCACGATCTCCGACAAAGAACCAAGAGAAGCACAAGATGAAGGGCGACTGCTTGGTTCTGAAACCTCCAGCGTCTTCTTAGTCGGCAGCATGCATTCAATGGATACAACGGGTCCCATCAAAGAAAGCAGCACTGGGAGGAGAATCAATCCATGAGCTATGGCAAGGATGACCATTGAACAGAGAGAGATGAAGACTGTTCGGCCAATCATACTGGTACTGAAAGAAAGTGCCAGAATACCAAGAAGTGTTGAATTTCCTCCCAAGAGAATGGAACTGCCCATGGTCTCCAGAGTCTCCTTAACCTTGTCATCACGAGTCACACGTGTAGACTCAATGTATCGCAGCATGATATGCAGCAGAAAGTCAACAATCAGGCCAATAGAGATCACCAGGCAGACATAGGTCACTGCATTGATATCAAGGCCAGCCATCTCCATCACACCTACATTAGAAATTCCAATACATGAGAAACAATGAGGCCATGGGAGCAGAACTCAAGTTCCGTTGATAATGTAGACGTACCCAACAAATCAATGTAAACAACTGAGACCATTGGAACTATAAAGCACGCAGCTGTCCAATGTGGGATGAAGATAAGGGAAAGCAAGCTCACCACACCAACACTGAGCACAGTTGTCATGATAAGTTCGCTGATGGCAACATTGTAGAACTCCCAAACAAGATAGATGCTTTGAAAAGTAAAGAATGACTCTGCCCCTCCAGCCTTGTTTTGATTGATGGCTTGAGCCTCAGTCACTGCTCTTTGCCCATTCAGATAGTCAATTGTGTTTTGAACCTCCGCTATCAAATAGGAGTTCCTTGCTAGGATGACACAGCGCGAGGCTGTGATCTTCCCAGTGCTGCTGTCAATGGCAATATCATTGCCATATGCTTCCTTGAAGGCAGGGATATTCATGGCAAACTGGATCTGCTCCTCAAAAGGCAAAGCCCTCAAGACATCAAAGTTCTCAGTCTCTCGCATTGCCTGGAGGTCACGGACCCAACAAAGAGGGGGTGGGGCCCCCAAGGCTGGGAGGGCCTGTATCTCTTCAACAAAGGATATCATTTGCTGCTGTATCATGGGGTCACCTTGATCCTCATTTCTGAAAAAGATATGGAAGGCATAGGACCTCTCCTGGAAAGTGTCCATGACGTCCATGGCAGGAATCATGTAGGAATCACTGGGAAACAAAGTTTTGATGTCAATGTCTTGTTTCAGCATTGTAGTCCGATAGGTGCAATAGCCAAAGAGAGCAGAGAACAGAATCACTACCATTGCCTTTGCCCCTGGTTGTAGCAGGCGATGGGCATACCAAGTCATGATTCTGTCAGCAAAGTGTTTGGCATGGTCTGAATATTCTGCTTTTGTCTTGTCCTTGTCAAGCTTTGTGACTTGTCCCCGTCTGGGTTGTCTCGTACAGCAAATGATAACATCCACTCGGTTGGCATTGATTCTCCTCTGGTCCAACGACAGAATAGCCACAAAGAAAGTGATTTGGTAGAGATATAGAATGATAATGGTTGGGAAAGCTAAGGTAGGAAAGTTAAAAGGAGCACAATAGGTGAGTGATGATGTTTCTATTGCAACCTTGCTTTACTCAGTCTTTGAAACCTCACCATAGAGACAAAGCCAGAAGATACCTGGAACACTGGAGGATAGTCCCAGGAGAAAAGCAGAAGCCGTTGTTAATGTTGTGGCAGTGATGCTCGGTCCGGCCTCAAGCATGGCTGACCGAATGCGTTCTTCCGTATCCATAGATGTATCTGTTCGTAGGTAGGCTCCAGTGATAATGAAGGTGTCATCAAGACTGTACAGAGTTAAAGGAACAAAGCAATCACAAAGGTCAGAAGAGAGGGCAGGATCCGACATCACACATCTTTTCGTTCGCTTACCCAACACCAAAAACCACAAATGGAAGCAACTGTGTAAAGCTGGTGAATGGGATTCCGCAAACAAACAGAAGACCAAAGCCAGTGAATAGCGACAGGAGAATGGACAGCACACTTCCCAATCCTAGGAGACATCTGGATTGTACTAGATCGGTTTGGATAAAGACCAGGCATGTGAATGCACTCATGACCAGGAAGACAATTGGCAAAAGGTATACATCTGCATCAATAGCTCTGCGGAACTCATCAGCTCCTGATCTTTCCGTGAAATAGTCCAGACGGAGACTATTCGATGTATCATCATCCCATTGTGCCTGTAAGTTGGCTAGTCTTTCCAGCACAGCACTTTCAAACTCCATTGTCTGCTCTCCTTTGTCTGTGAGGAGGATGTAGACAAAAAAGGCTGGGACATCGATAATTGTGCCATTTATGTTGCGCTGCACCTTTCCCATGACATACTCTGCATCGGTTGGTACTCCTCCAGGATACTCTGGGGCTGACAATTGCTGGACAAGCTCAGTTTCATTCTTCACTTGGCTATCATATAGCTCTTCGTCATGGTACCAAAAGCGTGTTGCAGAAACAACCTGGCAGGTGAATTCCTCCTTGTAGTCGTCCCAGTAGGATCCATCAGCACAGATTTGGTGGTATCCAGTGGTGGTCGTGACAGTGTCCAAGGCTTCAAAGACTCGGCTCATGGTGTCCATGCCCAGTACATTGTTTCCGTGGCTGTGAATCATCAAGACGGTGCTTCTTGCTGCTTCTCCTAGACCAGACTCTTCAAGGTACCATTGATTGTGATGGCGTGAAATGGCATGAGAAGGAGTGTAGATCTTGGCTTCATCAACCTCAATGTGAAAGTTTGTCATGGTGCCAGTGCCAATGAGAGCAAAGGAGAGAACAAGGATACTCACAATGCATCGAATGGGATTTTTTGCTGCTGCCAGTGACAGAGTCAAGACAAACTCTCGATTGGTGTCACGAAGAGCCTCAGTAACCTTGGACCACCATGGCCACACAAACGTGAGTTCTTCTTTGCTGCTGGTGCTGATTGCACCGCTCGCGCCAGTGTCACTATCAGTGCTGGTATCGAAAGACAACGGCGTTTTGTTGTAAAGGTGCATTTCTGGTTCTGCATCGACATCTCGATCCTCGGTTCTCGACGAAGACATTGCTTCCTGTGCTTCCGCCGACATGGTCTTTTTGTTCTTGGCGTTCTTGGCTGGCTGGAAAGCAAGCGTCAAGTGACTGTAGCAGACGTTCTGCAAGGTACTATTTGTGGGCTGGCTGAATTTCGGAGACAAATATTTTCTGTCATTGCTTTCTCTTTTCAGAATTTGGTTCGGAATCTGAAGACCAGTGCCGGACCGTTCCGCTTGCCAGCAATTTTTGCTTCAGGAGCCGTTAAGGCGTGAAAAGATAGGGATTTATGCAAGAAATCCCGTAGACTCTTCTGGTCTTGGTCCAAGCAACGGTTTTGAATGTGAATCGATCTTTTCCCAATTTGCGAGATTTGGCTGAGGTGCATGGGGCAAACCGATCCGTGGGCGTCCAACTACCGGTACAAGACTATAGCTAGCTTGTCCTGAATTCGCCTTTCTTTTCCTAAGCCAGACCCTGTCGGCTTCCACGCTTCCATAGATATCGTGACTCAGACTGTCACTCGTTTCATTCAGGCACAGTACTGCAGGACTGACAAGTCCCGCAGATAACCCTCCAACCAACATTATCGGGCGAGGCAAAGGCGGAGATGGCATCTACTCTAGTACCAAACTACTTTCGCATTGGATAGAACTTTACTTTGGTTTCGTATGCTTGCTGTGTATGTCAGCAAGCAAGATAGCTACATTGTCCATGTCTGAGACGGAACCGACTACTTGGACTTAACATTCCCAGGTCTCTGAGAATTTGTGGCTGGACCTGACGATTGATTGGGCTTGAGACGAGTCGGACCTTGCAATAGGTGGCTGCGGTACTCCTTTCTCCTTTTCTCTCCGAGAATAGCTTGTTTCTTCGGAGCTGGAGCCCCACCACGTCCATCATTCACTCGGGTCCGTAGGCTCGCGAGTTATCCATGCTAATGGCCCCGTGGCTTTGGGAGGAGCATGTTGGCGCCTATTGGATTGACCGCAGAAACTAGCTCCAACCGAGCACCGAAGAAAATGCTAGAGTGGGTCAAGTTTATTGGAAGCAGTGGCTCCAGCGCGCAACCCACAAGTTGACTGCCGGCTGCCGGTGTTACTGTTCAGCTCTGTTTCTCGGAGTTTTCGGAGTAATGCAAGATTAACAGGCAGAGTTCTTCCGCTTGATTCGCAAGTTGAATGACACTTCAAAGACAAAATCCTTTATATCCTGAATGTCGTTCACATCATCACACTTACTTGTATGCATAAAACTATCGTCATGGATCATCCACAGGCATCCTGCTGGAACAGTTACCCAAAGTAAATTTCACCGACAGACTGGTACCGGTCGGACCCGCAAAAAACAAACCCAGCCAAGTTTCAACCGCGAGAGAACCTCGTCCTGCAGGAGCCGTACAGAACAACGAGTCGTGCTTAAATCCGTGAAATTCTCTTTTGCTCCCAATTTTGTTGTAAGTTAGACTAATAAAGCCTTTTTTGTTGTGACATTGCTGAAATCCCGAAAACACCCAAAATACCAAAACCAAGAATTGCTCGTGGAAAACGTCAATTTCGCTGTTACGAACAGCTCGAGTTTAGTTTTCAAACCCACCTGGGGCTCCAGAATGGCCACTGGATCGAGCTCTCATGGCTTTTCGCAGGACCGTAGGTAAATATTGGCAGGATTAGCTTCCGCAGTGACCAGCGTAGTGACTCAACCTCCCTTCTGTTGCGTTTTGGCTCCGTATGACTACCTCGAGATCAAGTTCATTAATTTTTGACTACAAAAAACAATGCAAGCAAAGACCCTGGTACAGATACCTAAGCCTCCAATGATGACTCCCACCACTACCAAGTATGAATCGACAGGTTATATCAGCAACTGTGTCTATGGCTGGAAACGAGTAACACAGCTCCTGCACTTGACCATCACCAAGTCTGTTGTAGCACTTAGTCTAATATCTGCACGCAACCCAAAACGATGCATAGGCCTCATCTCCCTGTTGTCGATCACATTGATCACCACAGGTTTGTTTACAAATTTCAACTTGAACCCTGGTGATGAGCATATCTTTGCCCCTGTCAACTGTCTTCCCCAAGAGCACTTCCAATGGGTTGAGGACACCTTTCCTGTCTCTCAGCGACCACTCATCTTGCTTCTACATGCTGATGGGCAGAACATCATGACTTATGAAGCTATGAGACGGGTTTTCCAAGTCACAGACATGGTACAAGACATTAGTGGTTACGATACCATCTGTGCAGGCAGTGACGGCGACGATGGCTGCAGCATCCCTGGTCTCACCAGATTTTGGGACCACAATGCAACCTTGTTTGAAGAGCAAACTCAGGGATCTGATGAGATGGTAATGCAAACTTTATCCCAAGATGCTGCAGATGGAACCCCTTTTCCACATAGCCTTTTCATTGGAAATTTGCGGCGAGAGGCCTTCATCAGTGAAGATGGGAATAACCGCACCCTGATCACATTTGCTCAATCCTTAGTCAGTATCATTGAAATCCCAGACTGGTCCAATGGGGAAAGCCAAGAGTTTGAGCTGGAAATGATCAATCTGATGAAACCCATCAAAGCTGCTTGGGCAGCTCAAGGAGAAGACCAGCCCTACCGTCTCGAGATCTACACTGGTCGATCAGTTGCTGATGAAATAACCCAAGCTATTGCAGATGACATGCCTTTGATTCCTTGTGTGTTTGCCATCATGGCAGCATTCACATGCATGGTGTTCTGCCACAGAGACATCATCCAGTCGAGGGCGTTGATTGGCATTGGATCTGTTGTCACGATTCTGCTATCTATCATGAGTGGTTTTGGACTTGTCTTTTGCATTGGGTTGCCTTTCACTAGTATGACATCCATCCTCCCGTTTGCCATTTTTGGCATAGGCCTTGACGACACTTTCATCATTGTGGGAGCATACCTCAGAACGGATCCTGCCAAAGATCCTGTTGAACGAATCCGAGAAACCATGGAAGAAGTAGGAACAAGCATTTCCATGACAACCATCACAACCACTGTGGCATTTGTATTGGGGGCAGCAACATCAAAAATCCCTATCATTCAATGGATATGTCTTTATGGTAAGGTTTGCTCCAGGCAGGAAGCCAGAGGAAGGTGTATCGTACCTGTTACAAAACTCACATGCACTATTTGTTGCTTAGCCTTTCCCACCATCTGCATTGATTTCCTCTATCAAATATCCTTCTTTGTTGCCATTCTTGTTTTGGATGAACAGCGAATCACTGCCAATCGAAGAGACTGCTGTGTCTGCTTCAGCGCAAAAAGACGCAACAGCATAGAAGTTGAAGACAATGATGAGATGGAGAAGGAGGTCTCAGGGAAAGCAGCCCCCACCAAAGGACCTCTTGTTGACCAAATAATGGAATGGTACAGCAGTCATTTACTTCATCCTTTCACCAAAGCAGTTGTCCTGGTTGTGTTTACCGCCTTGGCGGGTGTATGCCTTTACAGCACAACTCTGCTCCAACAAGAGTTCAAACCATCCGACTTCTTGCCTGAAGTGTCCTATGCTGCCGACTTCTTGGATGCCTCAGATTTGTATACCAACCGCAAGCTGCAAGTCTTGGCATACTTTAGGGATGTCAACCAGTCTGACCCCCAAGTTCAACAGCAAATGATTGATTACATCAACAATTTAGCTGCTCTTCCTCAAGTTCAAGCTACACCAGAACTCTGCTGGATCACAGACTTTCAAAAGCTGATGAATGGAGACAACCCGGCCTTGGAAGGGTACTCATCCATACTTGGCGAAAACAGCACTCTGACATTCACAGAGAAACTAAATTTCCTGCTGAGTTTTCCAGAAATCAATCAAGCATATGGGAATAGTATCGTGCAAAATGAGGATGGAGAAATTGTTGCCTCCTCATGTTGGATAAGTGTAAATTATGTTGACTTGGAAGTGGTTCAAGAGCAGAGCTTTTTTTATGCTGACCAACAACAAGTTTCAGAGGCACAGCCCATCAATCAAGGCGAAGACCGATTCAAGTTTTTCTCCTTTTTCAACATCTATTTCATCTGGGAATTCTACACTGTTGTGGTGCACGAGCTTATACTTACTACAGTTTCAGGTGAGCTTCTTGATTTGTATGAAACTCTCACTTTGCCATGCCAGAGCTTGACTCACAACCTTCCAAATAACTCTCTCTTTGCAGGAATTGTGGCAGTTACTGTGCTTGCCTTCATCTTTATCCCTCACTGGTCAGCAGCACTCTTTGTACTCCCTGTAATGTGTATCCTCTACATTGACTTATTGGGGATGCTGCAGTTTATTGGGCTCTACATCAACCCCCTTACCTACCTTTGCCTGGTGATTTCTGTGGGCCTCTTGGTTGACTTCACCATGGTATGTGCTTCCTTCCTTGATGTAACCTGGCCCAAATGCTCTGAGGATCACATTTTCTCACCTTGTCATGTTTGCAGCACATGCTCCTCTGTTATTATGAGTCCACAAAGTCCACACGTGAGGAAAAGGTCAAGGATACACTGCGAACCATGGGATCTTCAATCTTGGTGGGTGGTCTGTCTACCTGTTTGGGTGTCATTCCATTGGCATTCAGTAGCAGTGGAATCATTCAGACTGTCTTTGTCATGTTCCTTCTCATGGTTTCCTTGGGTGTGGCACATGGTTTGGTACTATTGCCAGTGATTCTATCTTATGTGGGACCGACAGTATGTATCAAGCCAGGACACAAAGATACGGATACAACAGAAGGTGATTTGATGGATGCTACACTGGAGCAGCCCCCCACAGAAGATTCATCACTCCCGCATGATGCCGTGCTTCTCACAAAAGGCAAGCCAGACTTCCGAAGGACCCGCTACTTCCATGAGAGTGGTGGAAGCGGCGAAACTCGGTCGTGTGCATTCACTTCTGATGACGACTCTTCGGAGGAAGACGACGATGGCGACACTGAAGGCGGCATGTTGGCTTCTTCATCATTCCTTGAAGCACCATACATCGCCACTCCTCAGGTTTGGCTCGATGCTTCATCTAGAACTGAGTATAGTGTCTAGCTACTACCAAGTGCCTCAGGCCTCCGTCTCCAGTGTCGACCCATGCAAAGCCAGTGCTATTTCTTCGAGGCATGCAAGCGTATCAAAATACGACCATGCCAAAAAATGTGGACTCACAGCCATGGCAGCTTCCCTTTAGTATAGGCCCGTTCTCCACTTCTCTCTCCATCCTCCCGGGTCCTCCACGGTCAACTGCACTGCGCAGTTACGTAGAGTAAGAGGCCTACCGTATAGCTTATCGCCCTAAGCTTGGCCCACTAATACATCCTTCCTTTCACCGTACTATACTGCTGGTAGGCTCCCTTCAAACCGTAGCATGATCGAGGGACAGTTTTGGATGCCACGTACGGGAATTTTGAGTTTTTCTACTAGTGCTTCGAACTGTGTCGTATAGTTAGCAGCGTGTCGGTTCATGCATCGCTCGAGACCCTATAGCAGGTCGTCCCCGGATCCGAGAGACAAGATGTGGCGAAAATCGATCGAGGACGAAGAGAGGCACGATGCTCGATTTGACACCGGTAGCCATTCATGGCACCGTGCATGCATGGTCGGTCCGTTGGTTCAGAAAGGGGCCATCTTGACCCAAGCAACGCGGAGCGAAGAACCAGCCATGGAATCTCAATCGACGGTAAGCAAAGGTAGAAGCATCAAAGTGATCGTGTGCTTCATCGATCGATTCTCTTGCCGCAGCTTTCCTAGAAGCACGGAATTATGATACATCTAGTTGTCTGTCTTTTTGAAGCAAACGTGGAGTCTAAATGTATTTATTATGCAGTGTACCGTACCGTTGTATCGCAAGTTGGTTTCGCTTGTTCGTGAAGGGGGTTGTTATTGTGGTTTGGTGCTTTCGTTAAGTTTGGCACGTGCGGGACGGGGAGTTCATCGTCTTGAGGAGCGCTTCGAGATGGAACGACCAGACGAAGCAACGACAGGACGGGGATTCCGCTCATCGCGTAGTCGAGGAAAGGCTCGAAAGCCCATTACGCATCGCACTCGGAACCAAATCGAGACGATGGTTGCTTTGCCGGGGGTGGAGGTGGTGGTGCCGCCTTGGTGCTGTTGTTTTCAGCATGATGCTGTTGTTGTTGATGGTGATGATGTCCCCATCCTCCGGTACGAAAAGACGAATTGCCTGCCACGAAGGATCCTCCTTGCTGATGTTGCAATCGCGTGACATGACGCATATTCTGTCGAATGCGTGCCGTGAGTCCTCCAAAACTGGCCATGCTGTCAAAGACATACCAGTAAATGCCTCCGACAAAGATGCCTCCTCCAATGGCATTTCCCAGCGTGGCCATGGCGAGTGCCGCCACCATGCGTCCAAACGAAACATCCGCCCCAAGCATCATTCCGACGGGAATCAAGTACATATTGGCCACGACGTGATCAAATCCCATCATGACAAAGGCAGCCGTGGGGAACCACAATGCCAGTACTTTGCCGGCGACTTCTTCGGCACACGTGCCTTGCCAGACGGCGACACAGACCATGAAATTTGCGCCAATGGCTTTGAGGAAAATACTGCCCATGCTGTTGAGTGCCTTTTTCTCGGCCACTTGAATGGCCAATTCATTGGCGTGCGAATCGACCAAGGCATCACTCAAATACGAGAGAAAATAGGCCCACGTCAGACATCCCACAAAATTGGAACACCAGGCGACGGTCCAATTGCGAACCAGTCGGGAAAAGGGCACTTGTCTACCCAACACACTGGCGACAAAAATGAGGGCATCTCCCGTAAAGAGTTCGGCACTGGTCAAAATGACGGCAATGAGTCCAAACGGAAAGAGGGCCGCGCCCAAGACACCACCCCCAACGGCCAAGTACAAATGTCCCGCGGAAGCAATGTAGACACCGGCCATGAAGGATTGCACGGCCAAGACATTCCACGTCAAGCCCGCCTTGTATTTGCCGGCGGCGTAGACAGCTTTCAAGGTTTCTTTGGGAGCCTTGGTGGCAGGAGGAATGTGAATCGACGGGGCTGTTGTAGTTGGTGTAGAAGGTTTGTGCGATGAAGCATTGCTGTCTTTGCGCAACAGTCGATCCTTGAGACTTTTGCGTTGTTTGGCCATGGAATGAATGGCAGCCGCCGTGTCGGGATCATCCATGGTCGTGTGCGTCTGTGTGGGTTCCACCATTGCATGGGTCACTTCTTGATTGGACTCGGCCTGAGCTTCAATGTCGTCGGAACTTTGCATCATGGTTGATTGGATTGAATATATTATAGTTGAGTTGAAAACAACTTGGGATGAGAGATTTTTATGGAGAGAGCAAAAGATCAATTGAAGGGAGAAAGAAAAAATGGCGGAAGGGTCTTTTTCACTTGAGTTGATTGGTTGATTGATGGATGGATGGATGGCTTCTTTGTATCTTCTATTGGCAGCGTCTTGACACACCCTTCGAATATGTAATCAATCTAGTATGGTACTGGTTATGTAGTATTCTATTGGAAGACCTCTCTTCCACTGTAGTGTTGTCGTCGTCGTTGGAGGAAAATGGCATCGTTGTGTCAGTCCAAAAGCCGGAGCTTGCAAAGCGAACTCGAAGAAGGTGGAGTTGAAAAGACCAAGGAAACCGACAAAATGTTCGGGTTCGGAAAGCAACATGAGCATTACGTCACCATGGAATGTCACAGTGACATGCCAACACCAAGAGGAGTTTTTCAAAAAGACCATTCTACTGAGGCATTACAGCTCTGCTGGCTTTCATTCAGACCAGATCATTAAGGTGGTCGCCCACGGCTTTAAGCCAGCTTTAGTTTGCTAGGTTTTTTCATTTGTTTCGCACATATGTTTCGTATAATTAGGGAATACGGAATCTTCAAGGAGCTTCGGCTAGACTGATTTGTTCGAGCCATAATTATATGAAAAGCCTCTAAGTAATACGACGAAACGGGTACCCAACGAGTACTCGCACGCCGGTCGTTGGTTACAGAGAGTTGACCTTATATAACTCATTTTCAGCTGGCCGGTGATCCAGTGAAATCCGTTATAGTAAAAGAGTACTCTAACACGTTTCCAGTGAAAATGAGTGACGTTTGAAAAGTGAGATTCCGTTCAAAATCGAATAACCAACAACAACAACAGTTCGATCAACCGCTGTTGTGTTGGCGACCACATTATCTCGATGCCTGCTGCTTCTGAGGGCATAAAACCTTCTACTGGCTTCTTCTTTTGACTATAAGAAGAGAGTAGGCCCTGGTTTTATGCCCATCCTTGCAGCAGTCATCGAGATCTAACGGCTTCAAACAGCGATCGAACATTTCGTCGCTCGCTGCTGCACTCCATAGAAAGTTAACAGGGCGATCCAATATACGGCAAAGCTCGCCTCCTATCCTTGCCAACACTATTAGCAAGCTCTCCTGTATGCACAATAGTCGGATCCATGGGCGCAACAGCGATTCCAGCACACCTTTAGCAGCAGAATCGCAAAACGTCCATCCTCGCGATATCACTAGTAGTGTAAAATAAATAAATAATTAAAAATATTTCAACAGTTTCGCGCTGGCTTAAGATTTGTGGGCGACCACCTTAAATGTTCGAACAACAGTTACAACAGTTACAATTTAACACTCCCATCAACTTCTCTTGACACGACTGTCGGTTGTCCTTGTTAGAGCCTCTCATTTGTGTCTGGAACCGTCAAGCCCTTTGGACCTCAGCATGCCACCAATTACACAACGGAACCAAGTCCCAAATTCCGCCTCTTCTTGGCCTAAGTCTGCCCTGTTTACCGACTTCCGTAGATAACTTCCCTACACTAGACCCCCTTTCATTGATACAACTGCTATGCAAACTGATTTCACAATTTAACCAAAAAGCCATGGCACATACTAAAGGCATGAATAGCAAAAGGGGCCTTTGGGAGATGCGTACAAGTCTGTATGGGAGTGTGGCCATGTAACCTTAGACTTAGTTGCTTCAACGGTTTTTATCCATAACTCGATCTATTTTTATTGAACGAGAACCCGTTACAACTTATGGATACACATGACCGTTGATTATACAACTGACAGGTTCCTACTCAAATTTATATAGTAAACACCAGCCAATCGATTCCAGAGTGCAGCTGAGGGTGTAACCTTAAGGAGCGTAGTCTCGGGAGACGAAAGTTTGTTCCCATCCCACCTGATTTTGCTCGGAGCCCCTCGAATTTTCTTCCTGAGCCCACGCTGGCCAACCCAATCCGAAGCCGTAGTAATTTGGATTCTTTATTGAAAACTTGAGGATAGCTTGCTAAAAGGTTACAGTTTTTGGCAAGTATATGCCGGATAGGCTTGGACAGACGCATCCGTCGCAGGGACGTGAGTTGCAGCAGCCGCATCCATTGAACGGAGATAATAAGTGCAGGGAGATGAATGTGTTTGCACTACGCTAAAAGCTAGTGTAAAGATCTTTCGAGTGTTTTGAGTTTGAGAGAATGAAAGTTATGAGAGGATTAGAAAGCTATGAAAACTAATCAACGAGAGAGATCCACAACCAAAGGATCGTAGATCTGAACTCCCGCGGGAGACTGTAGAGTGTGATAGAGTAGGTTGCGGTAGCAATCCTACTCACTCCACGATCCAAAAACGGAACGCGTGGAAGATTCGTCTAGCATTTATCTAGTAGCGTGGAAGTACTCCACGCTGGCTAAATATCTAGAGCGATGTTTCATCATCAACCTAGTATGACTAGAGCGGTCATTGAGAACCCTGTCTCAATGACTATTCACGAGAGACTCAGTCATGAGTCGAACTCAAACCCTATCTAGGATCGAGTCGCGAATAAGGCTAAGAGCCGTGTATTGCATGTTGACTCTGTGCCATCACGCCAGTCAATCAAGGTACATCCTGCTGAGCTATGTATGGATTCACAACCATTGTAACAGTTCGTAAAGGAGCTGTAGCAATTGCAGCCTTGACAGCTAGATGGTGCAATCCAGTGACCATTGACGCCGATAGTACTATACTTCAGACAACAAAATCCTGGAAAATAGACATATCCTGATGAAATCAAACTGGTTGAACATGGACATGAATGGCAAAAGGGACCTTTTGGAGATGCAGACAAATCTGGAATGCTTGGATCGGGGCAGCTCGTACTCCAAAACATGCTGCTCACAGGGTAGCTACTGGAGGAAATGTCATTTCCCCAATCACACAAGTCCTGGTTGAATGGTGCAAGATGAAACATGTTTCCAAAGTTCGTGCCAGCAGCAACATTCTATCATTGTGGCAAAGTGAGCAAGAGCGAAGCAAGAAGCAAATTAGAGAGAGTTGGATTTCTGCTTGATTCCTGCACTCCAAGTTGATTTTATGTGTCTTGTGTTTACTTACCCAATTGGAGATGTCTTGATTAAACTTGCTTTGTTCAAAAGCGCTATTGAATTTTTTTACTTTGCTACAGAACCAGAATGACAGTATTAACAAAAAAGAAAACTTCTAGCTAGATGAGAAAAGCAAGAACTGCAAACATACCTGACATCCCAGTTGCTGAGAGGTTGGTTAAAATTGGCTGAAGCAAAATAATATTGAAAAATTGACCAATTAGGTGAGCATGGTAGCAAGACCTGGACTGTTTTGTTTTGACTTACACGCAGAACCAAACATCGTGCTCATGTCTGTTAGAGAACTCGTGGTCCAATCATGAGTGTGTTAGCCTTTGTTTCCGGTGAAAGGTTTAGGTACACACATGAAAAATGCTTACAATAAAACATTGTCGCCTTCAACACAAGTAGGGGCATGTTCAGACTTCATTTAGACTTCATTCGTGGTTGATAATGTGAAATGTGAATGACAACAATGCGCGCCATTTACCATGGTGGTAACTGAGCTCACATCCTAATGGTGTTGAAAAAGGAGCATGAGATCGAATCGAAAACCGTTTTCTACTGGATTGTTTGAGTTGAAGGAATTGCACTTACCCAGTTGGATATATCTTGGTTGAATACAGAACTGGAACCGTAGAATGCACCTAACAAAGTATTAACTTTGCTGCAGAAGCAATGGCAGGCAATTGAATGAATAAACCTCCTTACCATCAAAGGTTCTAAGAAGGATAGTTCCGGCAAGATGCAATCATACCTAACATCCCAGCTGTTGAGAGGCTGGTTGAAGTTACCTATGCAGCAAAGAAGAGCGGGGAAAATATTAGTGGATCCTGGTCAATGGCTAAATTGTGCCAATAAACATATTGTTTGACCTACTGGCTGTGGCAAATATATAAAACATGTTCGTTAAAGAACTTGTCGTCCAGCCATTGATGTTTTGGTTAAATGGAGAGCCTACATTGTAAAACAAAAGTGTGTTAGCCTTTTTTTTGGTGAAACGTTCGAGGTACACACAAGGACAAGTGCTTACTTTGAAACATCTCGGACTTCAACACAGGTGTAGGAGCATGGTCAGACTTCACTTGTGGTTGATATTGTCAAATGTAACCACAACAATGTGCACTACTTACCATGCTTTCAACTGAGCTCACATCTTAATGGAGTTGAAGCAGAAGTATGAGGTCAAATCGAAATCATTTCTACGGGATTGTTTGAGTTGAAGGAATTGCACTTTCCCAGTTGGTTTTTGCTTGGTTGAATGCAGAATTGATGAATGCAGAATGTAAATAAACAACTTTGCTGCAGAAGCAATGGCAGGCAATTGAATGAATAAGCCTCTTAGCAACCAATGCTGCAAAGAAGAACAGTTTCAGCAAGATGCAATCATACCTAACATTCCAGTCATTGAGAGGCTGGTTGAAGTTACCTATACAGAAAGAATGGGGGAAAATGAATTAGTTGATCATGGTGGCTATATTTTTGCCAGTAATGTACAGATTGTTTGACCTACTGGCGCCAGAAAAGATATAATACTGTGTTGTGGGGGAAGACATTCAAACGTCAGTTGGGTGGCAATGACACTCAAGTTCCCATCATACTGGTGAGTTACCTTATTTACAGCAGAAGACACATCCCAATCGGAAATGTCTTCATTTAAGCCAGCGGAGCTGTGTAACCTCGGCAGAAAGGTTTCAGTGTAGAAGCAGATACCCCTATTAGCCAGCTAGCTAGAAGCAGATACCTCTAGTGCTGAGCTAGTGCTTAACGTGCGCTTAGCTAGCTAGAAGCAGATCCCCCTCGCTAGAAGCAGATTCCCATAGGAAGCTAGAAGCAGATACCCCTAGCTAGCTAGAATACTAGTTATATAGCTTTTGCTAGCTTTAGAGTCTTTCCTGGTAGAAGCAGATCCCCCTACTAGGATGCATGTGACTAGCTTTGGCTGGTTTTTAAAAGCACCATCCTAGGATACTTATTTAGTTTTTGCTGGCTTATTTGCATTCTAACCCTACCCTTATACCTGCAGGGACCGCCGTAGCAGGAAAAACAATTAAAGGGGTTGAGGGCTCTGGCAGCAAGACTGCCGAGGTGAATGCATTATTATTTTGGAACTGTGTATAGTGGTAATGGGTTAGCCATGCAGAAGCAATGGGTTAGCAACCACTCTTTCATTTACAAAGTGCATAAGGAATT